ACACTACTAAAACCAAACTGATGTTGCATAGAAAGAGTCACGATATAATTGGTAACAAGATTAGTTAAAAGACGTTATTACGGAGAATGCTATGCTAAAACTCCACAATTACAACGACTGCTAAAGCCAGACTATTTGTCTTGACTCTCTTAACTTAAGTCCCTACATTGAGAAGCTGAATTTCTCAAACATAATTGGCTTCTTGCCTAACTACCTTGACAAGACCACATGAAAACAAAGCCAAAAAGAACAATGTTTTTTTTTGGCAAGGATCACCACCATAGCAAACAAACTTCTCTTGAGTTCAACGTGCCTACAGTAAACCTCTCTTGAGTTCAACGGGACCATCCTTGTTCTATACAAATACGTAACAAAAGCACTTCCAAAAAATGTAAATGTAAAAAACAGCAAGCAAGATTTTTAAGAAAAGTAAATCACACATATGCTCACTTGCACTTGCTCATAAAGCTTAGGAAAAAAGAGAAGCAGGAGGGAGGAATGGCCACCAGAATAGCTGCGATGAAAAATTATAATCCCAATACCTGATGATACATAAAGTCTTAGTGAAAAAAAAGCATCTCATCATAATTTCTTCCTTTGAGAATGGAACCGGCCTTCATTTCCTTTTTCTGCATGACGTCACCCCTCTGCCATACAAAGATAAATCCAGGTCATCCTACTGGCACAAGGAGTTTCAGTTTAAACAAAGGCCCGGTTCCAATCAAATAAGTTACAAAGATTTGTTTCTGGTGAAGCAAACAAGGTTAGTTAACTTAATTCACAACTTCGTACGTAGAATGAGTTTCAAAGCCAAACCAAGACCAAGCAACGTTCTACTTTGATTTCTAAGTTGAATGCAATCTGTCTCTTTCCTCAAAGGACTGAATCACATAGAAGGTTTCAGAAGAGAAAAATATAAATAAAAGAAACTAACACCACTTCAAAATAGAGTCGTTGTCGAGACTAACAACATAACTATAAAAACCCTATCAAACAAGTTAAAAACGTTAACAGCCTCCAAAATCCAACAGTAGCTTCAATACCATGCCAAACAGACAAAATCCAAGTCAAGGAACCCTTACGCGCCTAGAACTTGATGTCAAATATGCAGTGCAAGGACTATCGATGGAAACTTGACAAACAAGAGATCCACCATCTCAACACTAAATGGTGCAATTTAATATAATAATGAAAGCACACAACCATATTAGAATTCCCCGTGAGTGATTAGTGGGTCGTTGTATAACGAAAAGTGATGCTTGACTCAGGCCTTTGTTAGTTTGTTGCATAGATTTAGCCACCAACGCTGCACAATAATATAATAAAATGAGCAGCCTTTCTGACCTGTTAGGTAAATAACGCCTCTGTGTATCAATCTATGCTCTTGCCAAGCCAACAATAAATCCGACCAATACTTATTAGATACCAAAGCCGAGCTGCAAAAGATAAAGCCAAGTCGAGTTCAAAGCTTAACTGCCCTAGAAAAAAAACTCTCGGCTTGCTCTTTTTCCACTTTGGCAAGAATACCATACTAAACTACGTGGGAACAATAATAGCACAAACATTTTTCTTGATTTCTCCCACACCCCATTTATCATAACTTGTATATAAATGTTTTGAAAGCATGCAAAAGTTTCCACACACTCAAACACAACATACAGCCATACAAAAACACTTGGTGGCTACTCTTTGCTCACAGCCAGCCTTAACATAAAATACTTAAGAGACTCGGAGAGGAGAGAAGAATAGAATGACTAGCGCAGGAGTTGCTGGGATGATGTTTCAGTGTGTGTTTGAAGGAAGCCTCTCAGCGCGGGACTCCGAAATTGAGAGAAGGCCTTACCATAAGAACTGCAGTTGCGCTCTGCACAAGTTCGAGGGGGGTGTTTGCTCCAATGCTTGTCAAAGGAACATTTCCTTTCCCAAGAAACAGTCATGGAGTGATGGTTCCTTGTGCATGCAAGCAGCAGCTTCTTCCAAATTCTCTTCTCCTCTAGTAGACGACATGTCCACGTCCACAGGAAACAGAGGAAGTGTGAATGGGGTTCATAATTCTGCCTTGTCACATAGACAATAGACGGAGGTTTTCAGAGGCTAGCTCGAATTATATGGTGATTACCGGTGAGTTAGAAGAAATTGAAAGGTTAGTTAGGAAGTGAGAAGAAATTTTAATTGTGAAGTTTCTCATGATCTTATTCCTCCAGCACTAGTACTCAAACATCAAATTGATTTTGAGGAAATATTGGTGCTTTGTGGGGTTAGTTTCTTGATTTCTTCTACCTTCATCCAAGTGTAAATTCTACTGAGCACATATTCCTCCTGTAATTAAACAATATTGTCACCTTTCTTCAATATAACTGAAAATACCAGTTAAAATATAGCAGCCCATAAGTGAAACGCTATGTTTCACTAACCCTATATCTTCACCTTTTTTTGGACGAACACTAACCTCACTTATCTCTCGTCTCTCCGCCTCCATCACCTCCCATCTCTCTCTACCTCCATCGTCTCTCATCTTTCTCTGCCTCCATCATCTCCTCTTGCGCGCCCTTGAAATAAGGTGAGCCCAGCAGCAGCAACAGAGAAAAGAAGAAAAATTCAAAGATACCTCTGACGAGTAGAGAAGAAGTCGTCGCCGCCACTGGTTGGGTCTAGAAGAGTAGAGAAGCAGCCACCCGACCCGCCAAGGCCGCCTAGGTGGGCCCCCAAACGCTGCCTAACTCCCTGGCGCCTACCCCTAAAGTTTAGAGTGAACTCGCGGCGGTGTTCTCCCGCCTAGGTCAATTTTTCAAAGTTTCTTCTTCTTCTTCTTTTTTTGTGGTGGGGGTGAAGAGATAAGAAAACATGTAAAAACGGCATGAAAGATGAAGAAAAATTTATTTTTAATTTTACTCAACAATCATTTGATATTAATTTGTCCTTACCAGCCCTTAAATGTCATATGAATCATTGGATTTTTGACTGGCATTGGCCTAGTGCATGAAAGCACTTGTGATAATAAGAGTAGAACGGAATTGTTTCTGTTCTTAATATGGAGGAGACATAAAGCCATGGCAGAACTAAGCTGGTGGGTGTTGAGTTTTCTGCATATTTTTAACATGAAGCCAACTCACAACAACTAACAATTGCAAGAGTAAATCAGAACAATACAATTAGATCACTCTCAACAAGTCAACAATTATCATCGCATCCACTGTCCACAGAGAGAGAGAGAGAGAGAGAGAGAGAGAGAGAGAGAGAGGTAACACTCTCGTATATACATCTGATGTACTATGTATGAGCCCTAATCATACCAAGAGTGTGTTATATTGAATCTAGAAAGAATGGCTTCAAAGGAAAAAACACAACAGTTGGCTAGACTTACAGTAAAAAGGGAGTAAAGTGAAGACAAGTGAAAGATAATGGAGCATCAAGCTAACAACACCCTTCTTGACATAGAGTCTCTCATCTTGCATTGCATGAGAGAGAAAATTATAGACAGAGAGCACATAGATGCAATGCAGCCACACCATGCACCTTGCAAATCAATAATGAAGTGAAAAGGGAGATTGGGAGTTTTGAACCCTAAAGCAACTGACAATATCACCAACCTAAGTCTGTGGAAAATACAAGATACATATACATGACAGTCATGCTTTATATGTGAACTAAATGTATAATTTTAAAGTATAAAATTTCAACTTTTGGTTCAATTTTAAAATAGGTTTTAACTACTTACATTACTTCATAAACAGATCTAAGTACATACATGAGAAGTTCACTTTCAGATCTAAGTACATACAAAACAAGACAGTTGCATTGTGTTACCAACATATCACAAAAAATAAAGCCAACCATTTTAAAATTCACCATACAAACCAACACGACACATGGAGTCTCGACGCATAGAATGCATTGCAAATATCATATCAGTACATTGTTTCTCAAAATAAACAGAAGCAACTTTACGTACAAGGTCATCAAGATAACAAAGCCTGCATATAGAAATGACCATGAAACTGATGAAAGCAGTAAAACAAGTATTCACATTGGTATTAGATTTCTTTTACCAATAAATAGAAACGCCCTGCATCTATATATTTTGAAAGTGTTTACCACCTTTATCGTAGTGAAGTGGTTATTAGTTATTACCAACGAGTTTTCTGGTATGGCCTTGGTACTAACAAAGCATGACACAAAGGAATATGTAAGAGAGCCATTGAGACCCATCATTGTTAATATCTGATGAAAAGGGTCAAATTAGAAAGTGGGCCCTTATACTCGTATCAAGCAACGCCATGATTCTTGTTGTAAAAAAGCCAAAGTTCAACACTATATTTTATGTCTTAAGATGAATATTATTCTACTTGTATTAGGTAACAGAATGTGAGTGAGAGAGAGACAGAGAGAGAGAGAGAGGACAGTGACACCTTGCTAGAAACCGAGATGGTGATGCATAGCAAACAACAGAATTGGTAACGAGATTAGTTAAAAGACGTTATTATGGAGAAAACTATGTTAAAATCCCACAGTTCCAACGATCGCTAAAGCAAGATAATTTATTTGTCCTGGCCTTCTCTCTCCCATTCCCATGTGTGTGTATGGGCAAAACTTAAGGCCCCACATTGAGAAGCTGATTTTCTCAAGAAAAACAATTGCCTTGTTGTATAACTACTTTGACAAGGCCACATGAAAACAAAAGCTAAAAAGAATAATGCTTTTGCAAGAACCACCATAGTAAACTTATATTGAGTTTAACGGGGCCATACCATATTACCATAGCAAACTTCTCCTGAGCTCAATGAGGTAACGAAACTAACAAAAATTCTACTCTTGGTTACTCCAACACTTCCGTGAAGAAATACCATCCTTGGTCTATATAAATATGTAACAGAAAGCACTTTCGAAAAAACATATGAAGCAGAAAGCAAGCAAAATATTTAAGAAATTTAATTCACACATACACAGCCGCACTCAAACCTTTACAAAGAAAGCTTAGAAGAAAAAGAGAGGTAGGAGAAATGGCCACTGGAATAGCTGCCATGATGCTTCGAAGTGTCATTGAAGTAAGTATATCAATGCATGATATGGAGATTGAGCATAGGCCATACCATCGCAATTGCAGTTGTGCACTGCACAAGTTGAAGAGTATTTGCTCCAATGCTTGCCCTCCTCAACAAAGAAATATTTCGTTCCCCAAGAAAAAGCCTCCGTCTTCTAAGCGGCTCATCACTATGTGGAACAAAGAAGACCCGAATGCGCCATGTCATGTAGAGGACAAAGTTTAGAGAGCTTGACACAGCAGAGCAAGAATAAAAAGGTCAGGAAACTGCGATTTAGCTGTTTCTCTCTCTCCTCCTCCCCCCACCCCTTCTCTTTCTTCTTGTAAAATCATGTCCTACTTTCATTTACTCTTTTTATGACACAAATTGCACGCAAAAGATACCAATATATGTTGGGCTCAAATGCCCTTTTGTTGCGTAGAAAGTGTCTCTCATCTCAGACGTACTTCATGAATATCTGTTATATCTCCACAAGCTCCCGCCTTTATCTTCCTCATCCTCCTTTAAGAACCATTCATCAAACGGAACAAGGAACTCAGTCTCCTCTGTTTCACCTATTACAATCTCTCTTTAAAATGTAGACAGGCCAGGCATGGGGTTAGAGGTTCAACTCCTACACAGACAAAGACAAAGGAGGATTTTGGGGATGGTGGGGAGGTATATGTTTCATCAAGCACCTACTCTACACTACACACACAAATAGACACATAGATGATGCAGGGTTCATAGATCCTAGCTGATATTACTAGCTACATCCATACAGCTACAGTCAACAGACTCTACAGACTACACCAAGTTATGAACCAAACATATTGCAATTTAGGAACAGGAAAGAATATCACTCATCCATCTTGATATTGAAAGCTCTTCTCTTGAGGGGCCATGGCAGCCTATGTTGCACGGATATGGATATGGATACGGATACGGGTGCGCCAATACGATACAATTCGTCGATATCGCAAAACTCACCACCTCGATCTCCCCCACGTCTTCTTTCTGATGTGTACCTCCTGATGCAGGAGCATCCATCCTAGCCAAAAAGGGATAAGTTTTAGCTATATTAAGTTAGGAGTAATGCTACCCTTACCACATTCTCATATTACCTTAGATGAAGTGGACAACTATGTCAATTAAAAAGTGTCAATAAATCATAAAATAAAAGAAAATGTTAAATTAATTTTAATTGATGTGACTGTTCACCTCATTTGCCAACTAAAGTGGTATAGGAATGTGACATACAAATGTGGTAAGAATAACATTATGTTTTCCTATATTTACTAGGGTTTAGTTAAATACGGCGATTAAAATAATCTATATATATAAAGCAAAATGGAGAGAATTGTGAAACATTCAAAATTCCAGAAAATGTCTTTGGTTAATGCAAATACTAAAAATTGAAATTATTAATTAAATGAGGGTAATATGGTAAATTCACACCTTTTCATATCTTAAAAATTAAAATTAAAAGAAAATTCATATAATGGATCCTATTTTTATGGAACATAACTACCTATTATCTTTTTTAATTCTAAAATAAATTTAAATTTTTTTAAAAAGTCTTTCTCAGGCGCGGAAACTAATATTGCATCCCTCATGTTTTTATTATCCATTAAGTTCAAAACATAAAACTAAAAACCAATTAATACGAGTAACCAAATTAAATGCATTTTGATAACAATTAAAAACGTGCAGCACAGTTTGCTCCTTAAAAAATGGGTCAGCTCTCTTAAAAAAGAAAAAAGAAAAAGGTTTATTCCTCTAAACATGCGTTCGCTCTCTTCTTCTTCCTCGCGCAGCAGCGCAGCTTCTTCCAAAAAACCTTTGCTTGTATCCATAAGGTTGTCCACAAAGGAAGAGGTACAATTGCAGTGGAATTAGAGACACAAATTTGGGTTCTGTTGACTTGTTTGATTTGAATAGGATTGTGTTGGAGTTTGAGGATACTTATGCTTATAGACTGAGAATACAAGCAAGCAAAGGTTTTTTGGAAGTCTAGTTCAAGTTGGTTGGGCTTGAGACAGTTTACTAAACTCCGACGGAGCTTTAGATTTGTCTAACCCTTATTGTATTTTGCTTATGTTCTGTGTTCTTGCTGGTTCGGCCAGCTGTGTTGTATTTGCTTCCCGTTTTGGGCTTTTATAATACAACAATCTAAAAAAGCAGAATTGGCAGAAGAACACGTTGCAAAGAATGATAATGGAGTTTTGACAATTCGCGAGTAACAACAGCTCTTGTACGGGAACAGTGTAACTTGTCCAACTCCTCAGTCATCTCCCAGTCTAAAGCTGCTGCCGCTTGGTCCTGCCATCCCAAATTCCATGTCACAATGCAAGTCCGGTAAGGATTCTCTTGAAGCGGATTTATTTATTTCATTTAAGCAGAATTTAATGGTTGATTTTTTTTTATAAAAAAAATGTTCTTGACTCTGTGGTGGATATGTTGAATTGGATTTATTTGTTTTCAAAATCAAAAGATTTTCTTGAACTTCTCCCTTCAGGAATACTTAATAATAAAAAATGAACAATTGGGTTGTGTTCATTAAGCTCTTAAGATTTCAATTTTGAGGAAAGATAGAAAAGAGGGAGATAAAACAAAGGAGATGATCCTCTTCGTTCATCTAATACTGCTTATGGATTGAAAAAAAGTGTTGAAAAATATTTACCTGCCCATTGGTTTCTGGCTAAAAATGTGTTGAAGTTTTTTTTTGCTGGAAAAAGAAGTATTGAAGTAAAGATACTCCTTTTGTAGTAACTAGCAATACATGATCTTGCCTACATATGATTGTGATTGATTTGTCATCAATGAGAACAATTATACTATAACGCATAATAATAAGATATAATTCTATCATACAAAGATCATGAGATTACAGAAAAACAGAGTAAGCTATTTGAGTTGGAGTGATCAAGATTCTAGAATAACCTACTGGGACAGATATAGATTCTGGAATATCAGCTTCTGTTGCCATTAATCTGCAGATAGTGGATTCTGAGGCGCATGAAGGAACTTTGTTTTGAATCCAAACTTCAAAAGCTAGCTCAAACTTTGGAGCTTTTAAGTTGAATTGAATCCACGGATGCAGCTAGCAAGCTTTTTACGTCTGCCTTTGTTGCTGCTGCTGCTGCTGCTAGCTTTGCAGCTTTTGAGTTAAGTGTTTTTTTCTTCATTAGATATCTTTATTAATCTATTGATAGTTATATTAGCAAAAGCAGCAGCCACGGGAACTGACAAAATTGCCACTTTTTATATGCAATGTATGGATGAGTTGGCCACTAATGCAATGGTTGGCAGCAAAGCATGTCATTCTTTCTCATTTCTACCTGCCAGAAAGTAGGAGCAAGATAAATGTTTTTGTACCCATTTTAATTATCTTCTACACAAGATAAAAGGAGAAACAAGAAAGCCAAAATAAATATCCCAGGCCTCTGCACATGTTTCACGGGAATCCTATTCAAATTAACTAAACTCATTCTTGATTCTCCTACGAATAAATCATTAGTTCAACACTCAATATAAGCTTCATCATATGAACACATACATAGGCTTGAGAAAGAACCATACATTTAGCTCCCTGTTTCAGTACAAAGGGAATCTACTAGCACTAAGGAAGCTCTGACAGTTAAGCAACCAAGGGGGGTAGTCTGCCGGCGAAAGGCTGGCCTGACAGAGGGCAACCTTTTGGTATTAGTTGGTGAGTGCTTATTTTTATTTCTTTGCATTGTTCATCTCTATCTCTGCACTGCCTAATCATGTACAAGATACTTTAGTTTGTATTCATCATATCCAATGCAATACTATTGGGCAAAGGAGAATTTGAAGGAATAGATCATTTAAGCACACACATAAACACAAACTTGAAAACAAAGAACAATGACAGATTTGTATAGGGGATTAAGGAAACATGCACCTCTCTCTGTCTGTCCCTCTCTATATATTAATATGTCCCTCAAGATGGAAAGACTGATATGCTTCCTCTTTTTAATCTTTTTTATAGGATATGATTCCTCTTTGGTATACACCTTTTCTATTTACCTCAAGTTTTTGACAGAGACACAGCCATGCCATCCCATCCCATCCAGATTGACTTCTCTTCTTCATAAATGGCACCATTTTGACAAATGGTAGGAAATCCTCTAGCAGCGTCATTTCGTACATACAGATTATATGGTGATATAGCCCGCACCGCCCACTTTAACTCATGTACTAGAACATCAAAACACCTTCAAGTTTGGGTATTGGAAGAAGGATCTCTTTCTTTTCAATTTGGTAAGGAAGCAGAGCAACTCCTACTTTGTGATATACGCAGCCAGCAGAATACTTGGAGGGAGCAGGAAGCCCAGCAACTTTTTCTCCTGATTTTTAGTTTGTGGGCGAAAATAAGAAAAGGTGACCTAAAAGGCTAGAATTCTGCATCATTCACTACAATTCAGCAAGTATAGAGCAATGCTATGGACCAGGCTGCTACTAAGCTTGCTCAAAATTAACCAAATGGTAAATATGAAGATTACGAAACCAGATTTACTTTTCAAATTTCCTTGCAGAGCCGAAACAGAAGAGTTACCCCAAATTTAATCAGGCAGTGGATTCAATTTACAGCATCCTATCCCATAGCATGATAGCAGAAAAGAAAACACAACTGCCCTATCTTCACACACACACAGATTACATAAACAGTGACAAACAGGCAAATTATCTTCACAGATGATCAAACAAATAATACTATCATTTCAAAAAAAAACATGCAGATTGATTCAAGTGCCAAAATTAGGGGAGAGATTCAGAGTTGTACCTTTTTACTGAACTCAAAGACTCCATGCCGGCCAAAGCTTCCTACTCTTTTTTTTTAACTGACCAAAGCTTCCTAGCGAAAAGAAAATTTACAAAGTACTTTAAAATAAAAAATAAAAAACCATAACTTTACAACCCTAATTAATTATCCAAAAGTAGGCCCCACCATCCTCCTCCGTGGCTGGCTATCTATCTCTCTGTCTCCTCCAAAGCCCCAAATCAAAAGCATGCCCAATCCAACCCAACCAAACCAACCGGAGCCTAATGGGCTACTCTGTGACTACACCACCCGGTCCGCCACCCATTCTCTACAACCACCACCACCCGAACCCGAAGTCCAGTACACACTTGACCCGACGCTCCCTCCTCCTCTCCGCCCCACTCTCCCTCACCCTCCGGCCACCACCATCGTCCGCTGCAGCATCTCCTCCGCCACCCGACACCACCATTACCGACCGCGTCTTCATGGACTTCAGTCTCTGCCCCACCTACTTCCGCCCCTTATCCTCACCCGACTCAAAACCCGTCCTCTGCCCCGACTCGCTCCCGTTGGGCCGGCTCGTCCTCGGCCTGTACGGCCACTACGTCCCCCTCACCGTCTCCAACTTCAAGTCCATGTGCACCTCCTCCGCCTACAAGGGCACTCTCGTCCACAAGCTTTTCCCCGGCCAATTCTTCCTCGCCGGCCACCAAGGCGACAAGCCCGGCGACGTCCGCCGCCCCACGGGTCTCGCCCGAAACACCGAGACCGTCGATTCCAAGGCCTTTGCTCTGACCCATTCCCGCCCCGGCCTCCTCTCCCTCAACCTCTCCGAGAACGACGACGAAGACGACATCAAGCTCGACCCGGATTACCGAAACGTCGAGTTCTTGGTCACCTCTGGGCCCGGCCCATGCCCCGACCTCGATTACAAGAACATCGTCTTCGGCACAGTGCTCGAAGGTTTACTCTTTCTGCAAGATTTGATTTTTATTATTTTCAAAATTTGAGCTTGGTTAGTTTAATTGTGTTTTGGTTTTGGTTATGAAGGTTTGGATGTTGTGACGGCCATTGCTGCTATACCTACATACAGACCATCTGAGAAAATACAGCAATTCAACGATTTTGCAGAATTTCTTGGGGATGAGAGAGCGATGAATGCTCGGGCTCTGTGGAACAAGCCTCTGAAAACAGTGTATATCAGTGACTGTGGTGAGCTTAATGTGGCAAAGCCTTCCCTTTCTCCTCCTAGTCTTCCTTAATTGCATCATATATATACATACATATATATATATATATATATCTGTCATTATTGTGCGCTGATTCAATGATTTTGTTGAGAGCCTTGTAATTGTATGTAAATCTTCTTCTGCAAAGATTTTGGAATGAGCACATTACATGCTTCATGCATTTGATGCATGAAAATGTTATATTACAGGACTTGCATCTTTTAGTGGCAGAAAATGATGTTCAATCTGATCCCAGTGAACCAATTTGAGTATTTACAGACCTATTTTGATGCATATAATGCAAGTTGTACTGCTTACACAGAGCATGAGTGTGTGATACTCTAATCTATATTTACATTTTGTGGCACAATCTCAAGGTTAGATGATAGAGCAACTCAAGGGAAAACTCACAAATCATGCGGAAGATAGTCATTCTATAGTAGAGAGGAACTTATATTGGTCATTAGGTGAGGTCTTATCTCTTAACCGTTGAATCAGGCTAATCAATTTGATTCAACGGCTAATCAATTTGATCCAACAGTTGAGAGATAGGTTTATCACCTAAGGGCCATATATAAAGCCCTCACTATAGAATTCTTGGTGAGAGGATAAGCGAGAACATAGGTTGTGATGCTTGGTGACTGTGCTCAATTGATTTGATATTACCAGTTATGTTAAGGCGTTAAGGTGTTGGGTTGTTTAAGGAGAAGATGAGTGCAATTAAGATGATAGGTGTTAGAAAAACCTCGGAGTTGGACCATGAACTCCTTTTTTTCGTGCTGCCTCATTTCATATTCATACAGTAGCTGTGAATATTTGTCCACCCACCAGAATAAGAATTGGACTCAGAATTTGATATGTTTCAGTTTTTATGGACCTAAGTTTGCTCAGTTGCAGCAGAGTGAGTGATAGAGGAACAATGACATGTACGTTGGGCTTTGCCTTGAACTTTGTCTGGGCCTAGCTCTGTTCTATTCCTGTTGAGAGATAGATGGGTTTTTGTCTTGATACTCGGCTGGCAAAGAATTTAGGAAAAGTGAAAAAGAAAGAGTGTTGTGCTGTGCTGTGTATGTAGTTGATGATGCAGTGCAGTGCAGGGATAAGATCCAAGATAACGATTGGGGGGTGGGGCCACTGATTCATTTAACCATTGGATGCATCCCATCCATCCATATCTGATAAGTCTGTAGACTGTGTAGTACTACTGCTGACTTGTGCATGCATGGGCATGGGCGGATTCTTTCTTTTCTTCCCCAAAAGAAAAGTTGCAAAACAAAACATACAACCAGGAGATGTGACCTTTTTCTCCCCCTTCATCGGGTCATTGCCCGAAGAATCAAAATCAAATCAACTTCTCATTACACTTTTAACATTTCCACAAATTTATTTCAATATGCCTCTTTCCACCAGTGTCATTAAATTGTAGGTGATTTCTCATCATTAACCAAAATTTAATCCTCAGAGATCATTAACCAAAATTAGATAATAAATAATATTTTGAAACTAGCACGAGTCAATTTCAGGAAACCAACTACTGTATCTATTACCATTATACAGAGAACTTGGATCAGCGCCACATTGGGCCCCACAGTTGCAGACCCAAAGCACAAAACGATGAAGAGGAACCCCTTTTCTTTTCTTTTCTTCTCTTTTCTTTTCTTCCGGGCATTTACGTAGTAGAACATGTCATAGATAATAGGTATAGGGTGGGGACCACGCACAGGCGAGCGTGAAGGGCCTGCTTCTGCTCATATGCTGTGTTTGAGTGACTTCAGCCGCCAGCGCCTCTCTCTCCTCTCCAATCTACGACTGTGGAGTCTCTGATGTGTGACTCTCTTTTCGCATTTGCAATGGGCAGGTGGTCCCCATCTTCCCGCTGCTTTTTTACAGCTGTACGAACAGGATTCTCTGACAATGGCGTGTATTCCCAAGTGGTCCATGAAACCTACCGCGGACACGTGTACTTGTACGGGTATGAGGTCGCTGTGCTTCGGTGGGGACAACTGACGACTGTCTGACGAGGAACACAAAAGGAAACGTCATTCCGAGTTTGGTAAACTGTCTCCGCTGTAATCACCAGTGCCCATATAAGAAAGAAAGAAAGAAAGAAGGAAAATCTAACGACTTCCGCCACATCAATGCAAACTGTGTTCCCTCCTTGCTTTCATCTATACATCAAAATAATATTAAGACAAAATATTAGCTTATGCCTTCAATATTTCCCTTCATTTTCAAATTTTAGTTAACGAAAGAGCTTTGATCATTATGTATTAATCACGATGATTTCTTACAAGTCCGCATAAATTACAAGGTGTAGTTCACAATTCCATATTTATTGAATTCATGACACACCTAATAAAAACTTAGTAAAATCATATATGGAGATGTGCATGCGAACAAATTGATGTGAGAATGCTAAATATGACTAGTTTTTTTTTCAATATTTATAAGTCGAGTATAGTGGTTACCGTGGAGGGTGCACGGGGTCATTGGGTAATGCTCAATAGGTGCTTGTTTGATATGTAGATATCAAGTCATGAATTGGATATATTAGAATGAAAGTGTATGTTATGAAGATTATGTATCATGTTTTTTGTGAATTTTTTATATTTAATATGATTTGTGTTGAATTTCAAGTATGTATGTGTTAAGAGTTGATTACAAATTTGATTGTCCTATATACCGAATTTTGATATTGAAGTATGATAAATGGCAAAAAAATACGAGAGATTGAAAAAATAAAAAACCTTTTATGGTTGTTTTGAAAAGTCATTCTTATATTGGATTATTTCTCTTCACTTTTTTAAAAAAAAACTCGAATACTTTTTTATTTCTTAGATGTAAGTACAATATGAACAATAAAAAATTACAATCATTTAAATATTCACGTATTAGTGAATGCAGATAAATAAAAAATAGAATGATTGTGATATCAATTATTGATAAGTAAACATGTCATAACACGTAAACGTTCCATAAGGGCAGCATAGATAAAATGATGCGCGCTTATTGAACATCATATGGGTTTACATGAAGCAGGTATTGCCCTCTTGTCTATATAGATTTGTTATGAATGAATATTTTATTGAGCGGTGTCCTGCTATTTTGTCTTTGTCTTGTAAAGCTATGTTGTTTGAGAGCGTAACCCAAGGGTTAAAGGAGAAAAGTTGCTTCTGACAAAATTAAAAATAAAGGAGAAAAGTTGCTGCCTCCTGCCTACTTTCCTTCCACTTTTCCTTCCTCTCTCTCTCTCAAACCATTTTAAAATAATATATTTTACATAAACGATTTCAATGTCGACTGCTGTCTGTGCTGTCCTTCCTGCATATCAAGGGGGTGGAAGCTTGTCTCAAAATCATGTTAGAAACTTCTTGCAACACTACAAAATCTAACTTATACAAAATCTATGTTATATTTTATATGCCTCCAAAATTGGTACGTCAGATATCCCAAGGGGTGAAGTATGGAGCAATTAACAATCACAATGACAATCACGCCCCAAAATGCCACCCAACGGTCCAAAACATTTCAATAATTTTTCCATCAAATCTCACCGTTGGATGCGTTGTGAGCTTTCTGGTCATCAATGGCTACTTACTCCTACAAGTCTACAACACATTACAATTTTCAATCATCAATAAATCAACGTTTGTCTTATTTACTGGGAACTGCAACTCCCAATTACATCGCCACGTGGCACTCTATCTCACCGTCAAAACATCCTCCTCGGTCCTGGCGTCACCCATCCATCACTCAACAAAGTCGTCGTCTCCCAAAAAAAGAGCTTCTGCACTCCTTTAATTGCTTAATCAAGCATTCAAGTTTCAAACTTTTATCAGCACCACTTTCTCTCTAACTCAGAACACACATATTTTTTTTTTTTTTTTTTTTTTCCTCTCTTTCTCTTTCTCTTTCTCTTTCAGCTCCAAAAACTGCTTTTTTCCAAACCACGTTTTCTTGTATGTACTGAAACTAAAGCTCGCTCTCTGCTTTTTTTTACAATTTAATTGCGAAGACCAAAGTAATGGCGTTTCATCATCATCATCATCACCAGCAGCAGCAAACCCCTCCAGAAATGGCGTTCCACTCCTTCGCCTCGGACCCGCCGCCTCTCTCCGGAGCCCCGACGTGGCTCAACAACGCCGCGTTTCGACAACAGAACAACTTCCTCCACGACGCGCGAAACGACGACGTCGTCATATCACCGTCGGGGAAGAGCAGCAACTGCAGCGGCCGGAACCGGAGAGAGATAAGCGGCTACGACGGCGAAGAGGAGGAAGAAGACGAACTGGAGTGCGAGAGCGCGAGGTTCAAAGCGGACTTAGTGGGCCACCCTCTGTACGAGCAGCTTGTATCGGCTCACGTCTCGTGCTTGAGGATCGCCACCCCGGTCGATCAGCTGCCGAGGATCGACGAGCAGCTCGTGCAGTCGCAGCGCGTGGTGGATAAGTACTCTGCGCTTCGGGCCAATGGGGATGTCCAAGTGATGGATGAGAAAGAACTTGATTTATTCATGGTTAGTTTGTTTAAATTAAATCTCTTTCAACACTGAATTTTTCATTTCCTATGATCTCTTTTTCTTGTGTTGTTGTTGAAAGTCTAAAACTTTATTTATTTCGGGTCTGGATATTTTAGTGGGAAAGTGCAAATATGGTTGATCAAAATAATAATCAGAGTGTCATGTAATTAGTTTCAGTGGCAACGAAGAATCCTGTTGTTCAATTCTCCAATTATTCATCTTTACAAGTGCTTTGGAGAATCTTTTACTCTTTGATTAATTTGTGTCATATTTCCCCCACTTGCTAGTTTTTGATTAGTGGCATGCTGTGGAATCAGAATCTGTTCTGCAAATAAGTATCGAGTCTTGTTGATGTAAATGGTTTAGTCTTCTAAAGATTAAATTGTTTCTGATATTTTTCTCAACTTTTCCTCTCTCACCTTCCCTCCTTGTCTTTGTTCATTCTGCTACTGTAGACAAACTATGTTCTCCTGCTATGCTCCTTCAAAGAACAATTGCAGCAGCATGTCCGAGTTCATGCCATGGAAGCAGTGATGGCTTGTTGGGAGCTCGATCAATCTCTACAAAGCTTAACAGGTCATTTCTATTTCTTTTCATATTTCTACATGTACAGTAGATAAGTCGCAAGTTTACGAATGGTTTATAACTGAACAGCTTGGGATGCATTGACAGGTGTGTCTACGGGTGAAGGCACCGGTGCTACAATGTCCGACGACGATGACCAGGTCGACAGCGACATCAACTCGTATGATGGAAGCCTGGACGGGCCTGACACCATGGGATTCGGTCCTCTCGTTCCGACTGAGAGTGAGAGGTCCTTAATGGAGCGTGTAAGGCAAGAATTGAAGCATGAACTGAAACAGGTATATGAACTATAAGACTTGCAAAGCATGTATAATATATTTGCTAGATGGGATATAGAAATGTAGCTAATAACATCTGCTTCTCAGGGTTACAAGGAAAAGATTGTAGACATTAGGGAGGAAATTCTACGCAAGAGAAGAGCAGGTAAACTGCCAGGTGACACCACTTCTGTCCTAAAATCTTGGTGGCAATCACATTCCAAGTGGCCTTACCCTACGGTGAGTTTCAACTTTGATATAATCCCCTTGTAGCTTTCTGTTTAGCAAATTAATTATTTTTAATTAAAACCGTCTTTCGCTTGGAATAGGAGGAAGACAAAGCCAGGTTGGTGCAGGAAACAGGCTTGCAATTGAAACAGATCAATAACTGGTTCATAAATCAAAGAAAAAGGAATTGGCACAGTAACATTTCCTCAACTTCTGTTTTGAAGAGCAAACGCAAGAGGTAGGATTGTATTTAACATATATGGTCGTTTTGTTCACATAAGTTTGTTTTCATGAACTTTATATAAATATATCTTTTTTCATTTGTAATTTGGAAAAAAAGTAATGCAGGTGACATCAGCAGCCAACGATTGAAGTAACTGTGTGTGACACTTGACAAGTCCTCAACTTATGGAAAAAAGAAAAAGGAAAGTCTAGCATCAGTGAGAGAGCAATATTTGGCAGGCCGCAAGGAACTTCGTATTTCTGATACAGTAAAAGGTTACACCAGCAAATGAAGGGCGTCCTGATGTCTGATGTACCATCTCATAAAACTTTACGGATATGTAACACGAAAAACTCGAACCAGGTAGCCTTTTTGTACCACGTTTATGTGGATCTAGCTAGATATAGAATTTTTGTATACCAAGCGTCTCTAAATTAAACGTTTGCTTTCTATATAATTTCTAATTTCTATGGATGAGAATGACTACAAAGACAGTTGTCTATAGCAGTTTATGGATGTTTTGATGTGTTGCATCCTGTAGAAATTTGGTATCAGTAGTTTGGAGTGAATCACGGCAAACAACACTAGTTGTGTGCCGCTTTCCATTATGCATTCTGGGTGGTGAGCTTTGTTTATTACAAGCGCCTTGCTTCCTTGTGAGTTTTTGAATTTTGCAGTGTAGTTTTCCAAAAACCTTAATGCGAAATTGAAATTTTAAGGCAAAAGTACAACCCCAAAAAGACTTTATTTTGGTATGTTTCATAACAGCACACAATTAACTTATCAAAGAAGGAAACAAGAGAACACAAACGACCCCCAATCTAACGTTTAGATTCTATAGAAGCTGATTCAAGGGTGGTTTCATGAACCGGCCTGCCTATGGAACCATGCTCATTGGACAAAGGAGCGGCAAACCTTGCTGCAAAATCAAGAGCAGCATCATTTCCTTCTCTAGCAACACCTCCATCAAAATTGAGAGCATAACTATGAAGATCGTACTGTAACCTAGTATTCTTTTGCTTTTGTTTCTTGGACAACCTGTTATTTTGTTTTTGCTTCGTAGTCTTGCAATATCCCGCAATCTTTCTGATGAAGGTCTTCCACTTGGAGCCGTCCAATACTCGAGTAGACTCCTTAGCCTTGTTCAATTTCTTCCTCCACCACCATGTCGTCTCCTTGTGCGATCCACCTTCTTGCTGCAGCAAGTATTTACATTCATAATCGTTGTCGTGGTTTTGCCGCCATGTACATGATGTGAACCCAAAGAGGCCAAAACAACCACCAACTCCGCAAGGAGAAGAAGAAGAAGAAGCATCATGGTCTTGATGATAGTCATCCACGTCTTCTCCTTCATCACGTTCATACTCGCAGATGGGCGAAGTGTGGTTCATGATCAAGGTTGGTTTGTGTTCATTGTTACTAGCCATCGCCATAATCATTAAGCAGAGAGAGAGAGAGAATGTAATCTGGGGTGAAAGACTCGGAAGGGAAAGGTCTTAAATAATAGGGGAAGCGATAGAGGAGAGTTCAAAAAAGGAAACAAAACTGAGGAAATATCAAAGAAAGAAAAGAAGGGTGATTGGTCGCTTGGTGCTAAAACTTGTTGTTCATCGCGCTTAAACCTTGCTAGTGAAGAAATAGAATTCCGAAATAAAACAAAACAAGGAATTGTTGTGGGATGGGATGGGATGCAATAAGGTTTGACCAGTGGTGTGGCCGGCTCAGTTGCTACGCGGCGTCGTAATGGGAAACTATATTTGACAATGAAAGCCCAAACCTAGCGATCGAAACGCGTCTGGGATTGTTGGGCTTCGGCTTTCCTTAAGTAAAACCCACAAAAACTAAAATAAAAACACAACATACGCACACGTTTTACTGTAGGACGACCTGGTTCTTATTTGAACAGTTGACCAATAGATTCCATAAGAAATTTATTTCCTGGTCCTGGTCCTGGTTCTGGTTCTTATCTAAGGAACGAAACGATCATGTCCAAATGTTTGTGACTTAAAATCTTCATGTACCTTGTTAAGCATAACCCATGAAACCAACCAACTTCGCTCCTTGTCTGTTATGGTACGCAACAGCAGACTATGGGAAATGTTGAATGTTGCTTCCTACCTAATCCAATCCAAAGTGACGAAGCCAAAGCAAAAAAATGCATACAAACCAATCCAATCCTCGTGCTTGTATTGACGTGTCAAAACGTGATAGAAAACACTTAATTCAAAGGCAAACCTAACTAAGTTGACACTTCTATAAGATGTAAATATTTCTGTAGAACAATGAAACGGCTTCTTCCCCTATCACATTAAAACAAGACACATTAGTTATCTTCCAACAGCCTCAAACACACACCCAAATAAAGGCCCATGGCATGATGGGAGAGACATCTATGATGATGCAACTTGACTGATATATCATTTTTGAATCTGAGGCTGTGTAGAAGGGGGTTGCTGCGGTTGGCTTTGTCCTTTAGGAGGAATCTTTGCGGTCATAGCACGTAATTTGTTTGCAATTTCAGTGAAGTTCAGCCTCTCAGTTGGCTCCGAAGACCAGCATCTCTCCATCAGTGATTTCCATTCTGGATCACAAGAGTCTGGGACTGGTGGCCGCAATGTATTGCTCACAATACCCCCTGCATTATATTATGAAGAACTGGCTATCAGCATCTCTAAATCCGAGTGAAATCTTAAAAGGACTGAGCATGTTTTACAAGTGACAAGTTATTAAGCAGTAGAAGATCACCTATGATAGCACCGTAGTGCAAATCTGCATATGGTTCGTCTCCGGTGAGGAGCTCCCACAACACAATACCAAAAGAAAACACGTCTACCTAGTGTACCCAAAAAAACCAAGGGTAAATAACTAAACAATAAAAACAGGTTTAAGAGAGATTCACAATCATTTGAGATGATCTAGAAGAAATTAAAAAAGAAAATACAAACCTTCTCAGAAACAAGGCTACTGCCACCATTCAACAGTTCTGGTGCCATCCATGGAAGCGTTCCCCGCACACCACCGGAGATCAGTGTATGACATTTCACTTTAGATAGGCCCAAGTCACCAACCTGGCATCAGAAGCAGATGGTAAACTCAATCTTATAAACAGTTCAACCAAATACAGAGCATGTCACACTGGATCAATGTTTTGAACTGCATATTGCCAATACAGCGATACTGCTGAAAATAAAAGCATATCAACAAAAAGAGGCACATTATAACATACTAGAAATCAAGTGAAGTAGGCCAAGCTCAACTCATTCCCATCCAGACAAAGCTTTATCATCTAATTAAGTTCTACAACAAAAAGAGAGAAAAAAAAAAATAGCCAAAACTAGGTACGGTAATTCAAAGAGTAATTCTGTTTAGAGTTTAAAGGCGGAAAAGTGCTCTATTTTTGCTCTTGTTCAGCTCACAAGAAGCATTAATTTTCCTTAAGTTTTCAACAACAAATGCATGCTCTCGAAAATGATACTGCATTTTAAAAAGATTGTGGCTTATTATACGAAAAGAAAGATCACATCAACCACAGAACGGACCAGAATGAGAATGACCAACATTCCAATCTCTTACCTTGCATATTGGGCGGTGTGGATCTCGAAGATTGACAAGTAAGTTGTCACTTTTCAAATCAAAGTGTACTATGTTCTTTTCATGCAGGTACTCCATCCCAAATGCCACATCCATTGCAATCAAGAGACGCTTGCGCTTGTCCAGACTCCTGCTAAAATGAATTCTGCGTCACCTTTTATCCAATTGGAAATTACATACCAACTAGTCAACTAATGCATTCATTCTAATTTTATCAAATTAATGCAAGGAAAAAAAAAAGCCAAACAAACACATTACTTCTCATTCTTCTGCAAGGCATTTCTAAGAGAGCCATTAACCATATACTCTGTCACTGTTGCCACAGAACCTCCCGGCCCATCAAGCACAACGCCATAGAAAGCTACCACATTGGGGTGGTGCAAGTCAGCAAGTTTGATGGCCTCATTCCAGAAATCTTCTCTCTGATTGAATACAAAATCTCTCTGATTATGTAAGTGAGGTATTAATAAACAAAAATTAATAGCTTTTGGAATCTAGTGCAAAAGGCAAACCATGCGCTCTTGTTCTGAAGGCTTCCCAGCAAAACACCTATCATTTATTCTTTTAATTGCAACATCAGTGCCCCTCCATTTCCCATGATAAACAGTACCAAAAGTTCCGGAACCCAATTCTCTCAGCTCTTCAAGGTCACTGTTCTTTATAATCTACCAAAAGAGTAGAAACCGGTCAATGGTACAAGTTATCAGAATAAGGAAAAATAGAAAACCAAATTTTCACCTGCAATCGGCCTCGGCTATCTGATACCGGAAAACCAAGATTTGCCTTATCTCCGAATTTGGTCTTGACATCCTGAAATAGAAAATGGAAATTAGGGGAGTCCAACAAATGTTTTGAAACTCTGTGTGTGTGTGTGTGAGAGAGAGAGAGAGAGAGAGAGAGAGAGAGAGAGAGAGAGAGAGAGAGAGTAGTACACACACAACCAATGAAAATGCTCAAACATGCACATAGATGGCTTCTTAAATACCTCAACTTTCGCTCTGTTTTGCATGCCTGCAGTATTGTTTTGAACATCTTCATCTTGATTGGATTGATAAGCATACTCATCTTTATCATGTAAGTCAGGATTTGACGGCGAAGATGACTGAAAAACGCAGGCAGCTACTCCCTCAGCAACAGCTTGAAGTTCTTGCTTTATTTGTTCCTCGGCTGATCCTATGACAAAGAAACAAAACAACATTCTAATTAAGCAATTAACTTAATACTAGAGTAAAAATAAATCAACATTTAACTAACCTTTGGAAGACTGGGCAGGCTCTGAACTAAGATCCCTGTTCAAATTGCCCAGTGACTGCTGACCCCCATCATCCATTCGCATTTCTGTAAATGGTTCTTTTCTCAATTGTATTTTGGTTGGTTTAGGAGGCAAATGAGTATCGTGGCGCAAACTCCAAGGATCCTGATTGCTGAACAGTGAGTTTGAGGAGTCCTGGGGAACAGCATCATTTGAGGTAACACCGTCCACATCATTAGGTACCATCTTGGACTGCAATCTTAAGTTCTCATCCTTCCTTTCAGCAGGAGGTTGAATTCCATTATTTATAAGGGTAGAAACAACAGGGTTGCCATAGTTCAATTCATAAGCATCCTGAGGATGGAATCCAACTCTTGATTGTGGGTAAGATTCAGGATTTCCCCACATAGATGGCTGTGCCGCCTCAAAGAATTCTACAGGCTGCGAATTATACCCATGTGAGACTTCGGCAGGGGAAGAAGCCTCTACTTCGGTTGGTTTAAAGTGACTCCTGCCAACAGTGTTATCTAGAGTCACCTCCCTACCCCCAACTTGTGGTGCTTTATGGTCAAAGCTGTCTTCCACTCTAGGCGTATCAATGGGTGACTTCCCATGCTCATTATTAACATAAACCTCAGTGGGGCTTATCCTGAGGGTCTCCATTCTCCCATCGATTTGTCTCAGATGATCATATGCAATGCAAGTGTCTACATTGTCTTCTTTTGGAATAACTCCAGGAAATTTGTTGGGGTATGCAGTTGGAGATTCATGAACCAGGCATTCTGAAGTTTGAACAGGTGTGCCTCCAACAAGAGGTACATCTTGATTAAAAAGATCATTAACTAAATTTTCCTGTTTAACCTGGTACTGGAATGGAGCAGAACGTTGTTGAACAGCATCATCTTGACAACGCTGAGGAATAGTGAACATGAATGCGCTATTTGGTGACTGTATGTCACCTCCTCTCCTGATAACACCATGGGGAGCTGTAATCATTGGAAGATCAACTTGTTGAAGATTCATTCTCTCATTTTCACGAGTTCCCTCAGAAATCTGCGAGATCCCAGTCACCTCTGAATGAGATGTTCCAACAAGAGGATCTACTTGACCTTGGACCCTGAGTCGAGCCTCAACTCCTTGCCCAAAATTACCTTCTGCTAATGCTCCACTTACCATAACCATGTTCATTGGTTGAGCTCGCAAATTGTCCTCCAGGCGGGGACTATGATAAGTTGAATTTGAATCAGATACTGGGCTTCCACCACTGTCTCTATGAACCTGTACCAAAGTATCAGAATGTGCATGAGGCAATGCTCTCTGACACATATAACAGTCCTCCAACCTTTGGGATTTCTCAGGATACATTACCTGTTGGTGGGATACCAAACCATCATGAAAAATCACATGCTCTGGTGGTGGAACCTGATGCCAGCCATAAGCACCTCCTACCACTGGTGATGGGACCTGAACCTGATAAGAATTATAGCCTTGCTCAGTAGGAAACTGGACTACCCTGGGAACAAAGGTGCTCTCATCTACATAATGATCTAACCGAGTCTGCTGGGGTTGCATCAATGGCTGAAGCACATTTGGTCTTATATTAACATGAGAAGATGAGGGAGTCATTGTCATGTGCACTGCAGGAATGAAGTGATGTTGGGTGATGCCAGCAACACTATCACAGAATTGCTGTTGGGTATATACAGGACTAGCAGTCCCCAATAGGTGAGCATTTGGGAAACCCATCTGAGGAGGAAGCTGGAGATGATCTGCTCGGTTCATAACTTCTTGGCGAGGACCAACATAAGTTTGCAGATAAGGAGCAGTGGATGGAATGCCAATTCCAGGTTGCTGCAACCCCACTTGCTGCTGCGATACTGTAACAGGAACAGACCTTTCTAACTCACACTCAGGCTGAGAAGGTGATGTTTGGGGAGGCGCAGACTTAACCACAGGAATGCCCAATGGAACTGTAGAAACTTCAGAATAAACTGCAGGGTTAGGATCCACAATTACCAATCTTGTACTAGTATCATGAGAAGTAGCTGTATCCCCTTTAGGCGATAATTTGCCTGCTGATGGAGGTCCAGTAGTGTCACCCTGACCAGGAATTGAGCTATCAACAATATCAGTTCCACTAAAATCAGAATTCTGTGTTGAAGTGGCACTTGTCATACTCTCCCTCCTCATGATACCACCACCGACCCCATCCATAATCCCATTGACAGCATCAACATATCTTTGCTCGCTATTATGTAAATCCCCGAATTGTACAACACTAGATGGATCAACTTCTGAAGCAGAAAACAAAAACACCCTCAGTTTTGCTGACCCATCTGGAGATCGCTCAACCAACTTCCCATACTCATCCTTCATATTGTCAAGATCATCAGCACATGAAACTGACACCAGTGCATCGAGATCCTCATCAGGGAGCTGATATTTAATAACCACAGGTTGCCCATATGTATCCAACATCTTCTGCACTAGCTCACTGAAGCTCACATCTCTCCGAACACTAATAATCCTTGTCTGCCCTCCAACGTATCTCAACATTCCATCACTTGGTCTGGGCAAAATCTTTCCCCCAAAGCTGCACAGAAGCTTGACTTTCTTCCCTGACACAGAATCATCTCCACCATCGTCGCTTGCTTGATCAGTTCCATTGCCACCAACCCGATTGCCAAAATTGGCATTATTACCATACGCAGATGTCAAATCATTCCCAGTTTGATTAGCAACATTACCACTGACCTTATTTCCCAAATTGGGATTATAACCAAATCTAACTGCCATATCATTAACACCATGATCCAAACCATTGCCCACAACCCTATTAGACATATTAAAATTACAGACAGAAGGGCCAGAAGCAGTTGTTGTAGTAGAAGAGCTTACAAGATCAACAGCATTGCCGCCAAGCCGACCGCCCAAATTAGGACTGTAACCAATTCCAACAGCAACGGCAGTGTTCATCCCTGGATGCCCCACCGGCACAGGTACGCGAGGGCGCCACGTGGGCACCCCAGACATGGCATTTCCATACCCTACGCCAACAAGCCCAGCCTCTGCGACCGTTGATGGGTAAAAGACAGGTATCGAATTAGGGCTATTAACTTCAAGAGCCAGGTTGGGGAAAAGTCCATCTGGGTTTCGTCCAGTTGTAGTAGCGAGCGCAATGCGGGGCTCATCAGCCACAGTTCGAGCTACGTTTAACGGTCTTAACTCTTTGGGAAACGAATTTTGATCAAACGCCATATCTACAACAATAAAGATTTCAATTAAGGGTCTGCAAATCCATCGTAAATAAGAGAACGTAGAATCAAATACGATAAAGCTAAGGCCTTTTCTTCTGGATAACAATAAAGCTACGGTCTTTTCCCCAAGATTTTCTAATTCAAGTATTGAATTTCTTTAATAATCTGGTATAAACCCCAGCCAGATTGCACCAAACTAGAATAACATTTCACAGCTTTCTAACGAAAACAGGGCAAAACAATGAAAAACAATTGAGAAAAGACAGAGACAGAGACAGAGAGATGAGTACCAGATTGGAACGGCGTTTGAGAGAGATAGAGAGAGTGGAAGAGATAAGATGCAGAAGAGGAAAGAGACAGAGAAAGCCTGAGTCGGTGGAGTGCAGTTCCAAACTCCAAGGAAATCAAAGCTCAGCGACAAACGTCTCAAACAGCACCTCGATTCAGGGTTTTGTTGAATCTTCTTCCTCGTCACTTTCTTTCTCTAAAAATCTGGTCTTTTATTGTTTTTGTTCATCTTTGAATATTTTCCGGATGAATATTATTTTTCTCGGGAAAAATGAATGAAACAGAAGGTGTGTTTTGTGTAGAGAATGGCAGTGGGCTTAAGAAAAGTTTATTGTTTTGGGTTGGAGTCTTGGAGAAGAGAGGAGGTGATGGGGGGGGAAGGGTGGCACGTGGATGACTTCATGCAATATCATGAGTCAACAAAAGTACATCATTATGTGTCTGTTGGAAACTTGGGAGGATTTGATTCTGTGAGATGGTGACAAGGTTGCGGAGAATGGGACTTTTCAAAGGTAGTGTATATTTCCTAAAGGAGAGGATCATATCAATATCCAGTTAAAGGGCAAGTGAGAGAAGACAAAAACAAAAGTAGAAACTTTCTTCAAATCCACATTAAATTAAACTCCACGCTACACCTATTATTTAATGCCATTTTTTACAATCAAATCATATATGTACCTTTACCTATTCCCCTGAGGTTGTAGGTTTGATTTTTCTTTTTCTGTATTACTTTGTATGAAATAATAATAATAATATAAATAGTAAACAAGGGAGGAGTACCGTTAGAAATTGGAAAAGGTAAAATACAATTGCTTACGAGTCTATGTTGAAGCATAACATCTCCAACTCTGCCAAATTTCCATTGTTACCCGAAAGACGAACGAAGCTGAAAAATAGAGGTATACCTTTTTATTTTCTTCGTAGAGAATTCTTTTTGACGGGTAGTTGTAAATAGTTGTTGCCATGAATCCTTAGAGGAAGGAAACCTACCCTCCCCATATTCTTGGAGTAACTTGTTGTATGACATAACTTGGTTCTAGTTGGAATAGGGAAACTTCGCCATGAAGTATAATGAGCCGACACTTCTCTAATTTCTTTCTTGGATTATTATATCCGTTATCGTTTTGGCTTCATCTTTTTGTTCTGATCTAATTTCTAAATCCCAAGAGGATAATTCGATTATTTCTTCAATTGTGACGTGTTCTTACTGGCCCCACAGTTCATGGCGGGGGAGAATGAGGCAAAAGTTTGATAAAGTTATACCATGAGCTGCTCTTTTTACTTACTTGGGTGAGGTCGGTCCAATATATACTTTGCTTGATATGTTTTTTGGTTTGAAAAGAAAACAAAGCATAAAAAGGCAAACCAAAACGTCAATACGTACGCGGTTTCATTTTTCTTTTGGAAGAAAGGGTGTTTGATTGATTGACTCAAAGTCAAGAAAGGTGATACAAACACCATCTCATTCATGACTCTCTTTTATTGTTTTCTTAAACAAACTTAAAGCATGATTAAATATAAATATTCACACTGAAAGAATCATCTAGTCAAACTAATTAAGGTCGGTAATTATTTTTTAAATTTCATCAAGAGAGTAATTTACTAATTATCAATACAGTACGAGTACGTACGTCCACATCATGCGCTATATCTTTCTGGTATTGAAAGTCTACGTGAAAGGAAAGTACAAGGAAATTGAGGTTGACTGGACAATCCCCATTGATTGATGGATGTAGATATATAGTAGATAAGCCTACACCAGAATATAACTAATATTGTGTGTGGCTGGTGTGGTGGTGGGGTTAAGTGTCGTTCCTGCATTAAGCAATGATGTGATCAAGTGTGCACACACACACACACACACATGCATCTGTCTGCTTGCTGGTCATCGGTCAAAATAACTAATTGTGTACGTCTGTGTGAGATGCGAAATAACTGGGATGTTTCTTTCTAACATGGCCAATTCCCAATTGGCTTCAGCTTTTTAAAAACAAAGACGATGCTTGTTTTTGTTTCACTTGTAAGTTGTATTTTACTAGGTTAATTAGCAACTTGGGAAGGAAGGTACTTCGTCTCACTAAAATGTCCCCGTGTGAGAGAGTCCTTAATATTCATCCCGTCAATTACAAAGTTATTATTCGATATGAACCCCTCAACATAAACCCTATCATCATAAAAGATCGTTGCAGTTGGGACCAGACAATAATTAATGTATGATTGATATGTATACCCATCAGGGAGAGTCTGGTTTTGTGCAACCAAGCAGGCCATCATCCTAATAATTACAATGTGGGCAGCAGCCATTTTGGACCAGTTCTGGCCATGCTCATTAAATTTCAAGGCCCAGGGCTTGCAATAAATATATGATGATCTGATCTTGCTCTGGTGGGGCTTACAGTAAAGCCATGCAAATGCAATGCAATGCAACCGTTGAGTTTAATCAGAAAGAAAAACTAAAACCATGCAAAATTACCGTAGCCGTAGCAATAATTACATTTAATGAACAGACCAAATTTTGTGTCTGTTCATGTAAATATATATACATGATGAATAATTACATTTAACGAACCTAATTAATTATTGAGAAACAATGGATGAATAAAATGAATTAATAAACCAGAGGCCTGCGCGAGAGATGATGATCAACTACAAGCAGTTATTTCCTTAGAGGCAGAAGGAGAAGCGGCGGAGTCCTGCGAGGTTCTGGGCGGCGAGGGCGGCAACCGGGCGGAGAAGCTCTTGAAGGGATAGTCCTCGATGTTCGCCTCCTCGTGATCAAAATTGAGGGCGTAGCTGAGGGCGTCGTATTTAAAGTCGGCGGAGGCTGAGTGCCTCCGCGCCGCGTGGCTCCGTCCCATACGCCCGATCAAGCTCTTGCACTTGTCCTTCAATTCCGCGAACTCGTAATGGCTGTTGTGATGGCCTTGATGGTGATGGTGGTGGTGGTGGAGGTGGTGATGGCTAGAGCGGGACCTGCTGGAGGAGGAGAAGGAGGAGTTGCGGACGAGGCTGACGTTGGAGGAGTGGGCGTGGGGGGTGGTGGGGGCGGTCATGGAGTGGTGGTGCGGCGTCGTTTTGGGGAAGCACGGAATGATGCAGAGGGAGGAGCGGAGTTTCTGCTTGAGGGAGGATGGCGAGCAGGGCTCGTGCTCGTTCAGGGGCTCCATCATTTTTCCCAGTTCGAGTTTGAGGCTGCTTTTGCATGAAACTTGTTGAGAGGGAGGGAGAGAGATCTTGTGTAGGGTTGGGAGGCGGAACCTCTTGGGGTTGAAATGACGGATGAGGACACGGGGGTTTCGGGGTTTTCAGGGGATCGTGGGGACGTGAGAGGGAACCAACTTGTTGAGGCCCCGGATTTCTTGGGATGCTCTGGGGGTTTTTGGTCTTTTAATCCGATTGGACCTTAGATTTCTTGGGATCGTGGGGACGTGAGTCGGAATTCAATTCAATATTCAGAGGTTGTCGCATTTTCAGGTGCTTTAATTTTTTTTGGTTCTCCTTAGATTTTGGAGAGGATGAGGATGGGCCCATAATCTCCTAGTGAAATATTCAAAGTCCATTTGCATGAGATATGGGCTGGGCTGTAGTTTAATTGGGGAGTGATGGGCTTAAAATTATAATGTGGGCTCAAAGACCATCCACAATAGGTCTATGTTGAGGGAGTGTGTTGGGGTTCAACAATAGCTCTGTACTTGATCTGAAACCTAGTAAGGACCCCTCGTTATAACCCCTCATTCATTACAGTCTTTCTGATAAATTATTAGGGAAGAATAATATAAAGGGTCCAAATCCAATTTAATATGAGTTGGTAGGATCCTTAAAATCCTGGTAATGATGTTCCCACTTGGTCTTGGTAGCTCACATGATATAGGAATCTTTGTAATGTAACGTGGCTCACCTACAATGTGCCCAACTCATATTAAATTAGTGTAATCTTAGTAATGTAAAATAGTATTATTCCCGTTTCATGGAAGTGTTTGCCCTAATGGAGAGAAGAGGAGAGGAGAGGTGGTTTGGTTTGGTTGGTCACGTGGTGGCTCACCCACTGAGTCAGCAGCAGAACCTCATTTGACACCGCTTGGCTTGGAGTCTTGGACACTTCGTATGCTTTTGGACCAAAATAATTAAAATAATTAAAAAAACAGTTTGTATGATTTGCCATTAAGTTGCACTGCAGCTTCCTCACCCTTTCCATTCCCTTTCTCAATTCTCACGCACACACTCTCTCTCTCTGTCTCTGACCTTTTTTTTATGGTCCTGTTTTTCTCATAATCTTTTTACTTACTTTTTTAAGATCTAACTCACATTTATAATTGAGAAGAGAGACCAAGAGAGAGCAAGAGAGAGCAGAAGAGGATTGATGCAGATTGTTTATGCAACCATCAATGGTATGGACCCTCTCGTCTTGTCTGCCACCACCATCTTCATTTCACTCTGATTATTCTCATCATTCACTACTGTCTTCTTCTTCTTAAAGCTTTTTTGCTTGTATTATTGCTCTTCTGTCTTATAATCTCCTCTTCCTTAAATCATATTACAGGATCATTTGTAAGACAAATATAAGCACTTGCTTTCTTTTGTTTTAATTTTGAGCTGCCTAGGTAGCTAGCTAGCTAGCTGCAATGGCTGGGATGCTTCCTGGTGTGGAATGCGCTCGAAGGAGACGAGTCCATCAAAGCGGCGAGTCACCAGGCGTGGGCACACACGGCTGGACCAGGCGCTCCTCTTTTTGTTTGTATGCTAGCAACCATGAAACTCACCATACCTCCACCTCTTCCCTGGTAATTATCTGCCTTATGCCTTCTGCCACACAATATAACAAATTATGTTACAAACCAACTATATATATTTCTTAACTTTTCTTGATTGTTTTAAAGCAAAGAAGCATATCGAACAAATCATACATGGATGAGAAACTGGGAGTGGAAGCCCGAGAAGCCAAAGGGAGATTAGATGAAAGACTTAGAACACAAAGAAAATCAGAACCCAATAAAAGGTAATTAAGAACAAATTGCCAATATATATGTTCTTGCTAGCTAACATAACATGTGTTGTTTATTATCTTATCTATATGTTTTACATGTTTTGTTGTATGATGAATTCAGGCATAGTGTTCATAGAGAAGAAGAGAGATGTGTGGGTGGTGGAAGATCTATGGTTCTTCTCGGAGAATTGCAGAAAGAAGTATTTGGAACAAAGAAGAGCGGGTCAAAGAGGTTCAGCTGGGCCAAGTTGAGCTGGAAGGCCTCAGACCAAGATGAGTGTGCTGTCTGCCTGGAAAGATTCAGGCCTGGTGAGACCCTGGTGCACCTGCCCTGTGCACACAGGTTCCATTCTGGCTGTATGGTTCCATGGCTGCAGAACAATGCCCATTGCCCCTGTTGCAGAATGGGGATTGTCTCCCAGTAAAAATCTCTTTTGTACTATTGGTAAAAATGGAAATTGTAATCTAGATAAAGCTTTTCCAGTTATAGTTATAGAGTTGGTCTGAGCAATTAGCTTGTATCTAATCTACCGTATCTTTGTTTTTCTTTGGTTGAAGTGAAAAAGTTGCCAATTAGTCTTTGATTCCCCAATCATGGTAAATACTTAAAAGTTAATTAGAAGCTGCAACATGTTGTTAGGCCCATATAATTCCTCCACTTGCATGAGAAAGGGAGGGAGAGAGCTTCTTGTCATCTTCCATGAAGGATGAAAAATAGACAAGGTATTTTGTTTGACAAGACTTCAATTTGTGAAACAAGCAAGTGGATGAATCAAATTGCACAAGAGATCACTGTCTATCCATTGTTTTCCCGCACCCTAAAATTGAATACCAGATGAGAAGATGCACCACTCACTCATCATGTGGGCAGTGGGCCAAGAACAGGTTCATTATTTTGGGACAATCTTTGCTGTCTTGTCTGGTTTTGTTTTAGTGGAAATTATTTGTGGTCGTACTAATCAAATGATATATCTTGGCTGTAAATTATGGGAACCAAAATGACCACTCGGCTAAGTCAGTGGTAGATGAGATTGTTATAAACAACTGCAACATTATATGATACTTTGAAGATGGAATGTCATTTTCAAGATTGAATACCAGTAAAGAACCTGGCATTGCTAACTAGGATTCCATCCTAATTTGGCTAAACTTTTCTTCTTTTCTTCCCAAACCCACCTTTCCTTTTTTTTGTTCCTTTCACTGACTAGCTGGACTTCACTACAGATTAGATTAGATCTTAATCTTTTGTCTTGATTATTAATGGAGAGATGATTTGTTGATTTTTAAGATAAGCTTTGATTATTTTGTTCATTCTTTTTTTCTTTTGATTGGAGTGGAGTGTGAGTGATACAAGAGTCCAAAACGTTTGAAAGTTTTCACATGTGATGTGACTCGGACATAGCCTTTGGTAGCACGAAAAAAGGATACCTAGTTTACCTGTCTGGTTTTTAAAGAGCCATATAATACAAGTTTTGTTTAAAAAATAACTCATTTTACACAGCCAGCCTTAAAAAGTTTTGAAAACTAACATATTTTAGATTATCTCAAGATAATGCTATAATCGAAAATTGAGCCGATATGTGACAATATGGAGGTTGAGATGATGGTACAAAATTTCGAAATCTGAAATCACACTTTGATCTAATCTTGATCATGTCAAATTCAAAACAAGTTAGTTTCTAAACTTTAAGAATTAAAATGGTGAGTTTGCACTTATCTCCCCTACCAAAGGCTAAGACTAATAATGTCAAGGTACCTTTTGTAGGGGAAGAAAACAGTCTATTATTTACACAATGTTCAAAGAGATACATAAAAATTTAAAATTTATTGCCAAGGGAAACGTAGCAAAACCGACGACGTTTCATCAACCGCATATTTCATTATTTTGCCACCATGTGATTTTACCTTTTTAGGCTCTCCGCAACGGCTAGTTCCTAGTGACCGTTTCCCGTCTCCCCAAATTCAAAATCTGAAATCGACCTCTAACCCACCATCAGCTTCACAGTGTGTTTCACTATACAAACAACAACACCCACAAGCCAAAACCAAAGCTCTGGCAATTTGCAGAAATATTCGATCTCGCTTAAACCCATTTAGCAATTCAAATCAAGATCCCAGAATTTCAAGAATGGTGTATTCATACGCACCCACATACTACTCTACTCTCCATGACTCGGTGACCAACTTATGCAAGACCATTCTTCCCTTCAGCTTCAAGAAACGGCGGTTACCGGCTGCAGAGCACAAGCTTTCAAAGCTGCAATCAGACAATCTCAAATGGCAGCAAGACTCTTTCCACCAGATGTTAAATTTGATGGGTCTTCATAAAGAAGGCATTTTGGCTGAGACTGAGGTCTCAGCTTTCCGCTCGCATTTGCTTGACACCCTAATCGCCTCTCCAACTGAGCGTGAACAACCGGCTATATTGAGAGATAAGTTGCTATTCTTGCAGGTAAACCAATCTTCCCTTTTTTTCTTCTTCATTTTCCTTTCTTTCATTGTGTTTTCTAAGTAACCAAACGGGAATAATTAATTAATGAAGCTTTAAATCTTTAGGAACTTTTGTATGCAAAATGCATATCTGAAGATGAGTACCATTCTTCGAAGAGGCCATTGCTGCAACGATTAGCAGTACAGGGAGCTGAGATTGAGGCCAGAGATGTAATTGTTGCAGGGCTACCACCTAAGGACCCAAAGGAGAATACAGATCAAGAGCAGTGGTCTGTCATTGACTTAAAGGATGAGAAATGCTTGCTAAACAAAGACAAAGATAAGTCGAATTCGAAGAACAAATCGAAGCATGGCTCTGCAATGAAGCAAATTAAAGGAGCAGCTTCAGTTTTGGGCTTTGTATCACCTTACAAACAGGGGAAAAGCAGAGAAGAAAGGAGCATATTCGATTTGCCCGAGTCGTCGAAAGTGTATTCCTCTAGCTCTTCTAAGCATGAATTAGGATATCATTACAAAGAAAATGAGGCCAGGTCGATTCTCATGCCAGAAAGCTTGCCACAGGAACCGGTGAAAGAAAGTGGCAGCTCAGATAGAACAAGGAGGAAACCCTTTAAGAATCTGTTTCAGAGAGAGCAGAGAGAGGGACATGGTGTTGGAGGTGGAGGTGGTGATCATGGTCATGAAAATGAACAAACACCTTCCAAATCAGCCAAAAAGCAATGGGGTTTTGATGGATTCAAGAAATGGAAGAGAAGTGACTCGGAGGATGAGACAACTCCTTTGCCTCTTAATGAAAGATCGGACAGTGAGGTTCACTTGAAGCTTGTCTCAAGCCCCATTGGCGAAGGGCCGGACACTAAGCTTATAAAAAGGAAGCTGCTTTCAGACGGTTCTCCTTCTGATTTCTTCATTGATAAGGTAGCAAGTCGTTATTTCAATTTCTAATTCTTTGGGATAATATTTGAAGCTTGAGCTGAAACTGAACTTGGTCAATTTGTTCTTAATATGAAGGTTTTAGGGGAGAAGATAAAAAAGGAGCTGTCAAGAATTCAGACAGAGCTTTGCACTTCAAATCCAAATCTTCAATTTTCGTAAGCCTCTTCTATTATCTGACATTTGGTGGTGACTATTTAGTATGTGCATTGTATTGAAAAGCAATCTTTCTTTCACAAATATAATCAGGAATGACCAAATTGAAGCGATTTCCACCAAGCTTCCCGTAGACAAGGCAGACCTGAAGAAGTTCTTTCCCAAGTGAGCAAACCCTCTCTCTTTTTGTGCTGTTTCATCCTTCAGTGTTTAAGCATATAATCAGCTAAAACCATCACACTTACTCTTCTTATTTATTTATTTACTCTTTTATTTTCGATGTTTAAGGTCATGGTGTGATCGGTATGGAGATGTTGTTTTGGATGTGGTGAAAAAAGAATTCAAGGACCATGTTGGGGAGATGGAGAGCTTGAGAAATGTTGCCAGAGAGAAACATGGCATGAACTCAGCTCGATGGACGACATTCCAAGACGACGAGGAGAATTGTCACCCGAATCTCTTTGCTCCCAGAGATCATTCACACCATACTTCAAAGTTCCATGAAACCAATCCTTTCTGTGATGATCACACTCCTAGTGATGGAAGGAAGCTGAGATCTAAACCAGCTTTTACCCAAGACCACCAGAATCCCTTTTGGATCCCAGGGCATGGCTATTGATGAGGACAGACATATATTTTGGGTTTAATCCCTTTTCTAAGTTTATTGGTATTATCAGTTTATTGGTGTATTTTATTTTGATTGTCAAATTGCTGAATGCGTATGAACTATGAGAGAAGATCTCCGTTCTCCAAGTAATTCAAACTCTATGTTTGACTTGTAAATTTAGGGAATGTAACATCCTCCTGTTGTTCGGAATTTGATTTGCTCCTGGGGTTTACCTTTTTCTAAATTAGATATATATCAGCAATCCAACTCTATTTTATCTACTAATTTAACTCTTTGCTGCATGCTAAAGGGCCTTGATACAAATATCAAAGATGTGTTTGATAGATGCACATTCATTCAATTATCTCATTTTCTGCATCTCTATACAAGTACTACAAAGCCGCATCATGAGAAAAAGATGCTACAATATTGTGGATCGTGGAAAATTCAGATACAAGTTAGTGTTGGAGGACAGATAACATGTCATTGTAAAAGCGAAGAACCACCATAACTATTTACATCATTATGTACAATTATATCAAACAGAAGATATCTCCGAGTTAGAGACGGAACAGTCAGTGATGACGCCCTCACGAACATCTCCTCGGCAAAGTGGACAAACGCTGTAAGAGGGAGGAAAGAGGCAGTAGGGAGAGAACAGAAAGACTTTCAGTATGAAACAAGGGAAATGAAGGACAATCATTAGAAAGTGGTGGGGGGCAATGACAATACCCGTGTATCTCTTTGAGCCACTTATCAACACATGACATGTGATACTCATGATGGCAAGGAAGAACTCGAATTTTGTCCCCTTCCTCATACTCAGCGAGGCATATGTAACACCTATCAATTATTAACTCACCATGATCAAACAAATGCATTATACTCACTGTTGATGAAATCAACAAAGGCCATGAAAAACTGAATCCCACAAATCAGAAAACACTCAGCAACACCAAACCCCCCAACCAAGAGAAAAATAGGCATAAATTAAATAAAACTTACTGTGCAACATCATCCCCAGACTTTAACGTGTCAACCTTTGTGTGACTCTTAAGAGGAAAAGAGTCGACAACAGATGCTGGGGCAGGGACTGAGACCATAGATAGTGAAAGTGACACAGGTTGGCGATGAATTTCATCCAAAACCTGCACGTCATGCATTACAACAAAATTATGTTTAAAAAGTGATAGTGAATGATTGCATGCAGCTAAAAGCCATCAAAGAGGCCTCAAAATGAATAATATACCAAACTCAGACCTAAGTTTTAGCCCCAAAACAGGAGAAAATTACATAACTAGGTGATGCAGGGATAATTAACAGCCGCCCCAGGTAAAAAGTGAACAAAACAAAAGGCAATAACTTATTTTATAAATACCCTCCTCACTCACATTATATCCACCAATGGTTCTTTTTACAAATCCGATCTACCAAACAAGATTCCGGGGGCCACTAGAGGATTTTATAAATACCCTCCTCACTCACATTATAACCACCAATGGTTCTGTTTGAATTAGTATAGGTCAAGACCCAAGTAATTTTAGGACAATATGAGAAGACATAATCATGACGAGGAAAGAAAACTAAAACAGAGAACATTACCTCAAATAGAGCTTCAGCAAGCATGACTATTCTTGATATACTTGCCCGAGTACTAGACTCTTCGGTCAAGAACGAGCCACATGAGCACATGCCACGAGGGTGGATTCCCGTAGGACAAGAGGTATTACGCTGACCATTGTCATCAAGGCCAACACGAAGTCTTTCCCAGACCTACAAAGAAGAGTCATGCCGATGCAAATCAATAAAAGTCATTGAGAGAACCCAGAAAAAGTAAGAGCTGTTACAATTCATAGATTCTTTTGCCCCATAAAAACATTTGGATACAACATTTAATGAAGGAAATATTAAAGTACCGTTGATGAACGACATGTGAGTAAACAAATAAATGAACATGCATATACTGTTGATACCCATAGGAGCCAAAAATCTCCCGAATGAATGGAACCAAAGAGTCCAAAAAGCCCTAATTTCATATCCAAGTTAAGCCACATAATAAACTTTTAATGTCTAAAAGATCACCTCGGATCTAGAATGCCGTCGTCGTTCATTTGAGTTGGGAATTCTATTGCCCTGGTAACCAGAATCAGCTCCAATCCCATCATCAAAAAAATCACCACTCAAACCAAGTAGCCATCTGTCATGAAATCCTAGATCCTCAGTATCATCAGTAGATAAAAGAATTGTTGGAGAATCAATAAACCTTCTGGAACTGCGTCTTGAAAATGCATCCCAGAATAGTCGTCTGCCATTCCTTCTGGCCTCACGATTACTTGCATCAGCATTGCTTCTAGACAAAAGGTTGGAAGAAATACTCATGACATCAACATGAAGTATACTTCCATCTTCCTCGCCTTGTTCCCTATTGGACACAAGGAATCCTAAACCAGAAGGTATTGCCTCTCGAAGGGAATCATTTCCAAGTGAGTGAAAAGACGATGGTGTTTCAGAAACACGAGCAGATTCCGTATCAGCATTAGAACTATTGGCAGCCATTACTTCAGCCACATGATTCTCAACAGACACTTCAGTAGAGCGGGAATTCCGAATCCCCTGTGGAGAGGAACTACTTGGACGCATAACCTCAGGACAGGTCTGAGATACATTATTGTCTGCTGAATTACCAATGCCATTGACTGCATCCATATTAGCGGAACAATTCACAGAGACTGGGTCTGAAGATTGTTGTTCTTTAAACGAAGTACTAGCTGTAGTACTATTATCCCTACAAGATTCATCGTGACTATAATCGGTACTTACCTGATGAGGAGATATTAGTTCTTTGCTTTTGGACAAGCACTTCCCCTGGTTACTTGTATGAACACTGCTTAAACCATCTTCAAAATAAGTATTCTGACTGGCTGCAACAGTGCTCTCAGATGATGATCCAATTTCAATAATGGGGCAGGTGAGCCGTGCCCCTGTACTGGAGACCAACGAAGTTCCCTCTGTGGAGTTCCGAACTTGATTAATATCCAGATTACGTTGCTCTGCATATTTCACAAGACACTCAGCTGGATGATCTTCCATCTGCAGGAAAAACACCTAAACAAATCAGTAATCTATAACTACAAAGTACAAAACTAATGCCACAAAATAATTAGAAATATAGCTTATATCTACTAACTGAATCATGAAATGTTTAAGGATTCAGGTAGAAAAGGCCATATTTAAACTCGGAACCCTCAATTAAATGACCCGATGAACTAAATCCCCAACTTCTTTTCAACAAGAGCATCACAACGATAATGGGGACAACATTCGCGTTTACAGGCAAATGATAATTTAAAGAATAACTACGATATTACCGAGCACGGGGCCAACCTTCTGCATCAGCTGGCCAAATCCCATATCATTTTTCTCCGATTGCAAATTGAATTTGAGGAAAATAAAAACCCAAAACAACTTATTTTAAAGAAAAATGCTTAAAGGCTTTTAAACTTGCACTGGTTTGTTTCATGATTATGATATAGGCATCTATATTTTGCACCAGATGATGAAATCTCAAATCATCGAAAAACCAATAAAAATCGAATTTTGCTTTCAAAAAGGTCAAAATGATGAGAAATCCAAAAATGGGTATTGAAAATTGAATTAAAGACATCAAATTTAGTGGACGACGATGAAGAAGAATAAGAAGAAGGTACCTCGTAAGTGGAACGTGAGGAGGAGCCACCACAGACGAAAGAGGAGAGTATGGAACGATTGGTGGTGCGATTGACTCGGGCCCGTGATGGGCGGGAGCCCAGTCGACTACTGCTCGAACCCATTTTAGAGATTAGAGAGAGAACGCTTGAGAGTTAAGAAGTGGGGGAGGAGGATGTTGTTGATGATAATTGAAGCACACCAGCTGAGATAGAGAGAGAGAGACAGAGAGACACGGAGGAAGCTTTCTTTCTTTATTTCAAATTCAATTATTTTGTGGACTTCCGTATCATTGCGGTAAAGACTTTTTTAATATTTCTTTTGCTGGAAAAAAGACTTTTAACTAGTAAATATGTTCCTCTTCGCGTCAACGTATTTTATTGTCTGGAAGAATTACGCTTACTTGTTTTTTAGTACAAGTAAATGTGGAAAAATTGGCTGAAAACCTGACATGAAATATTAAGGATCCACCAAACCAGTCATGGGTTTTTGGGCTGAAGTCAACTTCTTAGTATGGTTGGGCTCCCGAGCTTCGTTGGAATTGTAAACTGGGCCAAGCTTGATCCATCAAGTTTTTGGGCCTTACTCGTCGAGTTTTGGCCCCAGGACATTTAAAATTAAAAAAAAAGATGAATTTTTAAGGGAGTTTCACTAAAACACCCAAAATGGGGGCTGAAATTATAAAAAAAACCCAACACCCAAAACACTTTATAAACACACTCAAAACTCATCATTACACACACTCAAAACCCATTTATAAACACACCCAAAAAATATACAATTGTTGATTTTGAGGTTGAGGTTGATTTTGAGTGTGTTTCTATATTTAAATAATGCTTGAGTTTTTTTATAAATACATGTTTAAGATTAAGTTTATTTATAAATTTGTAAATTTGTAATGCGAGTCACGGCATGCCATGTGCACAATAATAATTGAAGCATAGTACAGCTTGTGAGAGGTGGGGCTACGTGGTTTGTTTTTGGTCGAAGGGCGGGTTACGTGGTTGGTTGGAACTTGGAATATCCGAATATATATATATATATATATATATATATATATATATATATATATACGTCTGAATCTGACAGGGGAGTCTGTGGATATATGACAATGACATGATCGATTATGGCCATGTAATTTGTAACCAAGAATTGGGTGGAAGAAATAAAGTAGAAAAGTAGTTTGGGTTATGACTGATCGATATGAAGTTGGGTTATGACTGATCGATATGAAATTGGAATTGAATTGTAGGTAGGAAAAGGACCATGCATGAGACTAGTAGCTGATGAAGATGAAGGACACGTTTGCCCTCTACAGAAGAAGCACCATTCTGCCCTATCTCAGCTTTAGCTTTTTATATAATTTATAGCCACGAACCTACTTCTACTTGTCTGTGCATAGAGAAAGAGCAAAAGCACTTTATTCACTGCTATAAAATCCAAATCCAATTCTTACTCTTAATCCAGCTTTATAGAGATCGAGAAATATGCCAGACCATCCACCACCACCGCAGGGGCACGGGCATGGTCATCCAGGTCCTCCTGGTCCTCCTGGTCCTCCTGGTCAACCTCCTCCTCCAGCCCAAGGCGGCCATGGCCCTCCTCCTCCTCAGCCAGGACCCCCTTCACCTCCCCATGGCCCTCCTGAACCACACAAGCCACATCCACATGATCCCCATCATGATCATTGCCACCACCACCACCACCCATGAATCTTCATCTATTATGTATGCATTCTAGCTATATATATAGCTTGCTAATTAGGCGTTGTAAGAAATAATTATATATGTAATTTCTAGTTTTAACTAGCTTGCTCTCATCTCATCTCATGATCATGCATTGTAATGACATTATCGGCTCTAATATGTAAGAATATTAATTATATATGTAAGAAATCACTATCACTGTGTGTTTATGTACCAAAAAAAGGATGCTGATTATCCATCTGAAATAATAATGAGATGACTGATCTTGTGGGTTTTCCTCTCACTTTTGTTTGGTAATAACTGACAGTTTTTACTTTGTTTTACACCAAAAATCTTTTCCCAAGAAAGAACTTGCAAAGCAGAGCACCAAAAATGCTTAGCAAAGCCAAAAGGCCCGACCTGCACCCAGGACGAAACTAACAAGGCAATCCACAGAGGACAGCATGATAATTATTCTTCTTTTATAATTTGATATTTGACTTCATAAATGAGTATGTCTTAATTAACTACTGCTGCAAGCAAGTGAACAAAAGAAGTGCATAACATGGTGGTGCTAAGTGCTCACCAGGGCCGGTCCTGAGTTTTCAAAGGCCTAGGGCGAAAATCTAAAGTGTGCCCTACACACATTAATCACTAATACTAGTATACTTCTTGTTTTATTAACTAAGCATTAGGTTTTTTTAAAGAAAGTATTTATTCGAAAATATTTTTAGACTTTGAGCAATGTCTTCCATATTCCTAAATAATGAAAAAAAATATCCAACTATGAATACCATACCAGTGAGTCAAAGAATTTCAAAAATGCAAGTCAAGCCAATATCAAAGAATTTCTTTTAAAACTCTCGTCATAGATCATTTGTTTCAAAATTTCAGATTCATCTCAATATCCTATTCCTAAAAATTATGGAAAAATATTAAATCAATTTATAATAATATAATATAACACTTATTATAATAAAAAAATTTGGGGCCCCCTTGAATAATGGGCCCAAGGCAGTTGCACTAACTGCCCCTGGGAAGGGCCGGGACTGGTGCTCACCCCAGGTTCATTGAGTTTTTGAAGTATGAATATATATATATTTCTTTTCTTATGCGGGTGATTGGATGTTATTACTGCACGAACACTATTGTAAATATTAGGCAAAAACTATTAATTAAGACATCTAATTATGTCCAATAAAATCGACGAATATAGTGCTTTAAGAAAATACTAAAATAACATTATTGTTTAATTGAGTGATCAAATGAAATTCATATCCAAGTGATGTTATGCATAGATGATCTTTAAATAAATACTTAAAAAATAGATGGTTAGGCTAATTAAGATAATTGAAATACAATGCAGGGTATGCCCTACAAAGTATCCTTCAAATAAGCTTATTTGAGAAATCTCTTAACTGAAGCTTTGTGTATATATTGTGCGAAGAAATTAGAAGATGTACGTAGAGTATATAGCGGCGGACCTAGGAATTTTTCAGCGGATGTGCAATTTTTAAAAGTTAATAGCTCAAAAAAAAACAACAACAATAACTAAACATCCTTATAATTTAAACAATACTAATGTTATTCATAATTAATTAAAAATTAACATTAAAATTAACCTACAATTGTTGCCTCTTCCTCCCCGAGTTTGCTACTGATCTTACTAATACAGAGAGAGCTAAATAAGAAAAAATATATATTAAAAAAATAAATAAATAAATAAATAAAGAATAAACAAAATTGGCGTTTGCTCAAGAAAAAAAAATGCATTCGACTTCCTTTGGATTAGCGTACTCAAGAAGAAGAAGAAAAACGTAGAATTTTTTTTATGCACACACACTTTGATGAAATTGGGTAATGTTAAATTGGTCTTTTATAATAGAAAAGTTAAAGATGATGTAGAAAAGTTATAGAAAAGTTAAATTAGCGTACTCATCCTAATTTTTGCGACCTATATAGAGGAGTTAAAGATGATGTAGGTATACGCAAATGACGTTGTGGTTGGTGGTGTTGTCCTATCCTAATTCAGAAGCTTTTCTTTTCTAAAATAAAAGTGGGGTCGTTGGAGGTCGTTTTCCACTTCAAATGGGTTTTGCCGACGCCGTTTCCAATTTCCAAGCATATTTAAGGGAGATGTCAAATACCAAACATCAAATTTAAATTTGATAGCTGATGTGGCAATTTGACATTTACACAGTTTTTTACTCCACCCGATATGTCAAATAAATAATTATTGTAACAGTCAAATCATTTAAGATAAAGAAAAAAATAATAATAAATGAAAGTTACAACTGTCTTTAAAAAATAATAAAATATTCATTTGACATCTTACTTTTAGGATGTCAAAAATAACAGCTGAACCTCTAGCCTTCATTCCACATTAGCTTTGACAATTCGGTTAGAGTGATGTAAGATGTTATTTCTAACCGTTAAATGTCTATGTAGCACTTTTGACATATCGATTGGAGATACTCTTAGACTTGTAATTTTCTCTTTTAACATTATTACCAAACAATTTCTTTGTTTTATCTTGAAAAAGATGTAATTAATAATAACACAGGATGGCCCTTTCTTTTCCTTATGGAGGAAAAATTACTAGATTGTTTTATCTTGAAAAAGATGTAATTACTAACCGGAAAAAGACAAAAATTATTTCGTCCTCTTTTAAGTAGCTAGATGGATAGGATAGAATTATATAATTAATAGAAAAGATCTTTATTTTTTATTTTTTATGTGGCACCTATTTACGGTGATGAAAATCATCTAGCTAGTGAGGATGTGGACATTGCTTTGTGTTTGTACTGCCGACAATAAATATTGCATTATAAAAGCCACTGCGTTCTTCAACAATTCGCCACATCAAAATTCAACCACTCGACAAGTAAGAATCAACACCAAGAGTAAGAGTCTCTCTGCAACTGCAACAACCAATTCAAGAAGATGCAACGCCCAGGAGCCGGCCCTCATGATCATGGCCATGGACATCCAGGCGGCGGTCCAGGAGGCCAAGGTGGAGGTCCAGGAGGCCAAGGAGGCGGTCCAGGAGGCCAAGGCGGCGGGGGTCCAGGAGGCCAAGGCGGAGGGGGTCCAGGAGGCCAAGGCGGTGGCGGTCCAGGAGGCCAAGGCGGAGGAGGTCCAGGAGGACAAGGTGGAGGAGGTCCAGGAGGACAAGGTGGAGGAGGCCAAGGCGGAGGCGGTCGAGGAGGCCAAGGTGGAGGTCCAGGGGGACACGGTGGCCGCTGATAAGTTAACGATGATGGGCAACAAGACTTGTGGTGTACTACTAGCTAGTAGTACGCACTACGTAGTCTATATATGATGAGAATAATTAGCTGATAATGATAATGTTGTGTTTGTTATTAATTAGTAATGTTTTTCTAGTTAGTTTTGCTAATCATGTTGGGTGAGATCCTTCCCTTCCCCGGACATCTCCAGTAGCTCAGTTTCAGCTGGCTGGAGAAGAGGAGGGCGGTTTATGTAATACTACTGTATCATACATGCATATAACAATAAAATGAAGAGCACCACTTTATTATGATATGTTGCCCTTCTATTCGTTTTGGTGCTCTATATTTTTACTTTCACTTTTGTTTGGTGTAACCCACAGTTTTTACTCTGTTTTACACCAAAATTCTTTTCCCTTGTGTTTTTGTTTTTTGTTTCTGAATAAGTCAAGAAAAGAACTTGCAAAGCAGAGCAGACCCAAAATGCTTGCAAAGAAAGCCAAAAGGCCCCGACCTGCACTGCACCCAGGACGAAACGAACCCTATATTCAATATTAATATAGCACAACAACTAATTAACTAAAAACCAAATTAACAAGACACCATTGTAAACATAGAGGAACATAAGAAAGGATATTAAAAAATACATAACGTCTATACAATAATAATGTCCGAATGTCTGCAAATGAAAATTTCTCTAGCTCCAAGAAAATGAAAGATATATATTGTCCTAATTTGAAATTTGATAAAAACAAACAAAAAGCTTCGCGTGATACACATGTAACATGTTTCAGATGGAGAGTAAATGTTCTTGTAATAATTTCTGTATTCATTCCGGAGAAAAAACAAAAAAAAACTTAATTTATTTTGTCCTCTTTAGTCATTTTATAGTAGCTAGATGGATAAGATAGAAAATATCTTTTATACGTGGCACCTATTTACGGTGATGAAAAGCATCTAGCTAGCTACCATGTGAACGTTGCTTTGTACCGACAATAATATTGCATTATAAAATCCGACAGTTTTCTTCAACAATTCGCCACTTGAACACTCCACAACTCGACAAGTAAGAATCAACTCCAAAATAGTCTCTCCGCAACCGCACTGCAACAACCAATTGAAGATGCACCGCCCCGGCCATCATGATCATGGCCATGGACCTGGCGGCGGTCCAGGAGGACCAGGTGGCGGTCCAGGAGGTCCGGGAGGCGGCGGTCCAGGAGGCCCGGGCGGCGGTTGGGGAGGTCCAGGAGGCGGTGGTCCCGGAGGCCCAGGCGGCGGTGGTCCAGGAGGACCGGGCGGCGGTGGTCCAGGAGGTCCGGGAGGCGGCGGTTGGGGAGGTCCAGGAGGCGGTGGTCTAGGAGGACCTGGTGGCGGTTGGGGAGGTCCAGGAGGACCGGGCGGCGGTTGGGGAGGTCCAGGAGGCCCAGGCGGCGGTGGTCCCGGAGGACCAGGCGGCGGTGGTCCAGGAGGACCGGGCGGCGGTTGGGGAGGTCCAGGAGGCGGTGGTCCAGGAGGACCAGGAGGCGGTGGTCCAGGAGGACCAGGAGGACCAGGCGGCGGTGGCCCAGGAGGACCAGGCGGCGGCGGTCCAGGGGGACATGGTCGCTGCTGATGGGCAACAAGACTTGTGGTGTACTAGCTAGTAGCACGTAGTCTATATATGATGATATAATTAAGTTGATGATGAGCGTAATCAGCTAATAATGATGATGTTGTGCTTGTTATTAATTTCTAGTTAGTTTTGGTAATCATGTTGGGTGAGATCCTTCCATTCCCCGGCCATCTCCAGTAGCTCAGTTCAGCTAGCTGGAGAAGATAAGGGCGGTTCATGTCATACTAGTTGTACTGTATGATGCACGTAATATATAACAATAAAATGAAGAGCCCCACTTTACTATGATATGATTATGTTGCCCTTCTATTCTTTATATTTGCGTGCGTGAGCCAGTGAGACAGTAAGACAGTGAGAGTGAGATTTCTCTTTTATTATATACGACCGATTGATATGTTTATCTTTATTCTTCATAGTTAGTTATATATTACCTACATATATACATTTAAAAAGGCTATTTGATTTAAGTTTGTGTTAAACGAACCTTAAAATTAACTGAATACACCTTAATATTTAAATTAAAATATAAAGTTAATTAAGGATATCTTATTTAACTGTTAAAAATATCCATGATATACCTTAATACACCATATCACACAACACCAAACTCATTCGAGAGCTAGCCGCTGCATTTCTCTGTCACACAAACTTGGTGATATAAAGATATCAAGGGGGGATTTCCTGTGATCGTGATAGAGAAATTTTTATGTTACTCTTTTAAGGTTGCTAAATTCGTTAGAGAGAAGCAGGGTGTATTTGGACTGATATGATGAGATTACCAGTGCAAGTTTCAGCTGATCAAAGCTTTGCAGTTTCGGCTTAACTAGCCTTTGATTAAAGGGCCTTCTACAGCTTCTTTTTCATTTTTCTGATTTGTAATAATTTTGTGAAGGACATGGTGTAATTAGCTAACTCTTGATTGGGTTTGAATGAGTCGTAGTGAAGCCAAGTTATATTGTTTTCTCTTTTGAGTCTGGCTTTTCTGGTCAGGAGGCTTTGAAGTTGATACTGGTGTTAGGTGACTTGCCGATGGTTCTTTGATACATCAGTCGATCAAATTTTCAGATGAAGCAAATTGTTACCAAAGCTTCTTCTATTACCCAAAAAGCAAATTGAATGATGAGGACTGATAAGCAGGTAATTCACCCAAGGACAGGCTTTTTGCCTATCAGTCTTTGATCACTGGGCTATAGCTCCGCGGGATCCGCTTGACAAGAGTATCGTTCTGCGACCCCTGGAACCTGCCCCATATTCAACACCTATATAGCCCATGAGTTCATGGTGAAAACCAGACGCAGGAAGGTAAAAGCATTCCGTCATCTCTCCCTCTCTCTCTTGGAATCTTTCTGGCATTGTTTGAGGAATGCTAAATTTGCTCATCTTCTTTATTTTGTTGAAAATGGCAGGGAATGAGTGAGGATGTGAGCATCAACAAATTTTTCGAAGGAGGCCATGATGGTGGAACTGGCTCAGCAAGCTATAACTGTGACTGTTGTATCCATTGTTTTTTGGTATCCTCCTAATTCCATCTGCTGCTGCTTGCTAATTATTTTTTCACTTTAGAATTCAACTGATAATGCCACTGCCACGTTGACATCACACACAGATGGATGCTCTTGCTGCTGTAAATGCCAATGAGATCCATTTCTGCGTTACGCGGCACCTTCCAAAAGTATAATTAAACCAAATATTGTCCTCAATGGGCAATTATTTTCAGATACGACAAACGACCATATGGCCAATTCGCAAATATTCCAAAATACATAATGTCGTTTCTGCCCCGCTAGATTTTATAACAATTTTACAACCATCACGCACGCGTATGTTATTTAACTTACAACTTTATTTACTTTTTACGTCTGCAAGTGTGGTTCACACGTGTTTGAAAGTCAAAGCATAACCACTCCCCTTCCCCTTTCTTACCGTATCTCCAAAATTCTTCACCCCTCCCTCTGAAACTCTCCAGTCTCTCAGCATCTCAACAGCGATGGTGAAGACGAGAAAATGAAAGAGCTTATCAGAGCTCTGGTGGAAGACTTAGATATTGGATCACACGAAGCCAATACTGTAGCTTCGTCGTCACCTTCTTCCCCTCTGCTTACGACCCTCCGCCTCAATCAGAGATTGATAGGAAAAGATCAGGTAAAACATTAGGGTTTTTTACATTTTTCCTTCTGTTTTTTGCAGTCGGTGAATTCTCTGTGCAACTAAAAACTCCCAACATTTTGGATCCACCATCTTTCTCTGTAATTATAGTTACTGTATATCTGAGCATTCTGTGTAGCTTTTTGTGTGTAGTACTAATTGCAAAATATTGAGTTCAACAGACAATGCAATCCAAAACCTCAAGCCTAGCTCCAGCTCTCAACTATTTCCCAACCCTCAAACCCCCACACAAAACTCTAGCTTTCCACCGATTTTCAGTCCTCATCATCACCTTCCTTGCCTATGCGTCGTTTCATGCCTCTAGAAAGCCCCCAAGCATTGTCAAGAGCGTGCTTGGACCCACAATTCAGTCCAATTCCAGCTCAGCTGATACAGGGTGGGATCCCTTTAATGGTCCCCATGGTGCGCACAGGCTAGGAGAGCTTGATCTTGCATTTCTTTCTGCGTATTCGATTGGAATGTACTTTGCAGGGCATGTCGGGGATCGGATTGATTTGAGGTTGTTTCTCGTGTTTGGGATGATGTGTAGTGGCATTTTAACAATATTCTTTGGGTTAGGATATTGGTTTGGTGTTCATTTGTTGGGGTACTTTATGGCTGTTCAAGTACTTTGTGGGTTAGTTCAGTCAATTGGGTGGCCTTGTGTGGTAGCAGTAGTGGGAAACTGGTTTGAGAAAGAAAAGAGGGGGTTGATCATGGGGGTCTGGAGTTCACATACCTCAGTTGGAAACATTATTGGTTCAGTTGTGGCGTCTGGGGTTTTGGAATTTGGATGGGGTTGGTCCTTTGTGGTGCCTGGGGTTTTGGTCATTTTGGTCGGCATTTTAGTGTTTTTGTTTCTTCCCGTGAGTCCAGAACACTTGGGATTTGAGTCTTTGGTAAAGGAGATTCAGATGAATGTGGAAGTTAATGGCATAGAGAATTTGGAGGGAAAAGTGGAATCAGAGGAAGCAGGTCTTCTTGGAACAGAAAGTGCAGATGTCGATACAGGTGCAGATTCTTTGGCTGCAATTGGCTTTTTAGAGGCATGGAGGTTACCAGGCGTGGCACCATTTGCTTTCTGCCTATTCTTTTCAAAGCTGGTGTCTTACACTTTCTTGTACTGGTTGCCCTTTTACATAAGGCACACAGGTACTTCCTCCAGTTAGATTTTTATATATGACTTTGAAATTAGATTGTTGGGATCATCTTATGATATCCCATTATGGTTGAACTGCTTCTTTGGATTTCATGTTTGAGTTTTTTTTTCAAATACACCATCATGGATTGTCATGAAAATGGCCGTCCTCATCGCAATTCACAAACAATCCAGAGCATTTAAAATTGGACACATATTGCAGTTCTATACTCTTAACTGTAACAGCGCCTATGTTTGTATGTGTATTGTCTTTAAAATCCAAAATTACCCTAGGAGGATTATCTTCTCGTATTCATCATAAATTTTGTTTCGCCTTGCAGCTGTTGCTGGTGTGCATTTGTCACACAAAACTGCTGGGAATCTTTCAGCCATATTTGATATTGGAGGAGTCTTCGGTGGAATTTTAGCTGGATTGATATCTGATATGATTGAAGCTCGAGCTGTAACATCAATTGCATTTTTGTTGCTTTCGGTTCCAGCCCTTGTTTTCTACCGGGTTTATGGAAGCCTATCTATGGTTGCCAACATTCTTTTGATGTTTCTTTCTGGATTGCTGGTAAATGGCCCATATTCACTAATTACCACAGCCGTTGCTGCTGATCTTGGTACCCAGACAGTGATCAGAGGAAATTCCCGTGCATTAGCTACTGTAACTGCAATTATAGATGGTACAGGTTCTGTTGGGGCGGCTCTTGGCCCACTTTTAGCTGGGTATATTTCCACCACAGGGTGGAACAATGTATTTCTCATGCTAATTTTTGCTATTTTCTGTGCAACTTTGTTTTTGATTCGCATTGCGAGAACGGAGATCAAAGGAAATTTGAATGAGGGGAAATGGTCTTTGTATAGCATAGGCACACAATGATGGAGATTTTCTCAAGGCATATCTTTTTTTTTCTTTTGTCTTTCTTGTCATACCAGAAAAGCAGATTTCCTTCAGAGAGAGGGGCTATTGGTGGGGTCATTTGTGTATGTTTGTATCTCATTGTTTTATAGCTCATTCATTGTTCCCAGTTTGTTGGGTTTCTTACCGACTTACAGATACAGCTAATTAATAATAAAAATTCTTCGACGGTTTGGATCTATGTTTCTCGTCTCTTGCCTTCTTCCATCTCGAGTCCCAAATTCTTTTTGCTCATTGAATTGAATCAAATTGGTCTCATATTAGCGACAATTAATCAAGAAGCGTGTAATTAGCTGTTCCAGTATGTGAAATTCAAGTTGCACGCAGCAGAGGCAGCCCATGAAGAACCAAATGTATGATGTTTTGAGCAGTCAAATAACAAGCATTTTATGCGTCGCTGGCTTTTCTGGTTACATAATACATTCAAAAACCAGTAGGATGATCAGAAAACTCCACAAAGGTCAACAATTCCGATCATCAAGGGCAAAGGAACGCACGCACAGTTTTATAACGAAGTGAAGCTTAAACCTTGGGACTTTGTATAACAATTATAAGTATTACAAGACATGGAAGGAGTTCTGACAAATAAATGTACACTACACATCTGCATATACCTTGAAAAACAAAGGTACAATAACAGAACAGCCTCGCCACGAAATCAGACCTGCCTGGCTACCTCAGTTATACAACACAAAATAAGATTTTAACTCCATTCTCTGCCAATAGGGTACAAGTGGTTATTCCAAAGCCTGATGATACGAATGTCTTCTTTATCCTTCCATCTTCTGTGGAACAGATTGGAGCACCGGATATAGAGCAAAGCAAAGTGGCAGTCCCTTTCTGGATGAATATATATACACATGCTGAACTCCCATCCAATTTCTAAGTATTATTGCTACCAGTTCGAACCTTTGCCCAACAAGGGAACATAAACTAATAAACAAGTAATTCTATCCTTCTAAGAAGAATTTGATATTCTGAAGTCCTTCAGCAGAAATGCTTCGTCTGACTCTAGACCTCTCTACCACCACATGTGGAGGAGGCTCCAAGTGGAAACTCACCATAACTAGTGTCAAATTATCACTTGCTCCACGCTTTATTGCCTCCTCTACTATTTCCTTGCAGCACAACTTCACATCATTGTGCTCTTGGAGTCTCCTTCGAGCAAAATCAACAGCATTTTGGCTGGTGAACATCTCCCATATTCCATCACTACCAATGATCAAAAACTCATCATCCTTGGTCAGTGTCATTAATTTAAGTTCTGGTTCAGCACTTAAGGGTCCTCCCCTTTCACCCCCACCCTTCATTCCTTCAAGATGCCAATCACCTAATGCACGGGTGACACCTAACTCACCATTTAGAAAACCATCATCAATATATCCACCCAAGGATTCAATCCGCATTCTTTCTTTTTTGCAGCAGGGCCTATGATCTTTTGACATTTCTACAGCCGCTCCACATCGTGACAATACAGCACGGCAATCTCCAGCATTTGCCACAAGCAAAGACCTGTCCAAAAGGATAATTATTAGCTGAAGCAGACTAGTTGTCACACAAAAGGTCTGATAAAAACAAACTAAGCAGTCTCAAGAACAGGGCATGAGAATAGCCAAAAGTGCATAGATGTAAGATAATTAAATCAAATGGGGAGATATAGGATGTGGTCATTCTGAGCCATTATGATCAATTCAGTCTTCAATCTCACTAATCCCGAGTTGCGACCAAGATTTGGTCACACAACATCAGTTTTCTTTACTATTTTTATTTCTTGTTTTGCTCATGCAACAGACACAATTCATTCTTCAGCATGCCACTGCATGAATTAGCTGATTAGATTTTCTCTTATTCTTTAATCTGATGGCCAAGACTTGCAGTAATGATTATTTAAGACATTACTGTTGTAAGTCAACACCTTTATTACAGATGACAGTCAACCTACACCAGATGAAAGAGTCCCCTTACCTCCCAAATATCATTGCAGTGAGTGCAGTTGTTCCAGAAGCACGGGAAGACTCAAGGGAGCACGTTTTTGCAAATGCAGCATCTGTCTCCATAAATGACCTTGTTATCACCTTTTCAAGTTCTAATGGAAAGTCAGCATCCTCAACAACTACTCTTGGCAAATTGTCACGAACAAATTGTGCTGCATCCTTTCCTCCATGGCCATCAATATTTTTTTTTTTTTTTTTTTTTTTTTTTTTTTTAAATTGCCATTTACATCATCAAAATCTGATAAAATAAGGAGTCTGAATTGTTATGCATGAGCTTTCATTAAACTGTTGCAAGTACCCTTAAAGTTGCAAAATTTTGATTTAACTATTTAGAAATTGTCCAAAAAGACTTTCTTCATATTATCGTTCTCACTGTAACCAGGGTTTACAATGAAGACCTTGAGAAGTGTTGGGGATGCTTTGAATTGTTATACAACGGAAGAAGGTGAGAAAACTTACACCATAGAAGGAGATAGCTCCCTCACTGAGTACATTATAATCAAACATTTTAGCTAAGTCACCAATGCATATATGAGTATCCTGCATATCGGTTCGACCCCCAATATCAGACCACTCTCCTGACCGAAGGCAAGGGAAAAAGTTCAGCAGGCTCTGTTTTCTGTCTACAGCCACTGTATCCTCACATATGCTTTCAAGCTAAAAGACCAACAACATGATGGAACTTGAATCAGAATGTGACGGACTGCAAGTTAACAGGTCAAGGAAACAGATTTCGGAAACTCAAGAAAGTAAATTAGGAAAAAAAATTTCCAAGTATAATATCAACACTCTCCTTGGAAAAAAATGTTCTCCAACCACAAAATGAAACTCAAATCAATCACAAAAGTTCACATTGCTCGAAACATCAACATCATCGGGTTTCCCACAAAATTGTGGGATATGAAAAACTGTATAATGTTGTGAAATATCAAAATCAGTCAACACATAAAGAGTAACATAAAATGTAATTCAAGACAAGGAACTCAAGGAGCAGATAATAAAAGAAGAGATCCACTACAACACAATCCAATCAAAACAAACGTTAGTCATCACCATCCAGCTGTACAGAGCACGATAAGGAAGTACATAATTTTTGTAAATGAATCACCTTCCGACAAGTGAAAGCAAAACAAAGAATTGCAGCTTAGCTTACTAAATAGGAAAAACAACTTCCAAAACAACTGTTTCCCAAAATGAACTGAAAATTAGCGGAGCATGATTAAGAAAATAGGAATTCAAGCAGAAAACTTTCGTGCATGATGCAGTATAAACTAATGACAACAGTAAAATTATTGAATAGTGCAGAGATACAAAAATGAAATTGTAATCACGACAGGCCAAATGATTGAGAAAAACATAAAGAGCAACAACCGGACCACGACCAACTACACACAAATCCAACAGAAAGAAAAAAAAATCACAAAGAAAGTTTTGTCAATCATCATCACAGAAGAAAACAAAGACCCAGAACTCAATTTCAACCGAATGATCCTAAAAAGTTACAAAATTGAGACAACCCCAATAAAGCTAAGCAGTCAAAGAAGAAGAATTTTTACTTGAAATGAGTTTAACATAGTTTTCTGAAGACTGGAGCTGATCAAAGGAGTTTCCTTGTCCAAATTCTCCGTCTGGTTGTGCAAGATTTCACATTGCAAAGGCCACTGCTTGTTATTGTTGTTGGTATTGATGTTATTATTCTCCATATTCCCCATTTCTTGACCAAGCTGCTCTGCGTCTATCAAGCACATGCTTATGATGAAAATGATAATGGTTGTGCTCTTCTTAGTGCTCAGTTTCTTAGCGAGTTGCTGAGGGAATCGGAAAGTAGTAGAAGATGCGGAGAAAAAGAGAGATAAATTTGTGGTGAGAAGATTCTGAAAATATTTGAGTGGAATGAGGGCCTCTGTTTGTTGTAGTAGAATTCTGAGAGAGAGAGAGAATGAGAATTCCAGATTTTTCTGTGAAAGCGTGGCTGAAAATCAGTTTGTTTGCTTGCTGGGTTCTTTGATATTATTCTATCTTTTCCTCATTTTCAATATTGAAATGCAGACCCAAAAAAAAAATTAAAAATTCCAAGTGGTTTCATTTGCTAAATAAAAACTGTAATTCAATATTCAGATTATTTTTGGCAATTCAAAAATGCATTAACGAATATGTAAATTAAATTTGACTAAAATGAGAGGAATGAATGATTAATGAATACGGCATCTAAAAGAAACAAAAAGGTGTCCCATTTTATAACATATTTCTTAACCACTAAAAAGAATTCATTAATGCGGTCTTTAGGTCAAAACATAACCCCTTTTTGACAAGATATTATTGGACTGGATGCGTTGCGCATATCCGATCCACCATCTCACCGCCATATGCCTTTCTTTTTCTTTTCTTTTTTTCGATGGACACATCTGCTTTTCTTTTTGGTCATACTGCCTTTCGTTTCACATTCATTCACAATCACAACAGTGGAATTTATTTTTTAAGTGCAAAAAAACACCAAACACCAATGACTGAGGTGTGCGCTAAGCATGCTTATTTAACAAGTAAAATCATTCAAGAAAGGTTTTGCTTGCCAGAATTAATAATTAAAAAAATCTGAAGATGGGGTTTGGATAGTTTTCCAAGATATATGCTAGGTTTTGTTTCATCGCATCACCTCCATAAATAAAGCACATGAGACATCATCTGCAAAACCATAATTTGTCTCAAGCCTAATTAATAACTTAAAAAGACAAGTTATATTTAGGAAGTTTGTTTTTGTTTAAATGGGGCAAATAATTGCTCCAAAAAGTTTGAAAGTGAATTAAATGATGCATGTAAGGACAATGACATTATATTTTTACTTTTCATTTTTTCCACTTTTCACTATGACAATATCTTCTTCGTGTTCTTCGTGTTCTTTGTCTCCAAGGCAGCTGATATTATTATGTTTTGCTTGCCCTTTGCCTCTTTCAACGGAGGTCTACAATACCGTCCACTTCTCTGCCACTTGCCCACTAACACCATCTTTTTTACATTTTAAACTCAATTATTTTCACAACTCACTGCACTAGAGTCGTAATTTTCCCCTCAATTAATTATTATTATTATTTTTGGTCATATTGGAGGAAAGAAACCCTTGGGGTTTCGAATCTAAATGCCATGGAGGAAGGGGGAATCCACTACCACTTAGGTAGGAAGTTAGGAACCATTGGCAATTATTTTCAGCTTGCCTAAAAAAGCTTTATTATTTAAAAAAATGGGGTTAGGTTTCCATGCTTTATTATTTATTGGTGTCATACTCAAGCACTTTTTCCATGAGAAAGTCAATCAAGCAAAGCCAAAGAAAGGAGCTCTTTCTTCTTCTTCAGGAAACTTTTTTTATACTTAAAAAAAGGAATCTTCCTCGTAGGCTGCTTGCTTACTCGACACCAAGCGAGACCAATACGTGGCCTGGTGCTCATCAGTGGGTGCATCCTGACGTGGCATAACCTTGTCCACCGGATATTATTAGTGCAGCTTGCGGTGGTGTTCCCCATCCTGCAAAGCCATTAACTTGGGTTGGATTAGTGTGGTAGCTGGGTTGGCTTTATTGTACACAAGAATTTCATACCCACTTTGCCGCCCATACCATTTTATTTTTGGGCTTCCACAAGACAACTTGGTACGCACTCAACTCGCACCATTTAGCAAAACAAAATTAGCCATCATTTCAGTAGCCGGGGTGGTGCAGCACAAGCACGCACACGGCAGACCCGGTGGTTGTGGTAACAGCTGCAACTACAATGACATAATTGCAATGTTCATCGGACTCCACGACAGAACATATGCAATAAGAACTTGTGCCCAAGCATGTCCATCCAAAAAATAACTCATATAACATTAGCATTTTCTAGCAAGGTGCAGTAGTCATTTCAACTCAAAGGAAATATGCCTATTTTGATACCATGGGGATCTTCGAAACCACAAAATTTAACCATTACATCAAAAATCGATGGGGAGAAGAAGGTGGGTGAGAACAGGGGGAAGCTACTATATCTCCTCAAGTCTATAACATAATCAGCTTGCCAAAACCAAAAATGCCTTCAGCACCAGCCTACCACAAAAATCAGATACCAAATCAAATTCCAGTGAAAGCCTTCTTGCCAGCACCAGAAGATCCAGCAGGGGTCACCTTCAAGACATTGAACCTCTTAGTCTTGGACAATGGCCTGAACAATCGGAAAACAAAATCAACAAACAAACAGAAATGAGAGTGTTGCCCACAGGCCAAAGTATATTCATAACGAGGCAGTGAAGAGAAGAAGAGCTTGTAAGGCATATGACCTGCACTGTCCGATGGTAACATGATCCCCTTCTTTCACACGGAAGCACGGAGACACATGCGCAGGTATGTTCGAGTGTCTCTTCTCATACCTTAAGCAAGCAACAAAAAAGAAAAAGATTTCAGAACAACAAAAAACATGATGCCCTTTTTTTCCCCAAAATGACAGCAGAAATTATATAGAAAGACAACACATGAATACAAGAATCATGCCTTTGGTATTTCTTGATGTAATGTAGATAATTCCGTCGAACGATGATTGTTTTGTTCATCTTAGCACTGTGGCAAGTGCCAGCCAAGATACGGCCCCTGATAGAAACATTTCCAGTGAATGGGCATTTCTTATCAATATAAGTCCCTGTAAGAAACAAAAATAAAATGTAGAGCATTCGTATCAGCAAATACCATAACAGGTAGAATATTACGGCCAAAAAGAGACAATTGGAGAAGGCTCAATTTGAAGTACGAAATATTACCCAAACTTCAGAGATCAGAAAAAATAAGCAATGAATTTCTCTAATAGAAGTCATCCACACAAAACTGTCTCTAAGTTTACATAATTTTTCTAATCAAAAGGTAGTTATATACGCTCATGAAAATACATATCTTAAAGAATGCAAATCAAACTTAAAAACGGCAATGCAGCAATACTCAAAGGCCACTTCCCAATTAACCCACAAATTGAAGGCCTATCACTATCCACATGCATATGCAAAATTACAAATCAATCAGTCAAACTAAAACCCTAGTTCATTTTCATCACATTGCATAGCTTGAACGGTCCCCTACCCATATATAAACAAATATAAGATAAATAAGTAGAGAGAGAGAGAGAGAGAGAGAGAGAGAGAGAGAGAGAGAGAGAGAGAGAGAGAGAGAGAGAGACCTTCAATGGCTTCCCTGGGGGTCTTGAAACCAAGCCCAACGCTCTTCCAGAAACGGTTTCCACCCTTTCCAGGTCTCTTTCCCTTCCCAGATTTCTTCGAGCTAATTAATTACAACACAAATAGAAAAATAAATAACATAAAACCCAAAAGTAAAAGCATGATAGTGTAGAAAAATTAAACACAATCAAAACTTCGTGGAAGATAAATATATTTTTTTAAATGAAGTTTCTTCGACTAGCTACCTGATGAACACTTTGGGCTGCTTCAGAAACGCCTTCTCAGTCTGAAACCAAATGTGTTGTAAAAAATAAAAAAATGAAAGCACTGTTAAAATGAACCAAAGACCAAAGTTCTAGGATAGAATAAAAAGCAGCAAGATAGAGATAGAGATAGAGAACCGACCTGTTCGGCCATGATTGATTGATAGCTCTCAAGGAGTTGAGGGGTGGTCTTTCAGAGGAGGCGAATTAACGTTCGGTGCAACAAAACAAACGCTAACCCTAGTTTGCGCCACATGCGTCTTGTTGAAATAACCTCTATAACTTATAAGGGCGCCATTCGGGTGAGTTTGGCCCAATATGGGCTGCTCTTTTATTTGGGCCAAGTTGGGCCGGATTTCATATGCGCCTCCAACTACACGGGGCCTAGGTTTTCTGTTTTCTTCCTCAATAATTCCCAAAAGGCTTTTTATTGTTTTCCTTTCAATTTTTGGTGTAATTAGAAGGCTACCTAACCCACCCATGCTTTTTGGTGTAGTTTTTTTTTATTAATCACCTCGATATGACGCACAACGATTAACATTTGTAAAAGTTAATATGTTTAGAGCTTTCTTCACACTCATCTAAACGAAGTTTATTCATTACCAATTTATCATACTTTCATGTGTCCAATGAGTTAAATTGGAAAATCCAAACACTTGGTAGAAATAACAAGGCATCTGCCTTTTGTGGAGAACTCTCTCCTCAGCTTTGATAGACCTTTAACCTTTTCATTTCATGAAATATTGTTTAAAGCTTCTCTTCTGTACATATATGGAAAATATCCAGTGAAGCAAAACAATTATAAAGTACATTTCAATGCTGCTAAACAAATTCTGACAACAGCAAGGGCTCCCATTTTCCGTCACAGCAAAGGTATGACTCCAAACTTCACCCTGCTCCTCTACCAATTATCCGAAAAGATCGATCACACGTTCCATGTGAAATTCAGGCTTTATGCAATTCAAGGAATGTAATAAACACTAATATTATAGGGATCATCAAAACTATGTCTCAACAGGAACTCGAGAAATTTTACAGAGTCTCTCGCTTTCAGGTGAAAAACAAAGATTGATACTTCAACGACTGTACTCAAGAAAACTCTTCACTTTTTCCAGACCATGGATACCAATGCCGGTGCTTAAACCCTCTAATCATAACTCACTCCATCTGCATTGAAAAAATCCATACTACTTATAAACATCAGTAAAAACAAACAACAAAGATAAAGGGTACAAGAAAGAAAATAAAACAGATCAAGACTTTCATCATCACCACCTTTTGACGTTTTGAACTAGGAGGATTTGGTTCGCAATCACTCCGCTGACGGGATGTCCCAACATTGGAGTTCTCAGCCTGCAAAAAACACATACTTCTCTTCATGTTCTTTATCAATTAATTAAATTTTCATTTCAGCGTAACATCAAGATTTACAACTTTAGGCGTAGCAGCCCATGCTTTGTTTGGCCGTTACGAAGAAAGAGTGCTTTGGCCCAAAAAATAAAAGAGAGAAGAAAGAGAGCACTGACTTAATAAAACTAGAAATCCAAAACCTGTTAAAACATGAGGCATGAAATGCCATGACAACAGGTGTAGCATGCATACCCTGGTGGAAGAATCTTGGGCCATTCTGTGCTCAGAAGAATTTGACACTGCTGTAGGTACAAGACCTGGCTCTCCCCCTGATGCTTGAGATATGAATGGCATGATTTGATGAAGCAAATTAGAAAAAAATAGTCCTTCATCGGTAACCCTCGGTTCGGCTTCTTGTGCACCCACAACACCACTCGATGTCCTTGCCTGATCTGATACAGAACCTGTAGTCAATCCCTCTGCACTGCCATCTTCTACGTGAATTTCACCACCAGGAAAGAGGTTCCTTATAAACTGTAAAATGCCGCTTGGGATCTGTCTCTCAGATTCTTGGTTGTTTTGGGTTCCTCCAGCTGATAAAATGTTGACACTGACACTCCGTGCAATAGATGGCTCCTGCCTTAAATTGGGAGTTGATCCTGCAGGAAACGGGCACTAATGAATCATTCAACTTATGATAGCAACTTGACTGCCCTGGTTAACTACATTAGAAGAGATAAACAAACTCAAATCCAGTGTTTGGATGAGCTACCGCCTAATTCAACTCTTGTGAGTAAGACCTCAGATGAGCTACACATTATTATTTATTAAAAGCAACCTTTTCTATAGCTACTTCACAAGTCACATATGATAACAAATTAAGACACATGCAGTTTCTAAAACAAAAAAAATATCTAAGGAACTTTTGTTTCTTCTTTCAGCACATATTAGTAAAGCAAATGAATAAAGATTAAATTCAATGACTCGATGCACATCATGACTTTTGGTTGGACAAACAATAAAATGTAATCTTACTTTTAGACGTAAAATGTGAAAGAATAAACCCTGCAAATATGATTGTATGGTCTATGTGGCAACTTACCTTAGCTGTACTTCATAAACTAGTTTAGCATATTAATATCAACTATTCTTATTATATTCTTTTTTCTTTCTCTCTTTTGATCTCCCTTTCCTTCCTTCTCTTCTTACAAGAAGATTATAAACTAGGATCTTCCCATCATCCACCCAACCCCAATACCACCCAAACCAAGGAGCAGGGCCCTCTATTCACCCTCTTCACTCCAATGGCTTAAAACAATTCAGCCTTCCATACTTGTGAATTTTATGTACTAAAAGTATGATTCAACTACTATGTTGCATGGTATATTCACTGGCGGAGCCAGAAAACAAATTCTCTTCCCCTGGAACCGCCAGAATGTAATATTACCCTCTCTTGCTGGACCTCCAACGTTTTGCTGTTCTACTGCAGATTCCAAAGATTGCTGATCAGCATGGAGACCGGCAGGAGGATGATCTCCAGAAGCTAGAGTTCCTCGCTCACCACTCACATGTCCAGAAGCTACATGTTGAAGCCTTCCAAGTAATGGATAGTATAACCCTATCGAATTACCAGAAGAATCAGATGGTAGGCGACTGAGGGGTGCAGGTACTGCTGCAACCATGGTCCTAAGTGGCACTATCCGTACAGTTGAATCTCCAGCAAAAGCTGGACCATCTGAGACCCTTGAAGTAGCTTGACTAGTAGGATTTTCACCAGCAGAGCTTGCAGGGTTTCTCTGCCCTGAAGGCTGCTGAGTATCCCCATGTTCCTCCCGAGTGACATTGGGCGTTGTTGCTGATGAACCTTATGGGTAAAATGAATAGTGCTTAAAATCAACATATATTTTACATCAAACAAAATTAAACAGAACATGAATGGAAATAGCCAGGGAATAAATTATAAAAGGTACCTCTTCGTATTTGTATATCAATACGCCTTGGAACAAAACCAGTACCAAGTCCATTAACAAGACCAGAACCAGGCTGCACAGCTCCCATGGGGATGGCACCAAAGCTCATTCCTGATTGAAAAGGAAGCGGCTGGCCAAGTATGATTCAGCTTCAATCAGTACAAATAGAACTATTTTCAAAAGAGAGGTATGAATTAAGTGTTTAGAAAATTGCCTGAACCATTATCGGATTAGGGCCAGTTGGGGATATGAAAACTGCAGGTCCAGCATTAACCACCGCGTCAGACTGCATGAGAGATGAGTTAGAGTCCAAGCAAGTTTTATAGGTCAGCAACATCTAAATGGACAAGATGACAAAACAAGGAAATTAGAATTCCAGAACACTACCGGTGTTTGACCTAGTTGCAATGTCATGGTTGTACGACCAAGTTCAAGTAAAAAGGCACCAAGGTTGTGAAACAAAGCTCCAGTTCTTGACGCACTAGATTGGGCACTGAACCTTGCTGATGGATCAGTCACATTCACTTGATTCTCCAGTTGGCTTGCAAATTGCTGCCAAGATGTAACATGAAAAATCGCAATGTCTTTTGTTTAACATGATAAATCAAACAGCTGAAAGCTTTTAGCTATTATAGGATCACAGTAACTACACTCTTCTGCTTTCAAACAATAAAATTAGTCACTTATGAGAACTAAAGAAAAATCAAACTAATAGCACAAGTTGTCAAAATTGGAACACCAAATTATATACTTGAAATAATATAGCGAAAATTTACAATAACACTTAAGAACGCACAAGTAGGGATTCTCCAACTTGTTCAAGGAGTAGTAGTCGAGTAGAACGCATGACTTCTGCCAACGATGCAGGTGAGGGGAGCCCCTCTTGCCTTGGCCCTGTATGTGATGAGGCATTGGAACTTTCTTCAGTCCTAAGAGTAGCAGCTGTTTGACCCCTTCCCCCATCTCTGGCTGTTGGTAAATGAGTGTTGAAATTATCTCAGCAAACCATCAACATTGGTGTGTAACAAACATATATGACATATCAATATAAAATCTTGTACGTAGAAACTCACCAATGGCCTCAAATTCACGCCTCAGATGACTGAGATATTGGGATAAAGTAGTCAATGAATCAGGAATTACCTACAAAGACCACCGACATAGCAAAATAATTTCATTATTGTTGTGTCATTAAGTTAAAGATCAAAATAGGCAATCAGAATAAAAACAAATGAAACAAATTGGAAACTTTAAACTTGCCAGGGGTGGTAGAGTTCCCAAAGAAAAATCTGTTGGATGACCAAAAGTCCCATTTGATCTATCAGAGGGACCCCTTGGGCCAGCTTGTTCAGATTGAAATTGGGAAAAATCAAACATACCACTCAAACCTGGTGTCCTTTCTGGCCTCTGTGGCCCATGTTCCTTCAGCATATCAACCATCCAAATACCAGATTAATGATGTAAGCATAAAAGTGCACATTAAATTTAAACAACAAATGATATACATATGCAGGTACACACAAACACAGTATCTATCAATTTTGTCAGAACGTCATTATGATCTTTTTTTCTTGGCAGCCTCCAAGAAACTACCCTTTTCTTTTCCTCAAGCAAAGCCATGGTCAAGTATTTTCATTACTGTGAATACTTTGAACTAATTTGGAAGTGTGCATGTGTATGTGCTTTTGCACAGAGAGAGAGAGAGAGAGAGAGAGAGAGAGAGAGAGAGAGCATTGCCTAGGAAAGTTATATATATAAACCCATACTTCCAGTCATACAAGTGATAAGCTTCTGAAATTTTGAAATTTTAATTTACCCTGACTTCAATCCCTTCACTGCCACCTGAAATATTTGGTAATCCTATAGAGCCGAGAATGGCAGAGATGATCTGTTCAGAAGCAGAGATAAGGGAGGAAATCATTACCATTGGACGTAATTACACCAGTAGAAATACAAATTATTCAGTACTCACCCGACTGATTTCTGGTGGAAAACCATCCCCTTGAACAGGCATGCTGAAAGTTTCAATAACCACACCAGGGGCAACTTGATGCTGACCACGGCTTGTACTTGAAGCCGGATCAGTTCCTACACACAGTTGAAAGCATGCAAATAATGCACGTGAGATTTAATAGTTGAACCAAAGACCTACAAGAGAAACAAGCTCTGCTACCATGTTGGATAACCAATTTTTCCAAACAACCCAGACTACCGTGTCCAAAGCTTAAAACATGTTAACGACACGCAACATGTAAAATTGAAGAGTACTCTATATTTATTGATTTCACATCAACCTGGATGATTTGGTAATCCCTCGGATGATGGTAGGACAGGTTGCCTGACAACCAAATGTAAGGTGTGACCATCTTCAACATCTAAACTGTGCTAAGAAAATACTTTCAAATGCTTAACATGAAAAGTTGGTGAGTGAAACTTCATTTAAAAGAAAAAGAGAACATGATGTTGACTAGAGGAACCAATAATAAACCCATCTCACACAATATTCATAGCTGCATTTGTTCATATAATGCCTAATTTTTTTCAAACTTAATCTAGAAAAAGAGCTTGCAAGTATTAAACCTTTGCTATTGATGGAGGAAATCTCTTAGCAAGAGAATGTGACATATGTTCAATGTTTTCTTTTTTACTTTTCGTAAAAAGGAGACCAAAGGCGGAGAGGGAGGTTAGAACTTTGGCTCTGGGCATGAGGGTAAGGTCATTACCACAGGAGTCATAAGCCCCCACACATTTGTTCAATGGATTTTTCACAACATTACCTGAAACATAGCTAGTATTAAATCTTTAGTTAGCATATCAAAGTTGTCTTAATCTATCTTTCACAGTAATGGTTGACATTATTATGATTTCATATTTTTCATAGGAGATTTTGAGTAACTTTATCTATGTTCACTTCTAATTGAATTTTCTTCTGTTGCATATCTTGCTGCAGAGGCAAATCTGATTATGATTGAAAATTATACGCATACGAACACGACTACTATTAACACTATTGCAAGTTCCAGTTTAGAATGCAGAAGAACAGAAAATCCTAATTAACCTAGAGAGTGCCACAAGATTTTCAAAACTCAAAAAATTCTTTCACAAGTCAAAAGACCAAATAGGATACGATAGGCAGAGAGAAGCTGATCATCCTTTAGAACTTTTCCTCGGCATATTAGTCGTTGTTGCTCAGATAGTACACCAGTGACAGAGGCAATCTGCTCTTTCAAGGCGGGAACTGGCATCTGCAGTTGAGAGAAGAGAATTTGGTTCATTTTAAAACGTGTATGCAAAACTTCCACAAAAAACTTTCTACCAGCATGTTCTCACCGGCAATATTGCTTCACAAATAAGTTTCAATAATTATCTTTAAAACTAGCATATACACAAGTAATTTCAAATTATCGCACATATTAACAGTTTTAACTTAAGGAAGCAATCTCAAGCTGCTGGGCACACATTATATGGATGCACCAGAAATGCACATGCATTACAGCGGTGAAGATTGTACAGGAGGAATATAACTGTTGCTCACCTGAGCAAAAGCAAGGCAACAGAATTATTAAGCAATAAACTTACTGAATAACTTTATATAAATGGCCAACCAAATAACTGAAAGCCAGATCTTAGTGGGAGCTATAATAAAAAAGCCACAAGAGTACCAACCTGTTTATCCACCCTGAGAGTATAGGTTTGTGAATCCAATGTTTTTATTTTTATCTCAACAGTAGTTTCAGACCCTTCAATTTGCTCGCACATGGGAATGTGTTCAGCACTATTACTTCCCATTCTTCTCAGACCACACTGAACCTACGAAGGAGCGAGAGTATAAATAAAAAAGATTGTCTTCTTTTCCTTGAGCATTCAATCAGCTACTTGAATTCATTGGCAGCAATAATAGACAAATACAAAAAACAAAATGTGAAAGAAAAAAGAAAACAATTAATTTTATAAGGCATACCCAGCTTTACTCTAACAACTTGCTCACAATTGTGGTAAACACACGGGAAGAAATTCTTAGTTAATTCCCAAACCATAAAACCAAGAATGTCCAACGAAAAGTTGGCATATCCAGTCTAGCATATTTGAAATGTGTTTGATTTTCCAAAACCCAAGTCAATTAACCCTTTCTCTCTATTCCGAGTTAACAGCAATAAACGCAATATGAAGTCTGACGCATGCAAGGCAAAACATACAACTAACTGTTATGACATGCATTGCAGTTAAAATGCCCCAAATGCAAGAAACCATACGCATAAAGAGATCTTGAGCACAAACCTACACATCTGATGCACAAACAAACACCATATCCGAACTATAAGGAAAGCAACAGCACTTATATCACAGTTTCCTTCTCTACTTTTTCATTGACAACATCTATGACCCGTTTGGACTTTGATCCATTACCACACTAGTCAGCATACATATCAAACTATGTTCTTTTTCAGCCACAATGAGTTTTGGTCTTGATGTGAACAACTCAATTCACAACATTATTTTTTTTGTTTGGAATTTGCTTTCATCGCATGCAATCTCTCAAAACCTCAGTAAAGTGAACACCTTTATTCATGACTCAAAGATATGAATGGAAAAGCAATTTGTAAGAAAACAACAGCCTATATACCAACAATCTTAGGGTTTTCCGAATCAAGAACAAATAGAAAGAAAATATCCGCATACTTTCAATATCTAAATACTCCAGAAGGGCAAAATTCATGCACGGACAAACCAACCCAATAATCACCAAACTCAGAAGCACGAAAAATTCGATTGACCCATCAAAATAAAAACGAAAAACCCCAATACACACGACATGATCATACTTACCTAGGCCAAGAGATCAAGTAGATGAAGCTTCCAGAAGATGGAGAAGCTTAATAATAGCCCAAGAGCGGGACACAAAAGCCCTCGGAGAGAGAGAGAGAGAGAGAGAGGGAAGTTTATACGAAAATGGTCTCCGCCACTGAAATTGGCAGGGTCGCCCGCTCTGTCACTGTGTGGCAAACGATGGATGAGCACCTCGGAGGGGCAGGAGGGAAGTACAATGCCTAAATTGGGGAGTGGTGGTGATCAGGTGGCAATCGACCTGTAAATATTATTCTTACCTCTGGATTTTCACCGTTGGGATTTGGGTTTTTTTACTGCTTGCTTCTTCGCAGTGAATACTGAAGGGGAAAATAAAAATTAGAGCACGTGTGCTTTTTTATAGTCTGACTCTGACTCTGAAGCAGTTGATGAAACATCATCGGCTATTCACTTTTTTTTTTTTTTTTTTTTTCCAAATGAGGTGGTTTGATGACGACAGGACAGGAGTGAAATGTCAAATTGTTTGAGGATGTTTTTGCTTATCAACAACTGGGTTCATTTTTGTATACTTTTTCTTTCTTCCCAAGCAATGAAAAAACCTTATTCCAATCAAATAGTTATAATTCGTTTGGTATCTATTTAATTATTTTATCATATGGTATATTTTTCTTTCTTTTTTTGGTCAAATATTGTATCTATTTAATTGAGCACCACATTAATCGATGAGGAGACTTTAACCTCTCGCATTTCCCAAACGATTTCATCAAATAGAATATTAAATATATGCCATATATTTCATACTAGTTTATTTTAATTGCCAATAAAGGAATTACATATAAGGAATATGCAAAATGTATTATATATTCAAATATATTTTTCTTTATTTGCTTGTTTTGTAGATGTCATATAATATGTTTACTTGCTCAGAACATAAGAAGTCATGAATCGGATAAGTGATTCATGGTTATGATATTTTCAAGAAGGGAAAAAGGGCTTGGGAATGGAAGTTGGAATTCGCTATTCGTACACAAACCAGACATTGGAAGTTGTCTTCTATTTTTAGCTTATATTTTTGTTACCCCCAAAGTGAAACCCTTTGAAAATCTGAATTTAGCATTCCTTTATCAATCTCAAACTTAATTATATGTACAATATTCTATAGTCTGTGGCTCTACCTAGATTATCATTTGGTTTACACAATTATTTGCCAATAAAAAAAGATAATTGGATGGAAACGTATTATTGAAGTTGTGTTTTTATTGACGTATACTTTGGGTAGTATGTTCTGGTTCCTCTTGGATGGGCTTGAAGAAATAAAGAGAGAACTGTGTGATGAGGCCCATCTTGTGTATAGTAGTGGGAAGCCCGTCGGTGGAACTCAACTGATCCATGGCATACGATACGAACTTGGAAAATGGACACCAGCAGCCAGCAGCAACAACAGCAACCCTTCCTTTCAGGCTTCACCAGTTTGGGTCATCAGCATTTCTTCTGGCTTCAGGCTTCATCAACAAAACCTGTTAACGGAAACCGTTGGAAATGGTATGGCTGTTCTCTTTGCCAATTTTATTCATCAATGTGCAGTGCAGTGAACCAAACTCAATATTATTCATATTGTCAGATACAAGCATTCAAGCATTTATGCATTTCATGATGACTGCTTCATTGGTTTTATTTTATTTATTGTTATCAAATAATCCAAACCAAATGAGCCCACACGACTAGGTTTGGTGGTGATGATGATGTACCGTTACTCTCGGCTGTCCGGGCCACAGCAGATTTGACCCAACAAGGAACATGTGAGAGCCCACATGTTAAAAACACAGAGCCACTCACTGACCCCTCACACCATCACCGTCCATCCAATCAATGTTATATGTGAAACATGGTGGGCTCACTCCAGAATCCCTGGTGGGCCCAATCCCTCACTCAACAAAGAACACAAAGGGAAGGGAAGGGAAGGCTCCTCCTCCTCCTCCTCACATACAAACACATACTGCAGCAGATCGTCAACAACACGCCTGCCAACTCGGTGAACTCAACACTGCACTTCAAGTTCTAACCAATTTATTTCATGATCTATTAAGAGTGTAGATAAGAAACACTCACTGAAATTTGGTTTAAGACTTCAAGCCATCTATTTGTCTTTATAAGTTATGACAAAAAATATTATTCCTTATAAAAGTGATCATCATCACTCCATCATCCAAAACCATATTTTAAAAGCAAGTTATAACAAAATCCCAATAGAATATACTGCTATGTACACAAAATCATTCATTCCTAGCCCTAAAATTCTGCAGCATTCCTGTAATGCTGTCCAACTTCTCTAGCTAATATAATATTCCTCTTTTATTTGTCTAACACTGACTGACTTCGATCACTTTCTCTGTGTGTTTTCTTTATTTTTGTCTTTTTGGGTTTTCCCTACACTCAGTCAGACAGACTCAGTTGTGTATTGGAGGTTTTCTCCTTGCTGGAGAATAGTCCATTTCAGTCATGTCTGTGAGGTCAGGATAGTGTTGGACTTGGTGGGCTGCTGCCGCCTCCTGCTCCTGGTGCTTTGAAATAACCGATGATGACTTAGCTTTCACATCACCATCTTCCCCACCAGGCTGTGTATTATTATTAACCTTTTCACCTTTTGGGTCCAGGTCACCTCTGTTCCCTCCATCATCCTTGTCATTCTGTACATGGATCACACAGAATCAGAGACACCTAACCTAACCCCTATCAATTGTTACTTAAACTTAAATACGAGATTAATATATTGTTATTTTGACTAATTGAACCAACCTTTGAAGTGGTGGTAGTGGTAGCAGCACTAGAGGCTGTCTTAGAGATTAGTTTTCTAGTCTTTCCTGCAACAATACAAATCAAAACCACTTAATTAAGGTAATGTAATATGTATGAGTCTTTGATTTACTGCATGAACTTAAGTTATAATCAGATTAGTTTCGGGAAGGACAAAAATTGTTGTGTAGATCTAGTACATGGTAATTAGAGGTTCCAATCTTCTGGAAACCCAAGAGTTTGAAGAACATTGATCCTATTCTTCTAGCTATCTCTAACTAAGCTCTTCTAGTAGCCAAAAAATGGATAAAATTAAGAAGGATGAAATGATATAATAAAATGTAGCTAGGAAGGTAATTAACTAAACTAATGGTGCTTGGGTTTGTGGGTCCTAGGTCCATAATAATCTTCATGAATACTTGGTAACCAGTGGTATGATGACTTCTTGGATTCTCTAGAAACTGTTTTCTTCAAGGTACCTGATGATGAACACTCTCCACCATCTTTGCAGAGACTGCTGGACTCTCCTGGACCAGCACTTCTTTTCACTGAAGCAGTTTCCTGTTCCTGCATTTAACAATCAAATTATGGAAAGTAATGTAAGAAAAATATTTTGCACAGAGAAGAAGAATGAGAAACATGTATACATATATTGTTCTTCCACGTCTGAAATTTTAATTATCTTGAATGGTGAGAAAATTTTACAAAGACCATGAAAGAAGAGCTCACTTGTAAATTATTATTAGTTTTCTGTTGTGTAACAGAGATGAATCCTTTCTCCAATCGAATCCCTTCAAAAGAAAACCAAAATTAGCTAATTTGAAACCAATATTTCATAGACATAAATAGTTTTCTAATAACTAGGTTTTGCAGAAATATATACCTTGAGCCCCAGAAAGGAGGAGGGACAAAAGAAGAAGAGAGACTGCTAGAGATGGAGTTGTCATTTGGAGTAAATCTTATGAAACAGAGATATGGCAGAAGAAATACTGAGTGAGAGATGGGAAAGAAGATTAAATGTGTGTTCTGTTTGCTGCACTGCAGGTTTCTCTTTTTCTTTCTCTCTGTTTAAAAGCTTGAACATGCAGAGCAAAATCTGAATGGTAGATGGTTTGGGTTTGGGAATCCCTGCTTAAATACATATATAATCTTTGGGTTGGGCCCACCCACGCTAATTGCTTCAACATGTAAACTTTAACTGAGATGGATGATTTTGCTTTCAATTCTCTTTTTAAATTTCACTTCGTTTAAAGTGCAAGTCCTTGTCCAAGGAAATAAAATACATGTTTTATAATCCATTGGATTACGGTTTGTTTGTGTTAATCAAATTCCAGTTCAAAAGGCAATTCATTATGGGGACCAGATTTGTCTTTTATGAAAAGGCACAGTTGCTTTGCTCACTCTCTGCCTTCTCTGCAAAATGTCCCATCTTTTTGGGGTAAAATGAGGAGTTTCTGAATCCTCTCTCAAATCTTGTTTAATCTGTTAATTAATTTACCCGGTGTTTAGGTTTAATGGTCCCTGAATTTTGATCTGATTCACATTATGGTCTTTTAATTTTCAAAATTATTCTTGTGGTCCTTCAACTTCAGTTTCGTTATGACAAATAGTCATGCTGTCAATTTTGTTAATTTTTTTATATTAAATTTGAGCATGTGCATGGCACATTTTGAGGTAAATTAAAAACATTCATATGGTGAAAGGAATATTTAGAAGATTTTTTTAATTTTAATTTTAATTTTTTGGGTGAAAAGAATATTTAGATGGTGGAAATTAAAAATAATACAAAATGATCATTTTGTCCCTGCATTTAACAGAAAATATAACAAAATTGACTGCATGATCATTTGTCCTGACGAAACTGAAATTGAAATATCACGAGAATGATTTTGAAAATTAAAAAATCAAAATGCAAATCGAGCCGAAATTCAAAAACTATTAAACCTAAAAACCCTTAATTTACCATGCCTTTTCTTTTTTATGCCCTATCTTCTCAGAAGCATGATGTATCAATCAAACTTGCACGACTCCATGTAATTTGCTTTCCGTGTTGTACCTCATTTTTCCATGCAACAAAAAACAAATCCTTTGGTGGGATTAGACAAGGTGATTTGCCAAGTGGTACCAACCCAACCAAGCATGTAATTTGGTTGGTCAAGGAATAGAATCATATGGCTATAAGAGCATAGGTATTCCGTTTCGGGTGATTGATCAGATCAGATATGACGCATGCACTTTACAACTTTTGCGTTTATATGGTATGCCTGATTGGAGCGAGGGACGGGACGTGCATACTGCATTGCACAGTCACTCATGACGACTCAAGGCCTTTCCTTCCACTTGTATTTACCAAAGATGCTTGCAAGGCATGCTTTTGTTTTTTATTTATAAAAATGCAAATTACCTGCTGCCGTTTAGTTAATGGGTTCATGTAGAGTTTTATGTTAATCATGAATCAGACAGTGCCACGACTTGAGCTCCCAAAACGCAGTGGGCAACAGCCCACGTGTCACAGGAAGCAATCGGAGTAAATGTGACGGCGACAGGCAAAGTTGAAAGTCACCCATTGCACACCGCCTCCTTCAGTCCAGACGTGGCAGTATATGTCTCTAGCTACTGGCTGCCGGCTCAAGGGATGACCACTCCACGCGGACGTCCACATCTAGCGGGGTCCACGTCCACCTGAATATGACGTGGCATAAAATTTGGCCACGTGGGCACCGCCGTATCACGCGGCATGTTTGTGCTTTGACCATAAAAAACAAACATCCCGGGACGACGTTTGTCGAGACTGCCATGCCATGACATTTCGTAATGGTCTCTTCTTCTCTTGTTTTCTCCTTTTTCACAGCGGTTGTTGATTTGCAGCTTCATAGGGTTTTTTTATAAAAAATTAATTACATAGAATTTCAGATTTTGAAGCGATTAATTATTTTTTATCGAAAAGGAAGAAAAACAAATATTAACTTAATAATTCATGAAAAAGAATGGATTAGCCAATCTGGATCACACTAATTCTGGTGTCACTTGAGTGACAGTGGGCATTGTTTGTCGATCGTAGAAAAATGCTTGAATTGTGGGTTGCTGTCAAATGAAATGACCTAAATTTATCAGCTAGAATTATTAAAACATTAATTAACTATTAGCTTCCTCTAAAGTGCAACTTCTGTTGTCATTTATTATTTAATTGTTTTGCAGAGGCGTTGAGAATTTCAATTAGGGGGACCAGGTACGTGTTATAATAGTCGTAACGAAGAATGAATGAATTCTTATTGTTTGGAGAATTAATTTTAATTAATATATACATCAGACGAAAAGTACGTATCTTGTATATAAAAAGATTGTTAATTTCCAATAAGGGAAGGGAATCGGATCATCCATGTCCATCAACAATCATAATCATCTTACAAATTTGTTTAACCATTAAAGAGAAGAGTCGCATATGTAAAACGTATATAATTAAGATATATTTAAATAAATTATGGGATAATTAATTAACATAAACATACAACTATTAATGTATATTTGGAGTCTGGACAAATCCAAGTTACTCGAAAAGTGTGGAAGATTGACAAATATATATACATATATATATATATAGAGAGAGAGAGAGAACCGACAGAGGGACATCACATGTTTTTGGGATTCAGTTAATCAGGTTTGAAATTGGACCACTGTCCACTGGTTTCAACGCTAGCATTTGGTTGATATAGAGAGACATGTTTTGTGCTTGCATGTCTGCAATGTTTTATTCAAGATAAATCCAATTCGAATGGGGGCTTTCCCTTCCCCTTGAAATTCCTTACTAACTACACTACTATATACTACGTACGGTGCCAAACTAGCTAAAAATATGATAGTTATCTCATCACCAATCCACCAGAAATCCGCGAGATGAGATAAGTAATTGGTTGGGTGATATAATAAATATTGGAGCCAATAGACAGGTCACAGGTTCATGATCATGACATGAAAATTAATTGGTTGGGTTGGGATGCCAATGCAGTGGCAAAAGGAACATGAACATCGCATGCATGCATAATAAATGCCATATGCTAAACCAGTCAGTTTTTGTATACAATTCATTTCATCATATTAATTTCTAGTCATTCTTCCTCTAGACTAATTAAATGAAGACAAGAAAGAATAATGTATACGGTAAGGTAATATATCATGTTCCGAGTAATGCTACTCTTATTACATTTTCCGTAGATATATAATTAGTCTGGATCTGAATCTGAACATCTGGCTGCATGAACATTTAATATTGTCAACTTACGTACGTACAGTGGGAAATGGGAAGTTGGGAAACCCTTCCTTTACACACAACACAGAGAAAGAGAATGCAAGGAAACAAAATTATAGTCAGCAGAAGGGCCAGGTTTGAAATTTTTGTAAACTTTGTCCTCCCAATAGCGAAACAGCATATATATATATATCAATATCAGTATCTATCTAATATCTAAGTATTTGTATTATATCGACACAGAAAATATATATATATATGTTGGTGGTTTTTGTGTGGTGTGGTCCCTCTCTCTCTCTCTCTCTCTCTCTCTCTCTCTCTCTCTATATATATATATATATAGCCCTTTCCTTTTTCCATACCTAGTGGCTAGTGGTGTGTACTAGTAATTAACATGTGTTTCCACAGCCACATTGTGCACATGGGCCCCCCCCCGAACCCCTTCCTAATTATCAGGCAGCCATCCTCCGCCTCAATTATACATTCGAAATATAAACAAAATTATTAATTAAGGAGAGAAGATAGTTTAGTAGGTGCAAGAAAATGTTCAGTGCACCCATATTTCCTCAACCATGCATGAAAGCCATGGAGCTCAACATATTGGTTTAGGGTTTAGGCGGGCATTAGAGTCACCACTCATCACTCCTGACAAGGAGAATGGTCAAACTTTTGAGGGACATCTGGGCCATCTTGGAGAGAGACTTCTTGCGAGCAAACAAACCACCTATACTTTTCTTTTTGGTCTTTTTATTACCAAGGCATGAGAAATTTGAATTTAGAACATTTTCCACAACATTGACACGAATTCCCATTCAACGGAGTAACAGTAAACCTTAATGAATTCATCGACGACAATACTCCTTGTCTTGTCATGAGATAAGAGAGTACTCTCTAGAGAGATAACATGTGTACTCCTTGACATGTCAAGAGAAGTAATGAAACTCCTACTTACCGCATAATATATAATAACTTTTTTTTTTGGGGTTTACCATCGTTAAGTAGAGATTGGATTGTCTGCTTAGATTTTGGGTACTTGTGCCATATTCACATCTAAAATTACACTGTTATAGGGCAATGAGTCTGCCATTTGCCTTTAATTTGCGCCCAAATTCGAATTACTCTCCCCGTAAATTATATCAATATAACACATATACACACAAAAGCTGAATTTTTGGGACTGCTTCCAAGGCTCCTAATCATATCCAAGCCTTTTTTTGGGCCTTCATTTTTTTACTAACCCTGTCGACGCCCTCTTTTATTGGGCCTTCACCTTTTCTGTTCCAAGCCCAAGCCCGAGCTTATTTTTCAGTGGAAAAGCGTGCGTGCGTTTCCACTCAAATTTATTTGTCAACGACCTTACAGTTGGTTGTTGGCTATTTTACCGTTACAAATCCTGCCCACCTTAACCGCTAAGCCACCCCCCTCAAAATTCCCAATGCAAAGAGCAAAACCTATTTCCCTCCTCTCTAATCTTGATTCACAGATTAACGTCTCTGCACTCTGCCTCTCGTTTTCAACACTAATCTTTAGTCTTTAATAATAATATATATTAGGTATTCTGTAGCTTTGATTTTTCTTCTTCTTTTCTTTTTAGTTACGGTAGCTCCTCTTCATTGCAATGATGCGTGCACCTTGTTGCAATAATCCTCCTCCTCAACAAATCCCAACAACGTAAGTCATTGAGGAGAACAAAAATAAGTTTTCCAGGCCAACTAGTTCATGAACTTGTATGTATATGTGCAATCAACATGTAATTTCTTGTTCTGTACGCAGGAGAAGATGTCAGTGTTCCCCTCATGGACAAAAATGTGGCTGCAGTGAAAGGATCAATCAGCTTTCAGATGAATTAAGTCAAGGCTCTCAGCTGAAGCCGGATGTTGGGTTACTTGCAAATTTTGAATCCGAGAGGGAGAACGGACATTTTCTATCACTTCTTGTGAGTAAAACTTCATAATAGTTCCTTTGCATTTTACATGTTTTCTTGTTCCAAATTTTCATACATGTACGGTTGCATCTTCTCCAGACTTCTTCATCCTCGTTCCGACGACCGCATGAAGCTTCAAAACCCACGAGCCATGTTCACAACAAGGAACACTCTAATTTGCTTTATCAGTCGGACCACTCATCATCACCAGGGCTAATTGTTCGAAGGAGTTTGCATGATCCGCTTTCAGGAGCCACCATAAGGAGCATAACAAGTTGCATTGCTAACACTTCAAACCTCAACTTACCTCATACCATAAGCCAAATTGGAAGAGCTAATTTTCCAGGTTCACAGAATGATGAGCTTAATTCTGGAATTTGCACCACATTAATTCTTGGATCTACTCCTCTTCGCCATATTTCTTTTTTCCAAAGTCTTTTTGGGCTGCCTAACAACCTTTTGCGGTCTTTGTGGCCTTCCATTTGGCCTCCCCACGTAAGTGCAGATTCTACATTTCGATTCGGTCAAGCTTCTGCCTTTTCTTCTGATGATAATGGGGTCCGAAATGTTACCCAAATTGATCTATGGAGGCAACTACTGATGGAATCGACTCTATATATGCACACACCGGCTGATAGCTTGTTGGAAGGTTCGACTTCATTTTTTTTAGTAACAGCTAACCGTGGAGTGAACTTCAGGCTTGTCACAGAGGTTTGTCTATTATTTCATTCTATCTTAGGAAATCTCTTTTCAATGACTACAAATGTGAAGGTGCAGCATGGTAAGCCCTGCTTCCTGTACAGTGTCCACCTGCTGATTCTCAGCCTAACATTAGACATATATGTATAACTGTTTTGAACCAATAACTAAATGATTGTATGATCATTAGATCAATCTGTTATAGCATTATACAATAGCTTGTATAATCATTTGATTGCATTGCTTTCGTGTTTAATTCTACACGAGCAGAATGCTGGAGTTATTTACCAACGGCCTCTGCACGTTTCAATTGAAATGCGCAATCGTTCTGGAGCCATGTGGCTTGATGTGGATAGCATGTCATATGAGGTATTCTCACATCAAAACTTTCATTTGTCACTGAATTTTTTGTCAATAATACTTTAGTATCTCTTTTGTCTTACTTACTCCTGGCATTCTACAGGAGTTGTTGGCTTTAGAAGATCATATAGGGAATGTCAGCACAGGATTATCTGAGGAAGCAGCTGTTGCATCTCTCAAGCGCAGCAATTACTTTTTGTTTGCAGAAGAAAATGCTCAGAAAGACTTTTGCAGCATCTGCCAGGTATTTTGCTTATACTTTATATTAATTTGACTTTCTATCAAGTTTCTGTGACTAAGCGATGAATGCCTATCAAAGTGAATGGCATTATAATGTTGGTCTTCATGACAGGAGGATTTCGTAGAGGAGGATGAGCTAGGAACATTGGATTGTGGTCATGGCTTCCACATTGCTTGCATTAAACAATGGCTGGGATATAAAAATGTATGTCCTATATGCAAATCTCCCGGTTTATGTACTACACGCCCCTCGTCCTCACGTATTTAAAGTCTGTAAAGTATGTCTTATGAAGCTGAATTTTTCTGAAAAGTACATGGTGAGGATTGGGGACTACTCTATAATGTTCTGTTTCTCCATGTTCACCAGCCTAGTTTAGTTTAGCTTCATTTTCTTTTTCTGTAAATGTACAGATTATGTATAAAAAACAATGAGGATATCTTAATGTATATACTCTAAATTTCTCACTCTGGTGCGGATTTGAACGTCATGTATGATGTATGTTTATTTATGCATTATAATATGGAGAACAAGAATCAAGATGAACAGAAACATAATTTTTTATAATGACTATTCTAAGGAGTACCCAGTAGTTCATGGCAATATGTATCTGTTGAACATCTATGAACCACCTTTTCTCAGACAATTACTTTGTGAAATAGAATTTGATGAAACCTGTATCAAAAGTTGAAGTTAGAAAGAACCATTGTGCTACTGAAGAAAGGATCCTCTCCTGCTCTAGTAAATCATTGGTTTTAGTAGCAGCTTCTCTGTGACATCGATTCACCGTCACCATCAAAGAATAGGGGTGCAACTCCTTGTGACAGTAAATTAGGCTCACCATCAATGCTGGGGCGGGGTATTTATTTGTCAATCGTGTATGACATTAGGAAACTCTAAGTTGGGACTTGTTTATGATGTTTTCAGTGGATGTTTATCGATCAAGTCATAGAGCTCATCTCCAATTCCAAACCCAAGCATCCTAGCCATGTCACTGGTCTTCAATCTAGGCTTTGGAATGTCATGTTGCTTCAACCATGAGTACACAATAAAAACCTTCTGCATAACGAATAGTTCCAGTGCCTCAGGATTGAAGACCACCCCCATCCTCGCGTTCATCTGCAAAGATAAGATTTCAAAGGTCATTCCATTAAACAATGGCAAGCCCCTCCTCACTCTCAAACTCTGACACAATGGCATTGTTATAAAATATAATACCTGGTGTGGAACCAACATGGCAGCATACCGAGCCAGTTCTCCAGCTCGCCAATCCAAAAGGACAGGCAACCAGGGATAGGAGGCATCAAGTCTCAAAAACCAGAGTCTTATATCAGGGAATTCTGATAGTTCTCTAGGATCACGTGGATCTTCTCTTGTGTAGTTAATGGTAAAGCCAATTGTACGTTCAAGAAACTCTTTTGGCTTGGCTAGTTACAACATTAGCAGTAAAACTTCATCAGGGTTTTGCATAAAAAAAGTCGTCATGAACTTCAACTTGTAAATCTGAGCTAAATTCATGGCTTTACCTGATGAAGGATTGGTAATCCCAGTTGCAGTATGAAATGGGGATAAGTCAAGACCCCGAATCACATCATTATCAAGAACTATTTCAAATCGACCTTCACTTGGTGGCATTGGAGGTTCAACTTTACTAGTGTCTGTCAACCACAATAATTCATCAGTTAGATTTGACCAAGTTTTCATATACAATATATTGGTTGTATAAAAAAGTTTTGGCCTTATATCCTATTAAAGGAACAAGCTTTCTGAAGTTGTCCAAAAGATAAAGGGATATAAACAAAGTGAGCAGAGAACCCAATTAATGAATTAAGAAAGGTTTTACCTTCTTCCTCATCATACAAAGAGATGTCAAAATTCCCAGATGGATTGAAGGCAACTGAGACTGCCACTTGTCCTTGCCGCCTATTTAAGTTTGAAATGGCCAAGGACGCTATGGAATCTGAGGTGGGTGGTCTAAGGGGAGTCCATGGAGCAGGAGAGGATATGGCCTGTCTGGAATAACAAATGGGAAGCAGGGTTTGGAAGATTGCAGCCATTGCTGTTGAAGCCTGCCAGCCAGCCTCTCAGACAGTTAATACAGTTGTTTTTCTTTCTTGCATTTTCTTGTGGCCTTTGTGTTTTGAATGCTCATGTTATCCCTTCATGGGGTTTTACAACATGTGCCTCATCCTCAGCATCAAATTTCAAATTTGGGCTGGGCTGGCCATAATCAATCAAAGTTGAACAAGCTGTGTGCTTGTGTTTTGGAGCCCATGAATGAGGAAAGCCAATCTGCAACTAGAGGCCCCATTGGGCAGTGCCTGTTGCCTGTCTGTTTCAATCAATGTTTGCCTTTTGCCACATAACCTTTTCTTGTGTACCAACCAGAGCCTGCCAGCACAAAATATTATCAGTAAGAATCATCAACCACCACATGCCAATCCATCCATAAACCACTTCATGTTGTCAACATAAGATATAATTAAGAACAGAAAATTGGCTCAATTTCGTGTTATGAAATATGAAAAATAAAGTTTAAAGGATTTAATTATGACGACCCCAAAACCTATCTGTCTGTCTCTGTGTCGCTGAGTCTTTTTAGTTTGCTTCTGTGCTGCCACATTTCGTTTGAAGTAATTCCACATTTAATTGATGATTTCTAGGAAAGAGAAGGAAAGACGTGTGGCGATAACGCACCTCACACTCAGTTTGCATGTCCTTCAAATTATATTTTTATTGTTGACACCAAATTTATTTCTATGTGAGAAGACGTTTCGCCCAACTTTTACTTCTAAATTACTCCTACCTAATGATCATATATTTTTTCAAAAAATAAAGAAAAATAAATCCATTTTTTTGGGTAATGGGCATCCATAAAATTTAGAGGCTTTTCATCTCATAAACAATACATGTGAGACAATTGACGCAACAGGCCATCCCATGTACATTTTGGTCGATGACAAAAAAGAAAGCCATGGTCCCAATTCAGCATTGGTCTAAGCCTTTCATTTCGTGCCCACAACTCATTCATCTTTTATGTAACATATTTGTGAAAGGGTCCATAATTCATCATTTTGTTTATTTCTTTTGGACGAATTCTCTGTTTGTAGTTCTACCACAAATCAAATCAAAGCATCCTTTTCTAATCACGGGTTTGTTTTTCTTTTATTCGTAATTTTTTCATGTATTCTTGATGACTTATGACTCGTTTAAAAGGGTTCCAATATGGTTGATGAATAAAATAAAGTTGAAGTTATTTATTTATACCAAAATAAAGAAAATAAAAAATTGATATGCTTACACACTCAAGTGTAATGGCAACTAACCTAAAGCAACAAAATGAGATGCTTCTTTCTCTAGAGGAAAAGCCGAGAGACTTATCATGTCATGCTCCTTTATTTTCAGTAATTTTGTAATTACGTACACCACAATATGAATGAATAGTAATAATATCTCATTCATATTCTCCCCACGCGGCTTTACTCTTTTGCTTCTTCTCTAAGCAAAATATCAAAACAATTGACCAAAAAAGAAGAAGCAAAATATTTGGAGCAAGCCATTGCCCACCTACCTACTTTAGCAGTAATATTAACTTGATATTTCTAGCTACAATCAATCATATATTTTTCCATAATTTCTACAACGAATGTTTAAAATCCAATTATGCATCAGATGTCTTTATTCCCACCAAGAAAAGCAAACCCAAATAAATAAATAAAAACAACAACCTTCTTCTACACAAAAGAAAAGCATCGAAAGGTTGCTTGGCGAAAATAAATTAAAATCGCAAAAGAGAAACGGAAAATATAAAAAGGGTATTTTCGTCATGAAAAAAATACCGACAGAGAACATAGGGCCAGCGAGTGCCAGTCGCTCTCCAAACCGTAATAATCGAAAACCAAAGATCTCAGCTGATATATATTATATAGTAAATTACAATCTTTCTCTCTCACTCACTCTCTCTCTCTCTCACACTCACACTCACTCTGAATTAACAAAACGGACGAAATTAACAATTATACGCGGCTTTTCTCTGGTTCTGGTTTGGGATAGGTTTCTAGCCTCGTGGATATTTTTCTTAGTCTGCAACCCAGAAACAAAAACCGCAACCCAAAATGTTATGTTTTAGATCAAACCCACCAAAAAGATTCCTTCTTTTTCTTTCCCTTGCCCTCTTCATTGCTTTAACTTCAGGAAGCTCTCACATTTCGCACACTTTTCGAACAACAGGTACTGTATAATTTTTTTTGCTTTTATTTGCCTAGAAAATGGTTATTTTGTGTTAAAGAAAATGATGTTGTTGATGTTTTGTTTTTGTTTTGTTTTTTTTTTTTTTTTTTTTTTTTTTTTTTTTTTTTTCCCTTGGTTGGTGCAGGTGTAAGGGTAGGTGGTGAGAGTGAGTATGAGTATGGTGGAGCGGTGACATGGGACACAAGGAGGTCTCTTGCAGAAGGAACTGTCCAAAACTCGTCCTTGATATTGGCTAAGGAGAGAACATACAGGAAGGACCCTCTTGATGGGTTCAAGAAATACACTGGTGGTTGGAATATCAGCAATGACCATTACTGGGCTGTGAGTTCTCTCAACCCTTGATTAATTTTCATATCCTGGCTGTTTTCTTTGTGCTTTTTATGATTTGGGTTTCTCTGAGTTTATGAATATAATCATGTTGTTTGGGCTGTCTTGCTACTTGGATGGACTGTTAAATGGTCCTTAAGAGTTAAGACCACAATTGGATAAAGAGCAGCTTACGCACTAGAATTGGAATATAAAAATCATCTGACATACCACAAAGTAAAGCAGCACCCAGAAAGAAAAATTTGGACTTGCTAAGCACGTGCCATTCTATATCAGATGGGAATGGGATATAGATTTCCGGAGCTGAATAGTCCACTGCTGCACCCAAACTCATCTTTTTCCCGTTAAGCACCAAACCCCTCTTTGCACCCATATATGAATTCTAGCATATTTTCCTCCAAATAAATTAACCTTTCAGTACGATAAAAAAGCAAAGAAATTATATCTGCTACAAACCAATAGTGCAGAAGGAAGGCTCTGTTTTTTGTTTTGTGATTTTTATATTAAATTGTTTGCCATGGCAGGCACTTTGAGTGCAGTGCCGTCATGGATGGGCAGCCTCCTCTGTTTTTTCTGGACAATTTGAATCCACTAGTAAAACTTTTAAGAACCAAGATGGTTCATTTTGAAAATTTGCTGCTTTCCTTACTGACATTGTGGTTGTTTAAAACTAATTTTTGTCTCTAATTGTCTTTCCCTGGATTTTGAAGCATTTCAAGAAAGAACAGTTCTTTCTACTTATAAATGCAGGCCTTGAACTCTGCCAAGAATGTTGTTCATAAATTAATAATTTATTTTGTATTTTGCTGATGTCATGTGTTTTCTTTGTTTCTCAAATCCTGTTTTTATCTTTTTGAGATTGTTTTTAGACCCTTTTTTTTTGTTGAGATTGTCTGGAGATTGGAATGTATGTTTAATGTCTCTCAACAAATATACATTTACATTGATTATTGATGTATGATGTAGTCTGTTGGATTCACTGCGGCTCCCTTCTTTGTCATTGCTGGTGTCTGGTTCGTGCTTTTTGGGCTAAGCTTATCCTTTATCTGTCTCTGTTACTGCTGTTGTCCAAGAGAGCCTTATGGTTATTCTAGAACAGCCTATGCTCTCTCTCTCATCTTCCTTATTTTATTCACCCTTGCGGCAATGTAAGTCTCCCTCCCTCTCTCTCTCTCTCTCTCTCTCTCTCTCCCTCTCCCTCTCTCATACACACATTTGATTCGAATGGACAAGTACTGCCTTCAATTTTTGTGAGCTGATGACATCCTGTCTGGTCCATTCTAGTGTTGGATGCATTGTTCTGTACACTGGCCAGGGAAAGTTCCACAACAGTACAACAAACACACTGAAATATGTTGTGAGTCAGGCAGATACAACTGTTGAAAACCTCAGGAATTTGTCAGGTTATCTTGGTGCAGCTAAAAGGATTGGAGTTGATGCTGTATTTCTGCCAGCAGATGTTCAAAGTAACATTGACAATGTTGTAACAAAGATCAACTCTGCTTCCAATACACTTTCTGATAAAACTGAAAAGAATTCAAAGCGTATACAAGATGGATTGGATAGCATGTAAGTAGATTTTCTAGAAGATCTGGGGAACTTCTGCTCACAATACGGTGTATAACATTTATCTCTTTCTATGTTTTGCAGGAGACTGGCTCTCATTATTGTTGCTGCTGTTATGCTCTTTTTGGCCTTTCTTGGATTTTGTAAGTCTTCTATTTTCTTTTCATTAGAGGCAGGGATTTTCAAGATTTGACTATTAACATTATATCTTTTTCTTTGACTACTTGTTGCAGTATTTTCCATTCTCGGGATGCAAGTCCTTGTGTACTTGTAAGTGAAATATAGCTTGAACTGTCTCCTTTTTACTTTTTAAGAGAGATCTCAAATATTGGAAGCAGTTGTGTCTTAGTGCTCAAATATATTTTCACAAACACTTGCATATTTGATGCAGCTTGGTCATTGTTGGGTGGGTTCTTGTTGCAGGCACATTCATTTTATGCGGTGTATTTCTCCTTCTCCATAAGTAAGTACTGTTTGGTTATGTTCACTTCATATTACTTTCTTAGTCGCACACTTATGTTGAATCATCATATTAGCCTTCAGTGTGACATTTAGACGCATCTTAGTTATCTCATAAGAACAAATTTATGATATGAGCGTCACTCAATCTAAACTTATGACTGTTCTGCTGCATTTGCTTTGTCCATCTGTTTTCAAATCGTCTAACTTCTTGTCCTATTTGCACAGTGTGGTTGCAGATGCATGTGTTTCCATGGATGAGTGGGTCATGAACCCCACAGCCCACACTGCATTAGATGATATACTCCCATGTGTGGACAATGCTACTGCTCAAGAGACCTCTTCACGCACCAAGGAAACAACCTACCGACTCGCTACTGTGGTTAACCGTGTCATCACCAATGTCTCGAATAAGAATTATCCACCCATCGCGGGACCTTTATATTTTAATCAGTCTGGCCCACTGTTACCCGTTCTTTGCAATCCATTCAATTCTGATCTCACTGATCGACAGTGCAGCCCTGGTGAAGCGAAGCTGCAAAATGCCTCAGAGGTAATATTAACGGCTTATCTAAAATTGACATACATGTTGCCTGCATCTGTCTCTAAGTTTGGAAACAAGGACTAAGACTCGGGCTTTTGTTTCAAGCAGGTATGGAAGAAGTATGTTTGTGAGGTTTCCGCGGCCGGCATTTGTACTACACCTGGCCGGTTGACTCCAACCTTTTACAGCCAAATGGAAGCTGCAGTAAATGTGAGTTATGGTCTGTATCGTTATGGTCCGTTCTTGGTTGATCTGCAAGACTGCACGTTTGTTAGGGATGCGTTTACAGACGTGAGTAACCGGCATTGCCCTGGTCTGCGAAAGTACAGTGGCTGGCTCTACATTGGGTTGGTAATGGTATCTACAGCGGTGATGTTGTCATTGATCTTCTGGGTAATCTATGCAAGGGAGCGAAGGCATCGAGTATACACTAAACAGTTTACGGCTAGAACTGCAGGGGATTTCCAAGACAAGGGTGCTTAAACTTTTTTTTGGTCTGAAAGGGTGCTTAAACTTAAAACATATGTTTTCGTCCAACCATGTACATTGGAGTGATTTTAGCCTAAGGTCTTTTGTACAATGTGGTAGTTAATCTTTAGGTTTGATTATTATGCAGTACTCAGTTGTGTTTGCTCAGAACTCAGTTAGACAAAGTAGTAATATTTCGGAGATATCATTATCGTTATCGTCCATTTTTGTGCTTTTAATAGTTGATCTTTAAGCCTGATACCGTGCCTCTTTCTTTACACATCATCTTTTGTATACAATCCTGATCAAAATGTAAACAAGAGTAGCAGTTGTGTCCTCAACTGCAAATTGCAAAAGGACCAATTGGTAATTATCTATAACACGGACAAAAGACCTTGTGGTCAATTCGCAAATATGAAAAATAGATCATGTCGTTTCTTCGTCTGCTGAATGCATTGACCTTTTTTAGGTTTTTTGGTTTTTGGCTGAGACTCAAAGTGAAAGTGTTGAATTGAATCATACTCTGTACGTTATGACGAAGAGTCATTTTCCAGTTTGAGGAGCACATTTGAAGTTGGTTTAGTCCATACGCTTACAACAACTAACACGTACCTCTCTGTCTCTATATCTTCTTAGCTCTACCTCCGTCATTTCAAAACAAGGCGAAGAAGAAGAAGCAGAGAAAAGAATCAAATCTTCCATGGCGACGGCTCCCTCGTCTCTCCACCCTCTCCATCAAGATTTTCTATGCCCAAAATACCCTCGCCTTTATCACAATTCCCAATTCAGAACTCCTCGCCTCCGACGACGCCCCACTGGCACCGGCCGCCCGCCTTCCCGCTTTCCCTCTTTCGCCATTCGTGCAAGCTCAGTTGTTACTTTACCGCCTGTACTGCACTGCCTTATCTTCTCCCTGCACTCTAATTTCCGCTATTTGTTTTAACAAAAAATTTCATTTTAATATGGAAGTTCAAATTTTTAATGTTTAGGAATGGAAGTCGAGCACTGAGGAAAGTGAAAGCTCGGGTGTTGAGCTGTTAGCATGCCCAGTATGCTATGAACCGCTCATACGGAAAGGCCCTCCTGGTCTTAACCTGTGAGAAGTTTAATGATTCATCCCATTGAATAATATATAGCTTAAAGGCAAAGTCTTTCTTTTTTTCTACTTAAAACTGCAGTTGTAGAAGTTTAATATTGTCTTGTGATTTGTAGGCAAGCAATATACAGGTCGGCTTTCAAGTGTAAGAAATGCGACAAGTCGTATTCAAGCAAAGACATTTACTTGGATCTTACTGTTATTGCTGGGTTGAAGGAGTACGTTGAAGTCAAACCGGTTGGGACTGAGTTATTCAGAAGCCCTCTTGTTTCCTTCTTGTATGAAAGAGGCTGGCGCCAGAATTTTAACCGCAGTGGCTTCCCAGGTATTGATGAAGAGGTATGTGTATAATGCATGTACTTTCTGGCTTGCTTGCTCAACTTGGCCTGCACAGCATGCATGCCAATTTGGGTTTTGTTTACTTACCCACTACAGCTTTTTATGCATACAACTATAAGTGTATTAGTTACATGGTCTTTTTATATGCTACGCAGTTTAAAATGGCTCAGGACTACTTTAAATCTGCAGAAGGTGGTGTTCTGTTGGATGTAAGCTGTGGGAGTGGTTTGTTTTCCAGAAAGTTTGCCAAATCCGGGACCTATTCTGGAGTTGTTGCGCTTGATTTTTCTGAGAATATGCTTCGCCAGTGTTACGATTTTCTTAAAAAAGACCCTACTCTTTTAGCTACGTAAGTTTGCCTGCTCTTCTGAATAATCAATGTTTATGGTCTTTAATGTCAAATGACATGTCTATCCAAAATTCCTAATGTACACATCATTGGAATAAATGTAGTAATCTTGCTCTTGTGAGGGCAGATGTTTCTAGGCTTCCATTCCCTTCAGGTTCAATCGGTGCTGTCCATGCCGGCGCGGCATTGCATTGCTGGCCCTCTCCTTCCAATGCTGTAAGTTTCAATTCCTCTGTTTTTCTCCTTCAAGTTGCTTGGCGCCTAGGATCTTATGTTTAGTCAGAGTTACCCGACTTGGATGATTTAAGAATCAACATGATTATGGATGAATAATAACAGAATCTTCAATTTCTAAATCCTACCTCGCTTGTTTTTCATTAACTTTGCCTTTCCTAGGTGCATCCCTATTCCCCAAAATAATTTTGTTATGTGCGCCAAACAAATCTGTTGGCTAGCTTTGCCTTTTATGGTATCGGAGATGCTAGTAGTGACTAGTGAGTAAACTCAGTGATGAATTGCATATTGTATTACACATGTCACCTGCTATGTTGATAACTTACGAAAAAAGTCATGGTGAAAGTGCCTTGTTATATCAACTGGGTGTATCTGAAAGCATATGGAGAATTAAGTTTTGAACAATTTGAAATTGCCTCGACTGGTAATTAGGAATATGAGATGAAATGTGGAATGGTGAGCAAAACTTATAGTTTCTTTAGGCAAGCTGAATAAACACCATTGCCATTTTACCCATGGCTCCTTTCAAGAGACCACAAGAAGTAGGCATCTTCCGTGCCAGTGTTTTGTGAGAAATAAAGGTGATATCCTTTGAGAACTACGGGAAGTTAGAAAATTGGAAATTACTCTACTTATGACCTTGAGAATTTTCTTCTTTTCTTTCATGCAATCACTCACGTCTGAATCTTCAACTTGGGTTTGGACACCTCAAGAGCATATTCCAATTTTGAATTTTATTACAAAGCCCTTGGTGGCCAATGGTAGGTAGGTAATTTCGTGGAGTGTTTCTGTTTGGGACTGGGGACTCACCTTTCGGGAGATTAGTTGAGTGTCCTTACAGCATCAAGAACCTTGTCAACAAGGAAGAGAGAGGGCTGCTAGTGATAAAGAACCTAGCAATCATAGTTATACTATAAGGGGTGTCAATTGGAATCAGAAATCAGCAACCTTTTAGGTAAAAGAGTTCTGAGTACAACCTTTCTATTGATGCATAAGCTATAGTAACATGAATGCTCATGGATAGCCCATGAGGTAGTTACAGAGTTGGTTCCTGTGGAATATACTGCAATTTATAATAGAACACAACTCCACAAATGCTGGTGTGCTGGTCTGTGGCTCCTACTTTAGATATATCTTTCTTAGTGAAAATTTTCGAAGGAATTAGCTCTCAGGTGGTTTGCTGTTAGCAAGTAGATATATTAATCCCCTCTCTGGTGGACATTACTCAAAAAACAAAACAAAAAAAAAGGCCATCCCGTAAGTATACATGACCCCAAAAAAACTATTCCTTCCAGAAAAAAAGTTGTTCTTACCTTCCTGTACCCCCACCCATCCCTGGAATAATTGAAAAGAGTTATCTCCAATCACCAACATTGGCATTTGAGTCTTGTCTTAAGGTGACGGAAGGCAGAAGAGGGAAAGTAGCTCTATTTACAATTACAAAAAAAGAATTCAGCCACAGCCTTTTCCACAGTTACAGAAGAGAAGCCTTTGCGCTTTGAATTCTATTTGCATCTGAACTTCATGAACCATCGAATCTTGTTATATTTTCAGTTTTACTGTAGATATGTGTATGGATGCAACAAAGTTGCTTTTAACTAATGCATTTCCAACTCATTTCTCATATAATTCTCAGATTGCTGAAATAAGTCGTATATTACGAAGTGGTGGCATCTTTGTCGGAACCACTTTCCTGCGGTATACTTCATCTACTCCCTGGATATTGAGGCCTCTCAGAGAGGTAACACTTCTTACTTATTCAAAAAATTAACAAATGTGATCAATGATAGATGTGATTCCTCCTTGGTGGATTAATAATTTCGACCACGGTTTGTTTTCTTAAATGAAATTAAACAACTTTGTATTCATCTCTGAGTGGATATATGTGTGTACGCTGACTTTGTAAATGTTGATTTAATCTGAGGAGCTCTAATATGAAGCATTTATCCAAACTAGGAGTTGGTTTGTTTAAGAACTTTTTTATTTCAACTTGTGAATTTCCCATTAAGTAGATGTCAACCAACTTATCTCTGATTTATAGTACTCATGTATTGAAACAATAAAACTTATTTATGTTATGAAGTTATAGTTGTTCTATAGGGTTCAGACCTGTCAATTGTCCTGCTCACACTAATGTTATTATGATACTTGTTTATCTGTATATGCTAGTGATAGAATGTGTGTTCAAAAGAACGATTGCACATTCATTTTCATATTCTGCATAAATTGCACACGAATGATGTAACAGTTGAATTTTCGTTAGTCGGGACTCATTAGCTGTAGCTAGCTAGGATCTGTTTAAGGGTGGCTCCCCATCGAAACTGTTTTTACAGTCATTGGGACATGGGTTTTATTAAAAATATGTGACTGACTTGGTTATAAACTTTAATAAGTACTGATTTTAAGTTGTAAATTTATGTGGCAGAGGGCTCTGCAGGACTATAGCTATTTAACGGAAGAAGAGATTGAGGACTTGTGTACATCATCTGGTCTCATCAACTACTCGAGCGAAGTTCAGCAATCTTTCATCATGTTTTCTGCTCAGAAACCTTGAGACTAGGTTTGAGCCATTTGAATATAATGTCTCCGTACATGGATTTATCATATTTCTTATTGATTTGTTGTGTAGTGTATTTATATAATTGTATAGACATTTAAAAAGAAGAATACAGAACCTGAAAAGGTGGATAATCTGGGGAAGATGTAAAGTATTGATTATTAATAAGAAGTAGTATTTTATTAACTGTATAAAGAATGATAGTAGTGCTTAACATTATCAGGGACTCTATTAGTGGTTACTGATTAGTATTGACAGATTAACGGCCATTTCAATCTTCATTAGGCGAAGTTGGTTATGGCATAAAAGGTAGATGTATCACATAACATAAGAAGAACAAATAAAATATGCGTGAACAAGAATAGGAAGAAGAGGAAGAGGAGGACTGCTGTTTTTAGATAATCAGAAGGTTTGTGTTCAAGACAAGGTTTCAATTAAGAATTTGAATCTTGTGAGCACGATGGGAAACTAGAACTACTACATGAAGGTTTAGGCGTAGGCTTGGAGTCACATGATCTTGACTCTTGAGCATAGTTAGTCTTTAATCTTTGGAAAAAAGGTTCTCCATGTGACCTAAACTTTAAAAATGAGGGCATGCATTATGCTTATTATATAATAGGGCATGGTGAGGTGGCTAGGCTAATAAAGAAAGAAAACCCTTTTTGACAAAGCAAAATGGAACCAACTCAGACCACACAGAGGCCTGTGGCCACTGGCCACAGCAGGAAGATCCCCTCGTGCGGCTCATCCGCTGACCCAGCCCTCCCCCTATTTCTTCTTCTAACCACATCATCATCTCTGTAGAATCTGTTCACTTCTGGATCTTTGACCGTTGACCAACACTCCACACAACTTGAAACCTTGACTTGAATGATAAAAGGAGGAGGAAATGGTCAGTCCCAAGACACACTTAAGCTTCTCGTTTTGGACATTGCCAGTTTGTTTGAAAGCCAGGCCTTTGGATCCCTTGCACGTGAGCTTCTTGCTTACTATAATACCTTTCTACTTTTCATGGCACGTGGGGTTGGCCATCCTCTTTCTCTTCTCTGATTCTATTTGTTCTGTGAGCTTAATTTCTTTCTTCCTTTTAGTTTGGCTCTAGGGATATTTGCTATTTATGTCGTTTCATCAAGTATACACGTGCACAGTATATTTCATTTCATGGGAGACATGTGAAACTTTTATCATGATTCTGTTTTATTTTAGCAGTTTCTATAAATAAATAAATAAAACTACTTTTAGATTATTCTTTGAGATTAATCTTCAAAAAGTTTTGCTCATCACATTGGTAGTGAACCAACAGTTAACATACCTTCAATGCTTGCTTAAGAAGAGGGGAAAAGAAAACAGAAAAAGACAAACTCAAACCGCCTCAAAATGTTTTTCTTTTATATTTTTATAAAAATGGAAAAGACAAAATATTTGATAATATCTTCACAAAATGTTTATAAGTTTGCTTAGGGTCTAGCTCCAAGAGCTGAACTCTCTAAAGAAGATTAATTTAAATGTATATAAGGGCTTTGCTAGCTTTAATCTTCTAGGCATGCATTGACAACCGTTGATTAATATGATAAAAATGTATGATATCATTAATCATGAGTTCTTGACAACCGTCGGTTGTCATATGATAAAAGATTTGTGATGTGGAATGCTCTGATGAACAACAATCACATAAGGTGGAAGCTCGAAATTGAATGGTAGACCTGAAGGAAGGGTATAAAGGGAATGATACAAGACTCTTTGGCATTGCAAACCCCAAGGCAACTCTTGGTTGGAGCTTAGAGGCACAATAAGCAAGGTCTTCCTCAAAATTAGCACACTGGAGCCTCTAATTAATTAGGTCATTAGTTTCCCTAACTAGTGCTCAATGAGTTGTGCTTGTCTGTCAAATGTTTGTTGCAAAACCACATTATTGTTAAAGCAGGACTTGTGATTAGTGGATTAGTGGAGTGGTTGATTGATTGTTGACATGTTTTATTCCCTAAAAACCGGCTTTCTTTCTTTCTTTCTTTCTTGTACATGTCTTTGTTTTGACTCTGTTAATAGATTAGGCATGCTGCCATGGTTGTATTGTATTGGCCAGATGCAAGGCATTCTAAACCAACACCATTATGGCCTCAGTTGGCAGGACATCCTTTACCAATTGCCTTTCTCTGTTTATTTCCTAGGACTTAAACTGCTACTTCAACCTTGTTACCACCTGAGTCACATGAGTCACAGTTGAGGTATCAAAAAAAACCCAATGAATGGACAGCTTCAAGTTTTTGTTTTTGGCATACTAATATTCCCAAACCCAGATTTTTTAATCTTTCAAATTTCATTAAATTTGTCTCTCTCATTTTCTGAGCAATTTAATAGGGCCTTGGAAGAAGAAGAATAAACAAAGCACCTTGACATACTCAATACACCTAAACAATAATGAGATACTTTATAATATGATTGAAAGTATACTACCCAGCCAGGACCCTTGAGGTGCTCTTCCCTGGTCTCAAAAATGAAACAATCAGCCGGTCAGATTTGCAGGTATACATCTTAGATGTGCATCCATAGATTGCAAGATTAAGCTCTACTTATTCTTACTGATCTGGTGCTCTTGCACCAAATTCTTAACATTTCAATTTGTTGTGACAAGACATAGTTGATGGGTATTACTATTGCCTTTGTGTATTTTTAATGCAGCTCAGCACCCTTCTTCTTGACCATGCTTTTTTATTTATTTATTTTTTTAACGAGAAAAAAGTTTATGGGGAGATTGGCTACTCTCAATCTCTACCATGCTTTCATTGTTGCTGTATATGTTCTAATTACTTAGCTTTGAAGTGATGGAAATTATACGAATGACATCAAAAGCATCAGGCAAGAAAAAGGGATGCAGAGGAATACAATATACATTTAGAAAGAAAATCTACATTTTTTATGAATGAGGAAAAAAAGAAGATTAAGTTAGCCGACTTATTGGGATATGCATCTTTAAGTTGGATCTAATTTGAGCTTTTTTGTAATTACTTCGAATGACAACTAAGTGGAACGCAAGAATGGACCAATTGAACTATTATCAAGCTGTCTATCTATGTAAATACCTGTCATCTTTTTGTTCTGTTTCTCATTTCAAAGTCTACAACAAGTGGCTGGTTCCTTCCATCCACCTGATTTCACCAATTCTAAGAGATGAGAATCAATGAAAGAAAAGGTATTAAAAAAACACTTTGAAAATAAAAATTTTGAGGCAGAGAGGCAGCTCCTTCAAGAAGAGCTTGGTTAGTTTAGCATTAGAGCTCTTCAGCCAAGGAGATGAGCAAGAATAGTTTATAGGGGTTTTAGAGAATGGGAGACACAGAAACAGCGCCCACGTTCCCCTCATATCTTACTTCCTTTATTTATTGTTCTCTCTCTCTCTCTCTCTCTCTCTCTCTCTCTCTCTCTCATGTTACAAGCCTCCTATTGACAAAATGTTGTGTCCCTCCCCAAGGAATAAATATAGACCCCTTTCCTCTCTTGTGAAGCTCCATAAATACTCTTATCTCCATCCCTAAGTCTCTCTCTCTCTCTCTCTTCTGTTTACACCACTGTCTTGATAACAGCTCAAGGAGGGCTCTCTTTCAAGTGTTTATGTGATCATGGTTTGTCTCTGTCCACTCTCTGTCTCTCTATGGCATAATTCTTCTTGTCTTTTTGGTTCATATATATAATCACTGAGCAAATTTTGTTGCTTTAATAGGGAATTCAGAAGCCTGCATGGTTGGAAGCCCTCTATACTCAGAAGTTCTTTGCCGGCTGCTCCTATCATGAAACCGCTAAAAAGAATGAAAAGAATATCTGCTGCTTGGATTGTTGCATCAGTATATGCCCCCATTGTCTGCCATCCCATCGTTTTCATAGGCTCCTTCAAATTCGTCGTTATGTATACCATGATGTTGTCCGATTGGAAGATCTTCAAAAGCTCATAGACTGTTCGAATGTTCAGGTTAGTACCCTATAATCATCAAAGCTAGGTTAATTAACCATCTCCATCAGTTTGTATATAATATATTACTGTACAGTTTTTGACAATTTAAGTCTTTGATTCTTGTTTAGGCATATACAATCAATAGTGCCAAAGTGGTGTTCATCAAGAAAAGACCTCAGAACAGGCAATTCAAGGGTTCTGGAAACAACTGCACTTCCTGTGACAGAAGTCTTCAAGAACCTTATATCCATTGCTCTCTTGGATGCAAGGTAATCAACTTGACTTATTTTTGAGTGGTGGCTTTGTTCCATTCCATGCATGCAGCTGAATTACTAATAGGTTTTTAATTATCTATGATCATGATCAGTAATGAAAATATCCCAATATGATCGATTGCATTTCTGTTATTTTATGCAACAACAGGCACCATAATATCACTGAATTCTACTAGTTCATATGCTTACTTAAGAGAGAGAGAGAGAGAGAGAGAGAGGCATATATGAAAGGCTTTAACTAAAACTGAACAATATTTGGAATGATGAATGTTAATCAGGTGGACTATCTCCTTAAATTGAACAAGGGCCTCTCTCCTTTCCTAAAGAAATGCAACTCTCTTCAACTCAGTCCTGACTTCTTGGTTCCTCTTTCTGATACCGGAGACGAGGAGATGACGAGTGATCAGACCAACCCTCATTCTACAATTGTGGACTGCGATGACCCAATGAGCTCATCATCATCCGGGTCATCAGGGTCCGAGAACATGAGCATGAGCATGAACATGGGATACAGACATCATGAGATTGTCCGGAAGAAGAGAAGTGGACTGAATTATGCTTCATTGTGCGGAAGATCAGCTCATAAAGTTTCAGACGAGGACATGGCCTCGAGCATGATCAGTAGAAGAAAACGCATTCCTCATAGATCTCCTCTGTGTTAGCAACAAAAAAAAGAAAGAAGAAAAAAACCACAAAACTTAAACTTACTGTTTTGTCTCTACAATTTTCAATTTAATTGACTGAACTGAACCATTCAAATGCTTTGATTAATTAATTCATTACTTTAGCTCTCGCTGTCTCTCTCGAATTTGAAGTTTAATTTTGTTAATTATTCACTTGGTCGGGGTGTTTTGTCTTAATGTGATCACGTGGTTCCCAGTTCCAAGTTATATTGTTTTGTACATTTTTTATATAATTTTTTTATATAACTCTTTTAACTCATACTATATTTATATTGAGGGATTTCTGAAATAATTTTATTTGAGGGACACTATTTATGGTCCCTTACGATTTTTTTTTAACGATCCAAACCATCTATTTTTAAGTCTACATTCATATAGATCATCCTTGCAAAAAATTAGACAAATTGGAAATCATTTCGACATCCAATTCTACCTTATAAATCACTGAACACAGTGCTTCAAGAAAGTACTAAATTTTCAATATTTCAATTGAGTTGTCAAAATAATATCGGATTCAATTGATTTTATTTATTTATAGAGATATCTTTGAATGCACATCTACAAAATAGACGGTTTGGATTAGTGAAATTTAATACAGAATAGATCCTATAAGAATGTCCTTCAAATAAGTTTATTTAAAGAACCCCTTAACTAAAACTCCCTATATATATTTATATATATATATATATCCTGATTACTAATATCAACATTGATTCGAGTACTCGTGAATTTGATGGAGCTCTTCTTCTTCTTGTGATCATATTCAATGTCTTTTTAAGCTGGTTCGCATGTTCATGTTATATGCTAATGGTACAACAACTCTTATAATAAATATGTCTACAATTAAGTATATACTTAAACAATTTTTATTTATTTACGGTAATGTTAATTACAAACCGACAGGGACTTCCTTTGACTTTGACTGCAAAATGACACAAAATATTGTACATATGTGTTTGTGTGCGTGTCTGTGTGTGTGTGTGTGAGAGAGAGAGAGAGAGAGAGAGAGAGAGAGAGAGAGTTTAATTAATTTTGACCAGTCAAACCTTCCAGGCTTAGCAGTGATAACAACTGGTTAAACCTTGGCATTACTATTTTGTAGCACTATTGTATTATATCAATTTTTTAAACTAATCTCGCAACTAACTAGATACATTACTTAATGATAAAAATAAATAATTCACCTAAATTGTTATTAAAATATTTTCCTAATAAAGCCTTAATATCTAATATTATATGATTGATAGAAATAATATTAACCTTGAGTTTTTTTTTAAACTTTCTATTTTTTTTTGTTTGTTGTCTTATTTTATTTTTTTTTGGTTTGTTTGAGTGACATATGCTTTTGGATTGATTTGAACCCCATGTTCTTACACTCATTTAGGCCCTACATATATTAGGCCTTATTAATGTTTAGCCCAAAAAGTATGGGCAAAGGAGGCCCTTGTGATTTTTGTCAGCAAAGCCGAAAACAACTTTTCGTTAGTTTTTCTTTACCTCTTGAGCTATCAATATAAAATATGAAGGATGCGATTGATAAAGAGACCTAACTTGTTCATCTATTCTTTTTTTTTCTTTCATTTCTACAAGTCCCTGAAAAAAGTAGACTTCTTTGTTCATATTCAAATGATTATTAGTGTAAGACTCAACACTTTTAACTGATTTTTCACTTGTTGTCATGACTCTATATATTAATCCTAATTTGCTCTTTTAGGAAAGGTCCTAGGTTCGAGTCCTAGCATTTATGTAGTGTATGTGAGTTAGTATACTATCGCATTTCTCAATAAGAAAGAGGTCCTAAATAAATAAAAACCCTAATTAGTACCTAACAATCTCCAAAGGCTTTATTTTTTCCCTGTACTTGAAGCTAAGGGACCTAAAGAAACTGAATGACGATATGGGATCCAAAAATACAAAAGAAAAAAAAAGCAAAGTGAATATGCCTGAAAAGTGAAAGCATCACCATCATGATCATGATCGTGTTTATGACTAGGATTTTGAAATGATTCCAAATTCTGAGAACCTGGTTGCAGACTGCAGTGAGTGATATTTGCTTCTCTCACAGTGTCACACAGACTCAGTCTCTCTCCTCCACTTTTTTGTTTCTCCTGGACACTTCCCATAAAGAAGCAGAAAACACAGTTATGGTGGGAATAAGTTCCAGTTCCAAACTGAAAAGCAGTTGATTTAAAATAGCAATTAGCCTAATTAAGTGGTTTAGATTGGCCGGAACCTAAAACAAGCCATTAATAATATGTCCAAAATAATTGGACAGTGATTGAGTATGCACTAGCTACCTACTCCGAGTAAGGCTTTATGCAGAATCACTGCACATGGACAAAGTGTAGGAGCAATAACTAATTAACTAGTATATTAATATTTAACCCTTTCAGGTATTCTTTCGTCTCCTTCATTCGAGAAGAATAAAATCTTCTGAGTTGTCAGTTACTGATTAAGCTGGTTGCTCCATTTGCTCTTCAAATCCAAGGAAACTATATTTATATGAATATGAGTGCCTAAGCCTTGCTATCATTTTCTAATGTTTATGTCACTTTCTAGTCTACACACTCGACCACTACTTTCAATCTCAAATCATTTCTCATCGAATATGCGACATGCCATATTGGATGCCTGAGAAAACGAGCTACAACCATATTATGCATATAATTTTCTTTGTATGTCAAAACGAATACATCTATCATTTCATCCATTGCAATTTGCATGCATGCATGTGACATGTTGCATGCAAAATAAAAACTCAAAACCATTGGAACTTACTTGGTGGAGGTGGGAATACAGTGGAACGTAAGCCTAGAGACTTGTCATGCGCACCACCACTCATTTTTGAGTAATTTCTTATTACTTAGCAAAGCTAGCTTTATTTAAAGTAATTTCTGTTCCCATCAGTTATATGTTCTTAGCTACAAGATTTTCATGGCTATAAATATACATTTCTGCTAATCCTCAAGGAAATATTTTGTGGTCAATTATGTATGTACTGAATTTGTGTGTGTATATATATAGAGAGAGGGAGAAACGGATTTTGATCTTATCCATCACACTCGTATAATTAATTAAGAAGTTAATTAAAACTATTCAAATCTTCCAAATTTCACAAAAGAAACCTATAAATTAAACAAGAATAATACGTTCGTATGAATCTGTATTTACTAGCTAAATAAATACAAACATTATTGCATCATTGTAATCTACGATTTCCAGCTAAATAATTTTTGTTTTGTCAATAGTCAAATTTTACTTTAAAACCTTCCTTTATCATTCTTTGAGAATTTCTATCTACAAACTCGTATGATACACGATGTAATTTTAGTCATTAAATTTTGACGGATTAGATTACTTTTCCATTTTGAGTATAAACACGTTAGCGGTTGGATTTGTTTGTATGTCATACAGATTCGTAACTTGGACAAGTATTAGTTTAATCCTCTTTTTGGTATCTTTTTATTTTTGTTTAAACTCAAATGTCTTGGTACCAAAAAAACAAATAAATCAAATATCTTAATTTAAAAATAATAGTAAAATAATTTATCAGTGTCTATTTATCTCTGCTTCTCTGCCCACAAGTTCGTGTGCAGGTATGAATGTATAAATAACCCCACCTCGCACAAGATGTAGGCGGGTCCTTGTCTCTCCCCCGCCCGCGAGCTCTGCCTCAAAAACCAGAGGTTGAGGAAATTCTCGGACGTAGACGCGAACACAACAACAGGAAGAAGCATTACTAATATAACCCAAAAACCAAAAACAAAATGTTATGCTTCAGATCAAACCCATTGAAAATTTTCCTTCTTTTTGTTTCCTTCTTTTTCTTCATTTCTTTAACTTCCGGAAGCCCTGACCTTTTGCACATTATACGAACAACAGGTACTCATGTATGAAATGCCCCTTTTATTTTTCTATTTCCTATTTCATTTTTGGATGAAAATGCTGTTACTTTCGTGTTCTTTGAGAAAATGCTGTTACTTTCGTGTTCATTGAGAAAATGGGTTGCTTTAATTTGGTTGGATGTACAGCTGTAGAGGTAGCTGGTGAGAGAGAGCACGTTGGGATCAATGGGGTGGTGACATGGCCATTAGACACACGGAGGTTTCTTGAAGAAAACACGACCGTCTTATTATTGGCTCAGCAGAGGACAAGCAGAAGAGACCCTCTTAATGGGTTCAACAGATACACAGGAGGCTGGAACATCAGCAATAAGCATTACTGGGCCGTCAGTTCTCTTATCTTAACCTTAATTTAATTTACTTTTGATTCATTGTATTTTTTCTTTTTTGTTATTTGGGTTTCTCTCAATTTATGAATGAATGATCATGTTATTTGGGTTTATCAATTATGCTGTTTGATAATCAAGAATGAGGTCCGTGTTCTGGTTTCCTGTATTGTATGTATGTGGTTAACTTGTGAATTTCTGCATTTGGTTTGCGGATTTCCTGACATACTGAAACTTATTTTGATACATATAAATATAGGCCATGATCAGACCAAAAAAAAATATAGGCCATGATGAGCTTGCCAGTTTTTAAATTTTCTTGCGTTAATGATGTCATTGTTGATTATATATATACACACATTTTTTGTTGGGTTTGCTGATACTCTGTGGTTTCATATTCTCTCTTTCTCAAATCATGTTATTCTGTTTTTGACATTGTTAAGTTGAAGAAATGTATGGTCGATTATGTTGCTCAACGAATGCTTTTGATATAGATTGTTGATTTATGATACAGTCTGTTGGTTTTACCGCGGCTCCCTTCTTTGTCACCGCTGGTTTATGGTTCCTGCTGTTTGGGATATGCTTGTGCCTTGTCTGTATATGTTACTGCTGCTGTCGAAAAGAACATTATGGCTATTCTAGAATAGCATATGCTCTCTCTCTCATGATCCTTATCTTCTTCACCCTCATGGCAATGTAACTCTCTTTCTATCTCTGTCCTTCCTCATATCTACACCAAGACGCGATTTTCAGTGCCGATAAATTTCTAGCATTGAACTGATGATGCCTTTTTGAATTTTGATGCTTGTTTGTGTGGTGGGTTCTAGTGTCGGATGCATTGTGCTGTACACTGGTCAGGACAAGTTCCACAGCAGTACATACAGCATGCTGAGTTATGTAGTGGATCAGGCAGATACAACTGCTGAAAACCTCAGGAATGTGTCAGATTATCTTAGTGCAGCTAAGAAGATTGGACTTGACGCCATAGTTCTTCCGGCGGATATTCAGAAGAGTATGGATGACATTATGGGAACCATAAAAAAGGTTGCCAATACTCTCTCTGATACAACTGAAAAGAATTCAAAGCGTATACAAGATGGCCTGGATATCATGTAATTAGATTCTTCTACAAGCTCTTGCAACTTCAAACTTGTGCTCACAATGCTTAATTTGGATAACTGTATCTGTTGTTATGTTTTGCAGAAGAATGGCTCTCATTGTTCTTGCTGCTATTATGCTCTGTTTGGTCTTTATTGGATTTTGTAAGTTCTTTACTTTCGTTTGATTAGAGGTAGGAAGGTTGGAGATTTCACTTTTAGAATTATGCCTTATTAATCTACTTCTCTTTTTTGTTTTTGTTTTCCTGGGGGACTACTTTTTGCAGTATTTTCCATTTTTGGGCTGGAATTTCTTGTATACTGGTAAGTGATAAATACCTACCTACAACTGTTTCCTGTTCAATTTGTAAGACAGGTCTTTAAATTTTGGAATCTGTTCATTAACAAACACTTGGACATTTGATGCAGTTTGGTGATTATTGGGTGGATTCTTGTCACGGGAACAATCATTTTGTGTGGTATATTTCTCCTCGTCCATAAGTAAGCTCTCTTCGCTTTCCTTAAGTGCAGCATTTAGAAGCTAATTTCAGCCTGTCAAGCTTAGTCTTGGTTGTTACATATTTGTCTAGAAGCATAGAGCATCAATTCATTTTTCTATGTGCATTTGTGTATGTAGTGTGTTTGCAGATGCATGTGTCTCCATGGATGAGTGGGTTCAGAAGCAACCCAAGGTTCATACAGCCTTAGAAGATGTACTGCCATGCGTGAACAAAGATTTAGCTCAAGAGGTGTTTTTACGGACCATGGATGCAACCTTATACACTGTTACAGTGCTCAACCGTGTCATCAACGACGTTGCAAATACTAATTCTCCGACCGTCGATGGTCCCTTGCATTTCAATCAGACTGGCCCACCATTACCCCCTCTCTGCAACCCCCTCATGGATGATCGCTCCGATCGAAAGTGTATCCCTGGTGAGGTCGAACTACAAAATGCCGGACAGGTACTTATATACGTACTAACAAACAAATATCAATGATATTATTATATATTGTTTTGTTAAGTTGGGTTTGAAATTGAATTGTTGCAGGTATGGAAGAAGTATGTGTGTCAAGTTTCAGCCGCTGGTGTATGTATAGGTCCTGGGCGGTTGACGCCAACCTATTATGAACAAATGTTAGCTTTCGCGAATGTGAGCTATGCTCTGTATCGTTACGGTCCCTTCTTTCTTAACCTCACAGACTGCACGTTTGTTAGGGACGCATTCTCGGACATAAGCAAACAACATTGTCCCGATCTGCGAATCCACAGTGCTTGGATCTACATTGGCTTGTTCTTGGTTTCTGCAGCTGTAATGCTGTCCTTGATCTTCTGGGTTATCTATGCCCGCGAACGAAGACATCGTGTCTACACGAAAAAGATTTTGTCGTCGAGAGTTTGTGGAGAATCTGAGATGGAGTTAAGTCATCAACCTCACTCCTCCAGGTGCTCCACCTCCTCCTCGAGGATGAGTTTCAAAACTCCAAGGACTTCAGTAGGGTTCCAGGACAAGGCAACATTTTATTCATAAACATTTCCTTCCATTTGCACCAACCAAAGCAAAGCAAAGCTTCCTTGTCATTGGGTAAAATGTGTTTTTTGGTATTTTGGATGTATATTTCAGTGATTATTTTACCCTCAAGTTTTTTGTACCTCCTCCTCCTGTGAAACTTGTTTGAGTATTTTTCTGCTTCACCACCGACTGTACATATAATTCAATAGACCGACCCCTTTAAGGATAAAGGATTAGCTGCCCCCCAATCTCAACCATCGATCCATTTCTATCAGTCAAATATCACTACAATAAATTGGGCAACCTTTAATCATCCAATCAAAATCAGCAAGTAATGGTTCAATGTGAAAGAAATCTAGTCTAAAGGATTAGTACGTTGAAATAAAGAAATCAATTAGAGATAATGTTGGTAGCTTATTAGCCAGTGTCAATCAACATCAAAGAATGTTGTTTGAGTGAAAGATGAAAATTGGCCAAACCATTAACCATAAGTCACAAGTCAATCATAGAGGCTCATGATCGAAATAATAATGTCACTCCACATCCGTCTCCAATTTCTTTGGTAATATCTTGTAAATTGTAATCCTATCCTGTCTCACACAATTTTTATATTATTTATTTTACAATCCTTAATTTGATTGAAAACCCGACATTCATTGATTCTAAAGGCAAACTCATGTTTATCTTATCTTATTTTTATTTTACAGCTAGCCATTCCATTGCAGCAATTGAATATTATTGGGAAACTAGACAATCGTCTCTTAATTGCGTGCAATCCCTATGTTGTTGGAACGCTAAACCAATCAAAAAGAGCCCACACACTAAACGAAGGAGATCATATCTTCTATTTAATACAAAGTGAAAGCAAACAAGTTTTTCACATGTCATATCATCTCGTGAGAGAATATTTACTTATATGTTATTAAAATAACTTTTAGAACTAAGTATCGACATACTAAAACGACGACAACTAGTCTCAAATCTCTCAACAAAAGGAGAGCAATTCTCTCAATATTTGACCGACAAACTAATTTGATTAAAGCCTCAATTTTGTTAGGTGTTTTATTATAGAATATAAATTAACTACAAGGTAAAAAAAAACATGAACGTTTAATTTGAAAAGAAGGGTAAAAATGTACTATACCCGTCTAGAAGAATACCATCAAGATTGAGGTCAACAATAATTGTTGTCCTTTATAGTTCCAAATTTCCACTTATAAGTAACTTGGAGCAATTAGTTATCCATTTGAACGGTAAAACTGATTTGACATGTAGACTCTTGTGCCCTTCCAATCCAAATGTCCTTGAAATATCATCATCGTCATTTTAATCAAAGGAAGTCAGGGGGTGTGGGTGGGCATGAAGGAAAAGGTTACTAAGGTAAATTCGAAAAACCAGAAGAAGCTATATAAAATCCCCCAACTCCAAACCAGCCCAATAGAAAATAGAAAATAGAAATTGTTAGTGGTTGAACTATTCCATGGCCTCAAAAACTGCAACCTGCATTTCAAAATCACACAACTCAAACCGCACATGTTTATGTTCACCCACCTCACATCCTGGATCTTTTAGGTGCAGTTTGCATAGAAATTCCAATAAGCAGCAACCCATTATCAGTAATCCTGCATTTGTTGTTAAACCAAATTCCATTAAGGGGTGCCTGTTCCTTCAGCTCATCAAGCCCTCCAGCCATGATCTTCAAAGGAGAAGAAAGTTCCAGCCCAGGCCTACCAGGTTCTGTTTAATGAATAACACCAGAAATCAGCTAGCAGTTTCTTGATTTAATGAATGATCGAATATGTTTGTACAGTAGGAAAGGTAAAAATAAATAATATATTTTTTGTAATTCTTTCTCTGCTTTCTTTTTACTTTTTTATCTCTGGGAAAAAAAAATATATATATGATCCTGTTAAGATTTCTTACGTGGAGATTTTACAAACAAGTGTGATTTATTTGATTCCCTTTGTCAATATTGCCAGTAATGAACAAAGAAAAAGCAACAGTGGTGGTGGTTGCATATTTAATTTATTTTCCTTTGTCCCCCTAACTTGAACATGCTAATTATTTATACAGACTTCCATCAAAGTGTATGGCACTCCTATGAAGGACGTAATAATACAAGCAATAATGGCATGATTTGATGCATCACATTTACTGATAACATCAAAGCTCATCTGAACAATCTTATTACATTAAAATAAATATAATAAATCTGAAGCATATTTACAACCCGACCTTAGCTCAGTTGGTAGAGCGGAGGACTGTAGTTGGAATCCGGCAGATATCCTTAGGTCGCTGGTTCGAATCCGGCAGGTCGGAAATTTTTTTAATTTTTCGCATTTATTATTTATTCAACCCCCTCCAAAACGCACTAGCCGGTAAATAAAACGCACACCCAAAATTGATTAGGGCAACAAACAAGAACCTTCCAAACACCAACTTGCTTGAAGAAATTAGAACTGTTTATGAGGTCAAAAGCTCAGACAAATCAAATGCATGCTACGCAGACTTGCAAACACCAACTTGCTTATGAATTTATGAGTTTGACCCTTGACCTGGGCTGGGACGAACCATCCGGTGCGGTGCAGTGCAGTTCACATAATAAAACTGGTTTTTGTTCCAAAACTAGACTTGGTGCGACCCACATCCCCCACCGTGTGGGAGGACTTTTCGTCTCATTCAATCATATTGGACATTACTTTGCATTTTCAAACTCTTAGCAAACAAGATTTCCAGAAGAAAAGTAGTGACGTTCATTTTCAAACAACTCAACTCAACTGCAGCATGCAATGACTACTGATTTGCAAGTAAAAATCATTTTTTCACTGAATTAGATCCGTTGATCAGGTAGAATTACTATTAATTCACAGTCTCAGTCTCAGTCTCAGTCTCAATCTCAGTTTCAATATCAGTCTCCGCCAAAGAAGGACCACGTCGAAAGTAGAGGCCCCAGTGTGTCATGCCAAGTGGGGGCATTGGAAGCCCAATCAATTTAATTACTTGTGTTGTGTATGAAAAACAAAAGAGGAGGCTGCCAGCCAGCCAAGAAAAAGAAATGAAAGACTTTTACTTGTTTGTGCGTGGCTGTTGCTTTCAGAATCATATCTACTTGTTGTAATAGTTTGTGGATAATTAAGGAACCCATCGACAGAATCAAAGCTGTTGTTTGATCAATATTTCCCATTAGATTTTTTTTAACATTCTTATCTTTAATTGGTTGATTACTAGCGTGGAAATATCTAATTTGGCCATAATAATAATATCAGGGTTTGAAAAATAAATAAATTATACGCGTTGGCAGCCGATTCTAGAGTAGTTGAACTTGAATATAATACTTGTCAATGAGATTGACACAATAGAGATGAAAGGAAAACTATATTAAAGAAGGTGATAGACTTGGAAAGCTTCAAATGCTTGACCCAAAACTTGGACTTTCTCTGCTCTCTGGTCATCTTGCTCGTCTTTTCTTTCTAAATCCTGAGGTTTTACATTTATGAGATAATTAACGACAATTAAGAAAGTTCAATGTGGGGTGAGGCTAATTAATAGCCCAAGATTCCATGATTTATTCTACGCTCCCAATTTTCTCTGTTATCATATATTGACTTGTTTTTTCCACATGTCATCTCAATTATATTTCATCTAAGGACTTCAAAAATAACGCCTCCTACGTAATACAATTAAGCCTCTTTTTAATTTCAACATGGGTTGCATTGCATTGCATTGCATCCTCAGCAGAACCACCTATAACAAAAGATAATTTACTGCTTCATCATGATTTGGTAAAAATAGGTGATCCAATGCTTACTTAAATACCAACCCAAAAAGAGAAGATAAAAATTGATTGCAGTTAGCTACTAGCCTAACCTAACAAAAATGAAGTACCAAATCTTGTAGATTGAAGCCTGCTACCAGCAATTTGTGGGGATCTCAAATCAAAGTCGGGCAGAAGCAAAACTAACTGTGACAATAACTTGGATTTGCAAACAAAATCAATGAAGAGATGTGTTAGATGAGCATACAGAAAAAAGGAAAGATGAATGGTTACTTACTACCAACCTAGCTAGCTGTATAAAACATGATGCAAAAGCTTTGACACAATTTGACTCTCTTTCTAGTTCGTCTACAACAGTGTACATGATTAATTTATTTTCATAGAGAGAGGTTGGAGGAGTTGGATGATTTGCCACCCAACTAATTCCTAATTATATGATTAAGATACTAATATGTGTATTGTGCTTATGAAGTTTCTAACCTAAATCCTCACGGGAACTCAACAAAATCAAAGTAATTAATTTACTAATTTAGTGTTAGCCCGGGGTTTGCTAGGTATACCTACTAATTAAGTAATTCAATTAATGGCCCCATCCCCTGATGATCAGCAGGGTTTTCCACTGTTTCACTTGTATCCACAACCTGGTTAATAAATATGAGAAGATAACTTTGCTTGGGAAATTCTAGATATGATTCCAATAAAGAGACGTGCAACAACTTCAACTACCCATTTGAGAATCTTAATCTTTAATTTGGATGTGCACAGTGCATGCAAATTGTAAACCTCCTGCCATCTTTTGTTCTTACATATACTTAGCTAGACGTTTGCATGATAATAATGTTTGGATGTCATTGTAAAGAAAGAGGAAAACATGAAGAGGTAATACAAAATACAAGGAGTTCATATCATAATAATGTCCAGACGTCCAGATAGGAGAATTTCTGAACTAACAAATGGATGGTAATTGCTAGCTGCCAAAATATCAAAATCAGTTTACAGAGATGTAATTGCTTTAATTATGGTAATTGCGTTGTTTTTTAGCTTTATTCTCTTCCTTTTTTATGATCACATATTTGTTTTGTAACATTTCTTCTATACTCAATAATCCGCCTATAGAAGATAATATATTTAAATGAAAGAAAAAGAAAAAGAAGAAAGTGAAAAAGACGAAAGAAAACGAAGAACAAATGAATAGTACTTTTCATTGGTAGTGTCTTTTCCTTTGGGGCCAAGAAAGCAGATTAATGTGATTTAGATGAAAAAGAAAAAGTTTATAAACAACATGTCTTGTATTCTATAAATATAATTTTACTGATGTCGACAAGCAAATTTAAAAAAAGAAAAAGATGGTAATTATATAGCAATTAGTAACTAATAGAAGTCTTGCGTGCCTAAAACGTTCCCATTTGCATTATTTTGATTCCCAATTTTGTCATATATTTTGGGTTGAGACGGTTCTATTCCATTATGTCGACAATTGACATGACTTTTCAAACATCGCACTTGGGCGCTCACACCTTTATTAGATTAGAAGCATTATATGAGCTACGTGTACTTTTCTTTTATATATTTATTTTTTGTGTTTGCAAATATAAAATAGAATTGAGAATCTTCTAAACTGAATTATTTAGTGGGCAACGAGTCTAGCTTAGTTAAAAAAAAGTACTAATTTGTAGACTAGAAGTTTTAAATGCGAATTCAAATAACATCATAGTTATATGTATATGTGAAATTTTTGTCATATGTAATTATATCACTTATACTCAAAACAAAAAGGATTTTAATTTGAAATTTAATTAATTAAATGACGAAATACATATATTGAAACGAGAATATCATTATTTTATCATAATTAATGCGTGTCGGAGTGGTTTGGGTGTAAGCATATTAGCAAACACCGCACCTGTTTGGACGATTTGTGAGGACAAGAGAATTGTAGGCAAGTGGAACAATTCTGAGAGAAGCACGTGTCGCCCACCTCAATGCAAGTGTGCCACATACACCCTCCCTTACTTTTGCAATTGCAATTGCAGGGTCCCCAGATTGATTCCATATCTCAGAAAAATCAAAGACATCACATGGATGGTCATCTAAAATAAAAGTCTGGTAGATCTGGAACGCATTAAAAAAAGAATATTGATTCCATTCCTGTTATAAATTTTGTTTCAAGAAGAATAAACCCAATTGGTAAAATAGAAATGCATGCTACCTTCTTAATGTTGAAGCTTCATATTTTTATGTGTAAACTCAATCCCATTCATTGGACAAAGGATTACAATCCTTACGAAAAGAATTTACTGGTGTAGTGGTTTGAAGCAATCTTTAATTTGACAAAAAATTACAATCATTATGCAAATGACTTATTGTTGTAGTGGTTTGGAGCAATTGTTCTTTCAAAAAAGTCATGAATTCGAGTCATAGCATCTGTATAGAATAATACTAGTCTTACCACATTTTTTATACCACAATTTTATACCACATGATGTGGCGGCTGATGTGTACATACCACATCATGTAAAATACTAGTTTATGTTTTTCTAATTTTATTTATTAAAATACACTTCATTCATTTAATTGATATGACATATGATATAGACATGCCACATCATGTAGTATATAAATGTGGGATAATAATGTGGTAAGTGTAGCATTACTCATCTGTATAATGTGTATGTGAATTTAATATATTATCGCATCTCTTAATAGAAAAAATATTTATAAAAAAGAAAAGAAAAGAGATTACAACCATTACATACATATCATTAAAGAAATAATATTTGTTATTCACGGACCCTTACCTAATATATCCCTCGAGTGAAAACAGCTAATCTCCGATCTCCGATCTCCGATCTCCTCCTCCGTATTAGACAAAACTAATTAATTATCGCATAATTTATATTTAAAAAAATAATACGAAATTAACAAAACAAGGGGCTGAGGAGAGAGAATAAAGTTGGTAGCGTTTTACAGCGTACGTACGTGGAATTTAAGAGGCGATTGTGTGTGTGCGCGTGTCAAAACGGAAGTACGTGGGAGAATGGTCGCTTGACTACTCTGAAACGCTGTCAGATAAAACAGTCTGCTTTTATTTATTAATTAATTTAATTTAATTGCTCTTCTGCGTGACTTCGTCTCTGCGGGCTGCACTGCCCATAGCTTGGCGTCGAAACCGTTGGTGCCCAAACTGCAAAATCTTAACCTCGCCCCTAGATTACTATACTCTCTAACCAACCCCCCAACTGTTGCTCTGGTTAGGTTAAATATTGCTTAGATGCCCATAACTTTTCCATAATTAGTTTTTCTGTAATTACAATTAGGCAGGTACTTTGTATTTTTTATCACAACCTTTTAAGCCACAAATTTCTTCAATTAATTTAATCATACCCAAATTCATCTCTCATATGATTAATTATTCTCCAAAAAAAAATTGTACAAATACTGTCGATTACTCTCTTTCCAATTATAATTAGGGAAGGCATTGGAGTAGAAATCCTAGCTTTTATGGTAAAAGCACAATTTTATTGCAATAAATAATACGCGTGGCAGTCGTAGTACCCACAACATAAATAAGCAAAAAACTAGGGGTACGAAAGAAAACCGAATAAATAAATATCGCGGGACCTGACCCATTTTCTCCTTCCCTCGTTCACTATAAATACATAGCTCGAGTGAAGCTAGGTTTGCCGAATTGGGCAGCGAAACGCAGCTTACACAAAAAGAAAAGGAAAAAAACCCGTCCCTCTCTCTCTCTAAAATCTCAACCCGATCAACAAACATGGCAGCAGCAAGTTCTAGAAGATCATCATGCGGGCCAGTCATCCGCTCCGCTTCACCCTCTGGAAGATTCCACAACACTCGGTATTCGTCCTCCTCAGCCTTCGCCTCCTCCACTTCCAGCTTCTCTTCCCGCTCCTCCACTTTCTTCCAGCGCCCCGCCTCTCCCACGCGCCTCAACCTCGCCAGGTCCTCACCCTCCGCCCAGTCCGTACGCTTCTCCCTCGACCGCCCCATCTCCCCGAGCCGCTCCATCTCCGTCACTCCACATGGCAACGGCAACCACCACAACGCCGTGAAGAGCCGTCAGATCAGCAACCAGAAGCGCACCTGTATGTGTTCCCCTACGAATCACCCCGGTTCGTTCCGTTGCAGCCTCCACAAGAACTTCAGCTCCCACGTGACCGCTTCGGCGCCCTACTCGCAGAACCGCCTCAACGCTCGGAGATCGGCGATGACGAACTCGCTCGTGAGAATCGGAGGCGTCGAAGGCGATCTGGTGCGGCGCGCTTTGTCCGCTCTGATTCGCCCCTCTTCCCACAGCCAAAGGAGAAGAGCCGATTTCCGGCCCAGGCCCAGCCGGCTCTCCACCATGTCCAAGTCACACGAGTAATTGGAAAAATTAATTTTGAAACTAAAATCGAAACTTGAGTCCTTTAGATCCTGAGCTTTTGTTGCACATCCTTTGAGATCTTCCGGCGAGGTGAGGCCGCGCTCGGCGGCGATGAAGGGTCAGGATCCGGCGAAAGTGTGAGTGATCTGACCGATTGGTGACCGAAGTGCTACAGCTAGGGGAAGATGATGATATGAATCGATACGATACCTAGCTATGATTCTGTATATATAAATACGCATATATTTGTATGAGTGGCGCGCCTTTGTTGGCTGCTCCAAGCTTTCTGGGACCTTATTAAACTTCCATATAAGCATAAATTTAGCAGGCAAAATTAAATTCGAAGCAAGCAGATTTCATTACTTGGCTTGGGTTTGGCAATTGGCACTACTAGTTAGTTGAGCCCATTTCTTCAACTTCTCCGGGTTGGTTTTCCGTTAGCCATTCAATCAGCAGCGTGTGCGTTCTCCGTTAGTTTTGACGTGTTCCGTTATCCGTTTTGCCGTGACGGTAGGCGTATACGTATCATCATGCGTCTTGTCTGCTATATTGTGGGTTGACCGTATGTTCCTTCCGTTTACCCTGTACCAGGTCCTGGATTCATAGGGCTTTCGGAGGGAGGTTGGTTTGTTGTGAATTAATTGTTTCGTTTTTCATTCTTTTATTAATTGTTCTTTTTGTTTCAGGTATGTAAATCTCCGTGGAATTCGCACCGATTGGATTGGACTGCAATTTATTTGAGAAATTGGGGCTGGAAAATGCTAATTGGATGAGCTTTGGAGGGAAGGATTATTGGACTAAAACGAATCTAATGAATGCTCTTTTTAAAATTAATGAACAGTACAATTAACTTAAATTAGAAAAGAAAAAAAGAATAAAGTTGGGGATTTGTTCATGATGATGATCAGCTGGTGCCGGGCACCTGAGGGTAGCATGTGATGTGAAGCAACAAAGCAACAGAAGTTTAAAAATTGCTAATGATCAGTCAGTCCATAATTATGGACGATGACGATGAACCAGTCCCTCTTCTTTTCCTTTTAAAGATGCCAAAATGATTATTGATCAGCACACATTTTAGAATTGTTTGGAATCAAATAAATTTTTATTCTTCTTCTTTTTTCTCTTTCTTTTGTTCTTTGGGAATATTAAAAGTGACTGATGACGGAATTAATAATTATGGGGAAGTCGATGTGCGAGCGACCGGACCGGACCTAAACAAGTTGGGTTGCAATTGGATTAATGAAAGCAACATTTGCAAAAAACTGAGGGGGCACAAAGCCTAAAGGAGTACAGCTGCTTAAAATTCAAGTTCAACTGTATGTGTATTATCGCGTTCATCCATCTTCATCCAATTTAATAACAAAAGAAAAAAAGGGACTTAGCGGTCCCCACCCGGAGAAAAACTTTTATGCAATGTGGATGACATTACATTTTTTTTATAATAAAAAATTCCCGGTCAATGACTTAGCAAAATAATGTCATTTCCATTTATATTCTCGGTCAATGATACATGTTATTGTGTTAGTAAAATAATGTTATTTCCGTTTGGTTTGTGTGTGTGTGGGGAAGATAAGGTTTTGAAAAAGAAGCCAAGCATAAATAGTCATGGGTGCGCAGGGAAGGAAAAGGAAGGGATTGATATGACATAGCTAGGGGAGCTGGTGTTTATGTATTTTGTTTGGCCAATGTCTTTTAGTGCTGGGACAAACGTTAAAACTTGGTTTATCCTTTTAGCAAAATGGAAATGAATTTAGCGTCAATTATATAAGCAGCATTCAGTCACATCACATCCACAAGTAAAAGGGGCCACAAAAGCGCGGGGAAATTGGGCTTGGATTGGAATGGGGAGGAGCCTTTGTGAATTGTATTTTAGTTTTGCTAGTTGTGTTATTTTATATAGCACTGCACCTGCATGTGTGTAATTAGGTACTTGTAGCACACTAGACATTACGTGTCAGATTCCAATCCTAATATTAATTTTTAATATGAAAGTGGTGCAATGCAGAGCAAAATGAATTGATGGAGAGATCGACGGGGAAAGAAATTATGAGTCTCACGTTCTAGTTTCCCATCGAAGGATCGACGGGGGAAGAAAGCGAAGTTGGAATGGGAATACATGTTGTACTGTAGGTGCAATGTGCAATGTGCAATGTGCAAGTGCATGCAACTCGCAACCAAATTGGAAGAGGAAGTGGGTGGGTCAGGGTCGTATGGGTGGGTGGGGCCCAGGAGTATTGTTCGGGAACCCTAAATGACAAAGCCCGCCACGCCAGCGCCATGGTGCATGTACCATCCACGTGGGGGTGTTGGAGGGTGACGATGGATCATGGATGGTGATCCTATTCCTTTCTGTTTGTTACAGTTGTTTGTTTGTTTGTTTGTTATGTTTGGTCTACAAAATTCAAAAGTGGTAGGCGTAAGGGGGGATAAGGATAAGGGGCATAGGGGCATAGGGCCACATATCACATCACAGATTCACACAGCCCCGTGCCAACACATATATTACGTAAAATATTTTGGGTTTTATCAACTTTTGTAGCATAGGACTTGCGTTATTTAGCAGCTAGCCTTTTGGGATTTCCTTTTGGTATTGTAATTGTAGCGTAGATTTAGAATGTAGAAAACCCTTTATTAATCTTCTGTGTTTGCTTCTTGGTTACTTGGTTTGTTACGTGTATGTATTTTCTTGAGAGAGAGAGAGAGAGAGAGAGAGAGAGAGAGAGAGAGAGAGAACATGTTGCTCTCGCCCGCGCGCAAGAAGAGGATGAGGATCCTGTTGGTAATATATATATATATATATTCACAACAGAAACAGCTGTATTACTCCTTGTATTTGATTTATACTAGTGGGGTGGGGCCTCTGCCTCTTCCTCTGCGCAAATATCTTTGGTTATCGTAACGTTATTTTCTTGAAAGGTAAGTTTAGACCCAAATAAAGAAGAAGATATTTAACTGGATAAGCTTGATGACATGACACCATGCCCATTCACTATTCACTTCAGTACTGGGGATTGTTTGGTACACTTTCTGGACCTGGACTGGCTTGTACCAACTTTTTATCCCATATTTGTTTTATTTGGTACTAATTTTAAGTGGGATTACTAGTACTGGTTCCAACAAAGACACCTCCTTAGGTTAGGTGGTGTTAGTGAGGTCTGTGTAGAAAGGGGGGAACAAAAATACTAGCAGAAAGAAGATGTATCTCATCATGCTTCTTCATCAAATTTCTGGGAAATTTGAAAAAGAAAAGAACACATGATGCTGGGTTTTAATAAAGATGAAAGCGTGAAACTTGAGCAATTAAACTGACGGAATTAATTGAAATATATTACTTTTAGGAAGGTTGATTGATTACAGTAGAGTCTAATCCGTGGACCTAAATTCCATGGACAATCAAAATGTAGCTGGATCGCATTATAACATGTGGGGGATTCATTCATTCGAGTGCTTCCTTTATATTGATGAGTTGATGAATCATGATGAGGCCACAGCCTCATCCACCTCCTTTAACAGCAGCTGGGCCTTTTCTTAACGGGCTCAAATAGAGAAAGAGGGAGAGAGAAAGAAGCCCATTCCCCCCATAATATGTTGGCTTTCCAGAAAAAGGGAAATGTTAGTGTTCTCTAATTTTATCCACACACTCATTTTTCAGTTATAAAATGAATTAATTGCTATTTGGAAGTGGGAAGTTCAAAATTTGCTGTGAGTGTTGGCCAAGTGAGTGTGCCCTCTTTCTGCTGTTCTCTTGTCTGTCACCTTCTTCTTTGGAGGGAAAAAAGGGATCCTCTGTCTGTCTGTCTGCCATATCAATGAATCATATAAATAAAGGCAACGTGGGCTCAAATTCAAAGAATATGCTCTCTCTCTCTCTCTCTCTGCATTCTTTCTTCTTTAATTAATTTGGAAGGAAAGAATTTGGAACTTGGAACTTGGAACTTGGAACTTGGAAGCAAGCAGAAGAACCAGACAGACTGACGATCCATGGGCCACCCACACTAGTACTTGTGGGCTACATGCATGACAGATAATCATCATATGCTATGCACTAGTTTCTTTTTTAATACCTGAAACTTTTGTAACAAGCACACTCTCCCAATATAACAAGTCCAATGGCCCATCCTCCCTTTTTTTCTTATTTATAAAAATACTTTATATATATATATATATATAATCATCAGCCTATGACGTTATGGTATTACTTGTTCTTCTGAATCATATGCCATGTAGTCTTAGTGACATTTGCACAACAATTGGATTCTTTTATCTTAGGGAAACCCTATCACTTATTTTTCAACTGAAAAGACTAACTTGCCCTTCTTTATAACCACCCCCAAATAAATTTATTTATTTATGTTGGAAGAGATATTGTATTGAACAAATATCATAAAATATGTATAATGTCAATGGATAATCATAATAGTTTATTTACAACTCAATCGTGACAATAAAAAATAAGAGCAGAATTCTAGTTAAAAAATTCGCATCATGAATACAATCATAGGGTAAAAAAAAGAGTAAAACTACGTAATCTGTACTAAATTTATTTATTTACTTAAAACTCCGAAACTTGTCTTCAATGTATTATTATTTATTTTAACTCTGAGAGAAGTGATTATTTGACGAAAAAAACTGGTTTAAACGAGTAGGCATGCGATTTGAGAGAGGGTTTGAAACTAAAATAAAATGTTCGGCTCCGAACACACGTAGACTGCAAGGAGCAAAGCGCAGCCACGCTTTTCCCGAGCACCGCCCCAGTTTGTTTGTTTTTTTTTCGGACAACAGGAAACGAAATGACTCACCAAGTAGGGCCCACAAATCAGGTGACACGGCCCTAGCTAGCTCCTTCTCCTTGTCACGTGGCAAGACCCGTTCGTCTCCTCTGCTTCAGAGAGAGGAAGGATGAGAGGAGAGAGGAGGATCAGAGACACACAGGACGATGCTTTGCTGCTTGCAATTAAAATCGTCATGCTTGATCCTCCTCGGCCACAGTTGCCAATTTGGCTTCATTCTTTTTTCGTTATAATTATCTAATAACTATGCACAAATAAATATTAAAAAATAAAATAAAATATCACATGGAATGAAGAGAGAGAGAGAGAGTCAATAAACCAAAACCGAAGGAAAGTCCCAAATGCCAAATGCTAAATGCCAAACGCCAAGTCATTGGTTCGTCTTTCTTTCTGCAACAAACCCATATAATCGATTCAGACAACTGCCCTGCCCGCCTATCTCCTCTTCTTTCCTCTCCTCTTAACTCTCAACAGCAACAGCACAAACTTTAATTAGCAGCTTCTTCTTGTTGTTGTTCTTGTCTGAGCTGAGTTTTCTAGCAGCTTCCATCCATGGTGACCGTTAAAGCAGGGACCAGACCGCCATGGGTGGGATTGGGAGCAGCAGTTTGGGTCCAAATAGCAGCAGGCAATGCCTACACTTTTCCACTTTACTCTCACTCGCTGAAATCGGTTCTGGGTTTCAACCAGCAACAGCTGACCATGCTTGGTGTGGCCAATGACATAGGCGAAAATGTTGGTCTCATTCCAGGTATTGCATCCAACAAGCTCCCGCCTTGGTTCATTCTTCTGATTGGTGCTCTCGCTTGCTTCTCTGGTTATGGTGTCCTCTGGCTTGTTGTCAGCCGCACACTTGACCCTCTGCCCTACTGGTTGGTATGTTTTTTCTTTCTCTCTTTCAATCCTTTTGCTCATCTGATTGCTTGGAAATATGGCTTAATGGGTTCTTTTGTTCAGTGATTATCATGTACGATTTAGTGATGTTTGAATTTGACTTTGATAGAGCGACTTTTGCTTCCAGATTGTTTTCGTTTTGAGACACTACTAGGAATTTCCTCTTCTCTGAAAAATGAAAAACAGTTATCAAGTTCACCACCCAGAGTGGAATATTCTTGTTACAAATTACAATTCAAGGGTTATCCACTTGTGATATGTTAAATTGGAACTAGTTCCAAAGATTATTAGCTTTCTTTATGGGATTGATGATGTTATTATTAACATGCTTTCCTGTTAAACTGTTAATTCTTTCTAAAACTGTTGAACGAATTGGTTGATAAAAATTGGTGTGCTTGCATTTGATCTGACCTTGCGGGGTTGCTTGGTTAATGCCATTCCATTAAAGAAACTCAGATTGATTGGTAAATTGCAAGCACCTTTCTTTTGGCCATTCTTTTTTGTCTTTTTTTGGGAGATTTGATTATCCAATTAAATGATTGTGGATCGATATGGTTTATCTGCAATTACAGAAAGTTTCTAAGAATTAAGAATTAAGATTATAAATTCTAACTTGAATTTTCTTTGGTAATGCAGTTATGGATTGCCCTTTGTGTTGCCACTAATAGTAATGCTTGGTTTACCACGGCTGTGCTTGTAACCAATATGAGAAACTTCCCTCTTAGTCGTGGCATGGTTGCTGGTATTCTAAAAGGTTATGGGGGTCTCAGCGCAGCTGTATTTACAGAAATTTACAGCGTTCTGCTTCGTAATTCATCTTCTAAGCTTCTACTCTTCCTTGTACTTGGGATTCCAATTCTATGTTTCATCATGATGTATTTAGTTAGGCCTTGTACTCCAGCTTCTAGTGAAGACCCTGCAGAGCGTGGCCACTTTCTTTTCATCCAAGTTGCAAGCGTTGTGCTTGGGTTATATGTTCTCACAACTACGGTATTGGATGATGTCCTTACCTTAAGTGCTACAGTTACCAACACTTTTGTTGTCATAATGGTTCTGCTTCTCATGGCCCCACTTGCAATTCCTGTAAAAATGACATTGTATCCCACCAGAGCCAGCAAATCAGGGACGCTTGGTCAAACAGTTGGGTCTTCTGATAGTTTGAACCATGCGGAAGGCTTGGATAATGGAGTAGGCAATGCAGACAAAACAGAACCACTGCTGAAACCATCTCCATCAACAACAAGCCTGGCAAGTGAAGGTGATGATTCATCTGATGTAGCTATGCTTCTTGCAGAGGGTGAGGGGGCAGTGAAGAGAAAGAGAAGGCCCAAAAGAGGGGAGGATTTCAAGTTTAGTGAAGCTGTGGTCAAGGCTGACTTCTGGCTCCTATTCGTGGTTTATTTTGTAGGGGTTGGTTCTGGGGTAACTGTTCTCAATAATCTAGCCCAAATAGGGATTGCACAAGGATTTCGTGATACCACAATCTTGCTGTCTCTCTTCAGCTTTGGCAATTTTGTGGGACGTCTTGGTGGAGGAGTTGTTTCTGAACATTTTGTCAGGTCAGTAAACATTTATCCCTTATTGCTAATCTTCAGGTAAGTGTGTGTTAGCACATCATTCTTGGTCCAAACCAATTATCAACAGTAAACTAAGGGATAAGAGAAGTACTGTTTTTGAAATGTTTGTGATTTGAGTAATTTGATATTTGCGAGACCCTCAAGAATATGAAACAGACCGGCAATGAGGCAAACTCAGTTATTAATGCAGTCAATGTAGTCAGCTATTAATTCAGAACTCTCAATTCAACCTTATAATTTGTCCCCAAAAAGAGACAGTTGAACTTTTCTTTTAGATAGAACTTCTATGGATATATAGTGAAGTTCAAAATAATAAAGCAGACTCTGCTAATTGTCCTCTCCGTGAAATTAGCTATGCTAAATGAATATGCTTGAAGTTTTATGTTGTTCCAACATCCAAATGGAGGTCCTTTTGTTTTAGAGAAACTTCTCTTTGCAGGTCAAAAACAATCCCTCGGACAGTTTGGATGACATGCAGTCAAATTATAATGATCGGTACATATCTGCTGTTTGCTTCTGCCATTAGTGGAACCCTTTATGCTGCAACTGCATTACTTGGAATCTGCTATGGAGTCCAATTTTCTATCATGATCCCAACAGTCTCGGAACTCTTTGGATTGAGGCATTTTGGCATATTCTACAATTTCATGTCATTAGGGAATCCTCTAGGCGCATTTCTTTTTTCAGGTCTCCTAGCAGGGTACGTATATGATAATGAAGCAGCGAAGCAGCACGGGAGTAATATCTATGGGACAAATGTCTCCTGCTTGGGTCCAAATTGCTTTAGGCTGACCTTCCTTGTTCTGGCAGCTGTCTGTGGCGTGGGTACCATCTTGAGCATTATTCTGTCTATAAGGATAAAGCCTGTTTACCAAATGCTTTATGCTGGGGGTTCCTTCAGGGTGCCGCAAAGTACAAACCATTAAGAACAATCTGTGGTGAGTGGAAGTTCAACTGTCCAAGGAGCCATCCTACATACTCCTTGAAGGTCTTGCGCATATTGGTAGAACTGTTGGAGATCTCGAAACTCCTATCAATGGAGTCCATGTTTGGGAACCAATAGGATCAACGCATGCCAAGGCTCTAGCTTATTTGTACTTCTGTTGGTTACAATACTAATATGCAATATTTCAGGTGCTGTATACAAAGCTGCAGTTTGAGACTTAATATAGCTCTTGAGTGCCTCCTATGAACTACATGGTAAGTACTGAGCAGTAAATTAAATAAGAAAGTTGTGGCATTTACTTCAACATCAAATGCATCAAGAGTCGATGTTGTGGCCTTCTCAGTGAAGTTATCATATAATTACCAACAACACTCTGCCCTCCGGCATCAGTGAAGACTACGATACCTTTAAGGGGTTCCTTTGGCATCATGAGGACATGTATGATGTCTCTCAGGGATGAATTACGAAATTCAGTTATAGGTTTCAATAATTGTTTGGATTGAATGAATTTAGCTGCTTGGTTGGAAGTGGATGATGGATAGATATGACAGTTAAATATGTTGTAGTGTTTAATATTTTGTTGGGTGGCAATTATTCTCCATGTGTTGTTGAAGTCGACTAGTTAATGGAAAAGTGTAAATCTCATCGATGCAAAACAAGAGTCTGTCTGAATCATGGAAGTTTGCTGTAAAGCTAGTCCCGATTGCAATCAAATGCCATCAAGTTCACTGATTGATAGATGATAGGAACTCAACCCAGAATTTGCCCCAATGAAGGCATACATACATGGCTGAAGTGAAGAAATTACAAATAAACATTGGACAAATCAACCAGTAAATATATTTAGGGCTTTCTTTCCCATCTGAAGACAAATGAGAGTACCTCATACTGAGGAAACAATCCACAAACTTCAAGGAACACACCGAAAAAGGGTCAAGTCCAGGCCACTCTGTCTGAACATGTCTTCTTTTTTCCTTTTTCACATGAACAAAAATTGTTACAACTACTAGGAGTGCAGTGAGAAACTATCAAGTGGGTTTCATATCCTGAAACAGTGCAGTCCAAAGTGGATGATCATCGTAATCAATGTCGTCAACCCTCTCCTTCTCATATGGAGTGCAAAAATTTGGGCTCACAACAAGTCTTCCATCCAGAGGACCAGACAGCCTTGGACTTTTGTTTGAGACCATGAACCTCTCATGTGTTCTTCCCTCCAAAGGCCCAGACAACTTGGGGCTCCTAGTAGTTTCAACCAACAGCCTCTCTGGTGCCCTTCCATTCACATCCAAAGGACCTGTAAGTCTTGGGCTTCTATTTGTATACATCAACCTCTCATGAACCTTCCCATCCAACGGCCCAGATAGCTTCAAGGTCCCATTATTATTATTTTTGGCCATCAATCTCTCTTGGACTCTCCCATCCAAAGGTCCAGAAAGCGCTAAGCTTCTAGTTTTGAACATTACTGGCTTCTCTTCCTTCACCTCCCCATTGACAGTGGCCTTGTGTTTCCTCAAGAAAGCTCCTCTCCAATGGTCTTGATACCTAGCTGCCCCCTCACCCGCATCCTTAAGAGACAGGTCCTCGTGAAAAACCCACTTGTTAAAGTACTTGCTGAAGCACTTCTTGGTTCTGATAAGCGCCCAGCTTAGCCTTGAAAGCGACCTTGGGTGGCCTCCTAATCCACTCCTCTCCTTCTTGGCAAGCTTGAGTATCTCTAGCCTGTGTTTGGCCACAGAAATCCCCATGCTCTGCAGAAACTCATGGTCGAAGTAACTCACGTCCTCGAATTGCAGCTCGTTGCGAGAGAAGGCGAGGCCATACTCGTATATAAGCGATGGGTCAAGGCCAGTTTTTGACAGCCATGAGAACCAGTCCATCATATAAAAGTGATGTTATATTATGTGATGCAAAATTTATATATGTGAGGTGGGGTTGTGGTTTGGAGACATACATATACTACTATAAGAAGAAGGGAGGAAGGAGATGATAAGGGAAGTGAAAACGGATAGCCCCATGTGGTGGGTAAGTTGCTATTCATTTTGGAAGTTAATGGGGGCCTCCTCCCTCCCTCCCTCCCTCCCTCTAATTTCTCTCTGTGGAAAATTTGGATGGTTGTTGGAGACTGATTGTGACATTAGCAATATCCTGGAAGCTGGAGCATCAACACTTGAAACGACCTCGTGACCTAAAGATCCCAAATGAGTTTCTTTCACTGAACAGGTTAAAAGTTTGAGTTAAGAGACAAAGCTTACGCAGCAAAGAGTAAATGTTGCCCAAATGCAACAGAAGAGAAGAGAGTTTGAGTGTGAGTGTGACAGTGGGCAGGTAAATACTAAGTGATTGGTAATAAATTAGGGACCCAAAATTAAGGGAGCAGTTAGCATATTAAATTCGATAACCTACTGCCCCTTTATGAAACCATTAAGACCAAAGTTCAAAGCACCAGATTTCAGGGGCCCCTATCACTTTTAGCCTCACTGTTTAGTATTTTACCTGCTCACTTACTCGTGATCTTGTGTCTGGTCACCCAAACTCGTAAAAGAGATATGACTTCACTTAACAACCTACTACAAAATATACAGTATTCTTTTAAGATCATTTAGTTTTGTCAACCCCACCCAAGAACAGATACTACTTTTCTTCATCTCCGGCCGGGATTGCGCCGATCAGAAAAAACCCTACCCTTAGTTTGATCTACGCAGAGAGGGAAAGTTCAGAGTGTAGAATCGAAGCAAAAACCAGGGAATTAGTATAGGAAAGCGTATAGCCGCGCGGCTATACTCGTTATATATTAAAAATGTATTCCAAGCGTATAGCCTATACAGTTAAATATTAAAATGTATACAACGCCCGGCTATACTCCTTAAATATTAAAATATATTTAAACGGTATAGCGGTATAGCTGGCCGCTATACTATGAAAATATTAAGATATACTTAAAAGAAATGCTAAAGCATATTCAAAAGGTATAGCTGGCGGTTATACTATTTAAACATTAAAATATACTTAAAAAGTATAGCCGCGCGGCTATACGGTTTAAATATTAAAATATATCTTCAAATATATTCATCCTTTTACACACAAGGCTTGAGTCGCATTTTCAAACAAAGTGTCAAGACACCCAAGAGAATATTTATGGAAGAAATAAAAGGGAGATACAATCAAAACTTTGATTACTAATCTAAGAGCATGTCCAGCGCAGGACCCAAACTGGGGGAAAGGGCCCCCTGGCGAGCCTGAGATGGCTCCAGCGCAAGAGAAGCAGCCTGGTTTTGTGGTGGGTCCCATTAGCCCGAGCAAGCCCAAGGGCAACTTCTGCCTGGGCTGAAGCCCGAGTTTTGTGACGTCAGCGCTGGCATCACGCTGACGTCAGCGCACAGTAAAACATTTTTTTTTTTTTTTTGCCAAAAAAATTCGAAAAAAAAATTCAAAAAAATTCTGAAAAATTCTGAATTTTTTTTTAAATACCAAAAAATTCTGTATTTTTTCCCTATAAATACCTAACCATTTTATTCACTTTCTACACCAAATCTCTCATAAAAACTTCATCTCCTTCCAATATTTTTTCACATCAATAAATTCATCAACATCTAAAATCAAAAGGAAAAAAAAAAAAAAAAAAAAAAAAAAAAAAAAAAAAAAAAAAATTTTATTCAATTTAATGTCTTTTTATATATATATATATATTTCTTGCATTTCCAATTTCTTTTTTTTAATAGATTAGTCAAGGCAAAACCAAAAATGTTATTCGAAAAATTTATCCAAAAATTTTATTTGAAAATTTTATTCGAAAAATGTTATCTTAAATTTTAAATGAAAATTTTATAATAAATAGTGACACGTGACAACCAAAAATATAATCTAAAAAGCTTATCAAAATTAATAGTTTAAAGTATAAACAAATAGGAAATAAAGTACAATGAATAGTAATTGCCTTAGACTTGCCCTAGACTTTGCCCTCATGGGTGGAACCACAAATGCAAAGGCTGACACTATTCACGTGAATAGTGGCAACCCTTGCTTGCCCTTGCCTTAGACTTAGCCCTTGTGGGTGGAGATGCTCTAAGCAGCAAGAGGAAACTTCTAGGTCAGCCTCAGCTCCATTTCTTGAAGAAGAGCTCTCTTCCGCAGAACACTTATTACATGGTTGGTCTCGGCATTCTCAACAACATCAGTGACAATGGCAGCTGCATGACCAAGTGGCTCCTTATCAGCCCTCTTTAACAAGAAGGCCTGCACACCACAACCAGATGAGACAATATGACAAACTAGAGAAAGGTTTATCTATAAACTGGTCATTGGAAGAGAATATATAGGAACTAGCGCAAGTAAAGCCTAAATTTCATGAAACTAATCAACATCCTTTTGTCTAGAGAGAGAGAGAGAGAGAGAGAGAGAGACCTGGCCATGATGGGATATAGCCAATGTATTATGTACATGGTTGCTGAAGCCAAGGCTCCCCATCAACCTGAACAGGGAATGCAGCAAAGAGCTGTATCTTAATTGACTGCCCCTGTGCCAGCCTTGGAGTCCAGACAAATTTTTTTTTTCTTTCCTTTTTTTCTTACAGAAGAAATCCAATTAACAGTAACAGTATGTGGAATACGTGAGAAAAATATGCTATTACTGAAGTTGTAAGTTTCTCGCAACTTTCGTAACTAATACATTCATCAACAATACTTTATCAAACATGTTACATATGAATGATTCCAAAGTGCAATCTCAATCACAAATTAGAAAAAAGGCTTACATTACATAATGGGCTTTCCAAGTACATAAACTAAAATTTGTCAGTATTTTCAGAATTCACCGTAAACGTAAATCTTAATAACCTAGAAAATCTTAATGGTCGGTTCCAGTATATTCTTATGACTTCCTTAATAAGTAGAAATATATTAGGAAAATGATATCCTTGTTCTACTTTCAAAGATTTAAGGAATGTTGTTAAACTAAGAAACCTAGTTGAGTAAGAAATATCAAAACTGTAGAGTTACCTAAACCTTAATTGTTTAGGAAATTTACATAATATCCTAAAACTTAAACCACTAAGAAAATGAAAAAGGAAATAAAATCCAACACCTTGCCAAAAATCATATTCCTTGAGTTTGTTAAAGCAACCCAAAAATCTTAATGATACACCTTATTACTACATTTTCGGGACATAATTAATGGTTGAGTGCGAACCTTGTTTTTTTCCGTAAGTTCTTGCTAGTTCTCTGACGCTTTGTTTTCTTTAATTTTCTCTATTATACTCAGACTCCTATCTTGTCATACACGTAAAATCCAGGAATAATTGTAACCATCTGATCGGCCCAAGTATGAAAGTTCCATTGAAAACAAGCAAATAGACCCAAATCACATGACAACCACTAACTAACTTTTGAAAAAACCGTTACAAGCAGATTCAGTCAAAGCCAGGAGGCACCGCCTTTCCCGCTCCAAAACCGTACCCGTTCACTCAATCAATTCAATTCCGTACCATCCTCTCTCCCTCTCACTCTCACTCTCTCCTCATTATAACCTCCTCAGCTACCCTCTGAGACGAAGAAGAAGAATCTCTCGCACCAATTAATATAATTCCTTCTGTGTGTAACATTGTTAGAACTTAGAATTAACTAGCAGGATTACAGCAGAACCCTAGCCATAGAATCATAGTATGTTTTCTTGGGGGAAATCCTCACGGTCTATACACCGGGTTGTTTTTGATGTTCAACGCCTCAGCTCTCGCCCGTTGTTCAACAAATCACAACCTTCCTTTGTCTCATCATCACCATCTTCTTCTTCTCCTTCTTCTTCCTCTTCTTCTTCCTCTTCACTCAGCTCATCAGTAGGTAGGTTTGGCTATGATGGCAACTACAACGGCAGATCAGGCTCCAGTGAAGATACTTTTAATTTCTTCCTGAGATCGGTTTCTTCAGGGGTTCTGATTCTTGGGACCAGTATAGGCTTTTCTTATTGGTCTTCTTCTTATCTGGATCCGAACTCCTTTGTGTCTTTTGCTGATAATTGTCCGAAAGAGGCGACGGCATGGGCAATCGGGGATGACCAAAATAAAGCTCAGTTTTCCCTCTTTGGAGGTACCTTGTTTGTTTCATTGTTTTCTTCAACTTAACTTGATCTATAGATCGTATTTTCCCTCATGTTTCTGTTCTGTTTAATACCATACTATTCAAGTTTCATGTCTTGCACATCCCATACATGTAGAAGATATTAGGTTAATCTGTGTATGCATGATGAAGTAATTAATGGTACATGTATGGAGAAGGTATTTACCCTAATAGATCTTGTCTCAGATTCATATAGAAGAAGAGTTTTCTTCATGTACGAAAAACGGATCAGAGATCAAAGTCCTCCTGAGAAGGTATATATGCAGCATGCACTCCTCACAAAATTGATTTATTACAAAGTTATATGTTTGTGGTGTCAGATTTGTACTAGATAGATAGTTTGTTGGGCAACACTACATGTTTGTGTTGTGGTTTTCAGGTATTTGAGTACTTTGCATCGGTTAAAAACCCAGCAGGAGAGGCGTTTATGACTCCGGCAGACTTGATGAGAGCAGTTGTTCCTGTATTTCCTCCCTCTGAATCAACCCGTGTCAGAGAGGGCTCTTTGAGAGGGGAGAAGGTTCCTGGCCAGTTGCAATGTGCTCCTTCCAAATTCTTTATGCTTTTCGACACGGACGGTGACGGCCTCATTTCTTTTCCCGAGTGAGTAGTGCGCTAATATACTCAATTACTATAATTGAAACTTTTTGTTATGATCTAAAAACATCATACTCGTTTCATTCTTAATGTGATCAGGTTCATCTTCTTCGTCACCCTCCTCAGCATCCCCGAGGCAAGCTTTACGGTGGCATTTAAAATGTTTGATCTTGACAACAGCGGGTGTGTTTACATTCTTTATCGTCTTCTCTGGTCAAGTTATAAGTAAAAATATTTTCGTGTGTAGCTGATTCTGATAGAAAGCTAACTTGTTACGGGTAATATTAACAGAGACATTGATAGAGGTGAGTTTAATAAAGTCATGGCTTTGATGAGATCTCAAAGCAAACAAAACAAGGATGGCCACAGGCTCAAAGTTTCTGTAGAAGACGGAGGCCTACTTGAGCACTTCTTTGGCAAAGATGGCAAAAGAAGTCTCAAACATGAAACATTTGTTAAGTTTTTCAGGGATTTACACGATGAAGTATGTAGTCTTTTGTTTTGTTTTGTTTTTTTTATAAAGGGCCTTGTCATTTTATCATACTTCATTTTTTTCCTCTGGCAGTCAGCTGATCTTTTCTTGTTTGTTTTTCTTCTATCTATTTCTGAATTTGAAAGATATTGCGCTTGGAGTTTTCGCATTACGACTACAAAGAACAAGGAACCATATCAGCTAAAGATTTCGCATTGTCCTTGGTTGCATCTGCTGATATCAGTGATACAAACAAGTTGCTCGATCGGGTTGACGAATTGGACAACGATACACGTCTCAAAGACATAAAAATCACATATAAGGAATTTAAAGATTTCGCAGAGCTTCGAAAGAATTTGCAGTCCTTCTCTCTTGCCATTTTCAGTTACGGAGAAGTGAATGGGGTGTTGACGAAAAAAGATCTCCAGAGGGCCGCTTCCCAAGTACATAACATACACACCTCTTATTTCTAGGTAGCTTCTTTGATCTATTATTATTATGATGATGATTAACTTCTACTTATACAGGTATGCGGCATCTCTGTTCCTAACAATGTGATTGACATAATATTCCATGTGTTTGATGCAAATGGCGATGGTGATTTGAGTGCAAATGAGTTCGTAAGAGTTTTACAACGACGGGGAGGTGAAGTCTCACAGACAGGCTTCAGGGGACTTCTATCTTGCTGGTTAAACTGTGCCACTAAAGCCTTTGGTCAGCAAAGCTGCACCTTTAGTTTCTAAGATTATACCTGAATTACCCTTCAACTTACATAAGCAATGTAAATGCCTCTAATCTTGCGTTGGAGTTGAAAGGATGCTGTTAGAATCTGGCTGGTTTGTGATTGAGGGGATAACATATCACAGCAGACTGGTCATACCAAAATTTTGTATCCCCATATTGACCATTACAACTTCAAAGTTCAAACTAATATAAGTGCACATCATCTTTGTTAATTTGTGTACAAATATTTTCTGTTAATAATATATATATATATATATATACATATATAGTAGTCTCATAGTATAGTTTTTAATAAACGTAACTCCATACACTAATGTTTTCCTAGTTGAGTTTTGTGGGTTCTGGCTGCGTGAATTTTCCAAGACAGAGTTGTGGTTGAGAGCTTGATTATGCAGATGCTTAACATACTTTAGATGCAAATTAGGATCAAGGCACCCAATCTGCCAAAGAAAGCACTCCTTCAATGACATTGCTTGGGGATGAACTTTTTAATAAGCATTAACAAGTTTGAGGAGGTCACCATAAGAGAGGCAATCCTTAATCCTATATGAATACATGTATTCAAACTTTGTTCTTATTTAGTAGACAGTAGAGTAGATTTCAACACAAAAAATGCTAATATGTATCCCAAAATTGTGCTGATTTTGCCCAACTAACAGGCATATCATCACAGATAATTAGCATTATCATAAACAAGATAACAATGTCACCAGCATACCATTGAAAGACATTTGATTGAATAAGCACATCCAGTGATGAAATATGACACTACTACTACTGCTACTTGAAGCCGTAACATTTATGGTCTTCGTTGTCTATTTACACACAAAACTTAGAAATGCATATCATATGCATGTCAATTTCATCCAGTGATGAAATAAGACATTACATACAAAAGCACATACATAAATGCGGTGGAAGCAGACCATACCAATCAAGAGTTAAGGCTCCAAGTCATCCAAAAATTCTCTCCGAGAATCTAATAAGCAGCACTGCTAATCTATCATAGCAAGTAAGAGCGACTACAAGCGCAATCAAAGAATTCATCTTCTCAGGCTTACCCGACTCAGGTGGGCGGCAAGTACATCCCTCATCCTCTCACCACTCTCATCCACCTGTCCATGGAAAACAGGAAGCTCCTCCTCCCTTAAGCTCTTGATATTGTCATCTGGCATGGGCTCGCTACACTTGATGAGAAAATTATGCAGCAGACACCCTGTAACAATAACGAATGGCAGAAACTCGACACACTCTTCCTTCCACTGCCTAGACAGAAGCTGCCACCGAGCCCGAACCCTCCCAAATGCGGTGTCAACCAACCCCATTGCGCGACTATGTACCGAATTAAACGCCTTCTCCAATGAACCAAAGCTATCCGCCTCATCCGACCTTATATAAGGTGTTAAAAGCCATGGTAAAAGAGGGAAGCAAGAGTCCCCCAATATGTATTGAGGAATGGCCTTGCCATTACCAAGCTCATAAACAGGACCATTCAGCAAGTCCCGAGATTCCTCTACACCCAAATAAAGTTTAGTCTGACGGAAAATGGATTCGAGTTTCATGGCGCTGGGCCATCCGGCCGAGACATCAAGGAACCTCCCCTCAGAGTCCACCAATGCCTGAACCAACAAAGACCCATTTGGCCCCAACACTTCACCACCAACCCCAAACCTCCCAAACCCCAAAACCCCACAACAATTCGGCAGCGAAATCCACCCGAAACCCCCCACAATCCGGGCTATATCAGACCGGAACTCGAACAAGTTACCTAATTTATCGCTCACCGCCTTACAGACGGCGAAAAAGGATCGGCAGGCCTCCACCGAGTCGAGCCCGAAGCGCCTTCCCACCGCCTTGTAGCTCGCGCCGTGGGCTAAACGGTAAATTGCAGCAGCGAGAACGAAATTGGGTGGAATTGAAGGGATTGTGGAGTTGAGAAATGGGGAGAGGAGAGAGAGGAGGATGGAGAATGAGTGTTCGGACATGCGGAAGGTGTGGGACCACCGTGAGTCGAAGTTTCTGCTGGCGGAGGTGGCGGAGAGGAAGCGGCTGAACCAGCATTCTAGTGGTGGTGGTGGCGGCCGTAGTGGTGGTTGCGGTGGTGGGTTCGGGAAGCAGAGGAGGGTGGAGAGTGAGGTGGAGGTGGAGGAGAGAAGGGTTTCTAGGGTTAGGGTTTGGGAGGGCAGAAGGAGAAGGTCATTTTGAGAGAGGAAGGAGTGGGCCAGTGAGGTGGCGGTGGCTACGAGACTTACGAGGTGGTGTTGACTGAGGGGCTTCTTGTTGTGTCGTTTCTTGTTTTTGGCCTTGCCTTTGGTGGTGCTCTTAGCTGCTCTGCCGCCACCGCCGCCGGCAGCCATTTCTGGTGGACTTTGAAGTTTGATTACTACGAGTGAGAGATGTTGACACGCAGAGTTTGGGAAGCATATAACTCTGTAAGTGCAGAGCAGATCACTATGATGTTTTTCTTTTCTTCTTTCCTCCTGGCCCTTCCTAAAAGGCAAGCATTTTGCCAACGGCCACTTGTTAGTGCTTATTGCTATTCTCCACCCCTGAGTATTATAATTCAGAAAAACTCCCATTTAAAACTGAAAGCATATAATACACCAATATACCCTCTCCACCTGTCCATTTAGATACAAGAATTAGAGACCAACTTTTTCTTTCCCTTTTTTCTCTTCCTTCTTCTTAATATTTCATTTTCCCCCTTATCCAAAATGTCCCTATCTAATATTTGTAGCTTTATTTCTTTATATACTGTCCGGTCCAACACGAAATCAAGGTGGAAAGTTTAAGCCTTGATGAACAAGAAATTTTCTATATTATATACCCCGTTTCCGTCTTCTTCGAAAGCCCCACGTTGTCCTAAGCCCTCTCTGTGTTGCTTATGGCGAAGCTAAAGATTGCAGGGACATGGGCGGGTGTGCTGGAGGTTGAATTAGAGGATTGGACCGTACCCATGTTGAGAGAAGAGGTTGCAAAGCGATCAAACTGTGAGAGCAACTCAATCAATTTGATATGCGCAGGAAGAGTTTTGAAAGACGGCGATGGAAACGAGAAGTTGGCCCAATTGGGTATCAAGAACAACGCCAAGATTCTTGCTAGTCGAGTATGTGCTGAAGAGGGCAAGTCTTTGAAGGAGGAGTTGCTAGCTGAAGACGAACGCTCTCGCAGACTGGCTCGAGTCAAGTGAGTCTTTCACTTTATTTCTTTTTGGCTTTTGCAGTTCGTTTTAATTTCTCGATCATAGGTTTGTTCAATTTTTATAAAAGCACAGACCTTTGACGAAGAACGTGCTTGTATTAGTTAATTTGATAATAGAATCCGTTCATCGTGAATCGGTTTTTATATATTTGTGGTTTTCTGTTTGGCTATTGGTTCTTCCGAACCATCTATTTCGTCTATTTTGTTTCGGATTGATGGAGCAAATTCTGTTTGAATTTAATTCGTCTTGTTATTTTTTATGCGAAAACTGAACTGAAATATCAGTGAACTTCTGAAGATTGTTTCCGTCTTGGTGTTTTCATCTTGTCTTTCTTTGGTATTTGAGGATTCTGTCAAAAAGAAAATTTGAATCTCCGTTTTGTGAGTTTATGGTGTTTGGTAGTCAAAAAGGTATAAATTTTATCCAAAATAAGCCTTCTTCTTCTTCTGCTTCTTCCTATCCAAGCTAATAAGTCCCTCGCAAATACCAGCAACTGTAACCCTTATGCTTTCAGGTCATGCGCTTCCATATTTACCCAATTAAAGATTGGATGCACCAATATTATAGAGTTTGTAAACAGTGCCTTAACTGGGGATATATAGGCTGCTTTATTCTTGAGAATGCAGGTTTGGACCTAGTAAAATAGTGAATAGTTTTGAGCTTTGATTGAGCTAGAGGTAGTTAAATACCTTCCGATAAGGAAGTTATTGACTTAGTGATCCTCTATCATCTGGCACTGATAATGGTCTCCGATTGTTATATCAGCGAGGCATAGCACATTTTGGCCTATTTTATTGATTTGTTTATGTCTATGTTCCACTTTTAACTTGGTTATGTACCTATTACCTTAATAGGGCAGCTGCCACTGCATTGGCCAAGAGACATGCAGATGGTTCATTGCCGATTGAAGACTTCAATATAGTACTTGAAGATCAAAGTGGAAAGAAAGTACAGTTGGGATCTGAGACTGATCAGCGGTATGATAGATAATTTGGTTTCAAGATTTGATCCAAGCACTTACTTCCTTTTGTGAGACGTTTAATGTACAGTCACATTTTAATTTTAAAGATTTGAACTGTTGTTTGTCAGGGCAATCATGATGGGCCTGATGCTTCATACAAATGGAAAACAACTAATTAAAAGACAAAATTATAAAGATGCATTAGAAGTGCTTGCCATGGGAGAGGTCAGTTCCTAGTGCCTGTTGCAATTGATAATTTAATATATGATCTGTAACCCGGGAATAAAAGATATCTTTTGATTTGATGGCCTAATATCTCATGTTATATGGCTTATGCCATGGAATTGCTAGTTATATCAGTTTGGGACATGTTTCTGTAGTAAACAAATTATTATATATTGAAGTATGCAGCCAGAAAAGATTCTGTGACTAGGAGTGTTGCTTAATCCACGTGTGGTTATTTCATTATTGTAGGAGGCTTTCTCTCTTTCTGACCCGAAGGTTATAGAGGTGAGTCAGCCGTATTGAAGATTTATCATTATCACTTTGAGCCATATTGTTGTCAAGTTCCATGCGGCCTCCATGTAACTTTGACCATTAAAATATATCAAGATTCATTTCTCTTTCTTAGATATACTTCAATATCATTGTATAATATCCTTTTCTGTTTGACCGCATACTTGCTTTCAGCTTGTTGACAATCCTCCAATACTGCAAATCGATATGGTTTGGTGCTATTTCATGCTCCGAGACATCAGCTGGCTCTCAGTGGCAGGAGTTCGCCTTGTGAAAGCCAGAGAAGGAATTGAACGAGCTCATGGAAAGGACTCTTCTCGTGTCAGACTCCTTCAGGCAGGCCGCTTCCCAGAGCTTGCACTGTGAGTACTTTTACTGCTAGGCATGTTTGATCTGAATGTTCCTCGGAACGACTCAGGATAATTTTGGTCTAATCACTTTTTCGTTTTCTAATCATAGATATTTGAGACTGGAGCTGCTGGAAGGGGTGGTGGCGTATCACAGTGGTCAGTTTGAGAAATCAAGGAAGGTGCTAGCTTCTGCACAAGGAAAATTCACCCAGGTTAGTTGAATTACAAGGAAGGTGCCAAACATATTATGCACACAAGGATTAGCTTTGCCTGGCTAGGTTGTTTTGGAATTCTGTATGCATAAGTTGCACTGAAACTTTGCAGTCAATTATTTCTGAACTGCCACACCATGTTTGAAATTACATCTGCAAAGTGCTCTAATTCAAAAAAGAAAAGATATTATTTAAATCTCCACAGAATTGAAGTGTGGTATGCTGATATTCCTGATCTCTCACTTTTCTGGGTGATGCCAGTAGTTTTCAACAAGATCCAAGTAACCTACCATCTCTACATCTATGTTGCAACTGCACCTGAGTACATTTTTGCTTGTTGATACCAGCTACAGGTGCCAGATGAAGCCCTATCACTTGTTATGAGCATGGGGTTTAGAGAACGAGATGCAAAAAGGGCATTGCGGATTAGCAATCAAGATGTTTCTAGTGCTGTTGATTTTCTTGTTGAGCAGAAGGCTAAGAGAGCCCAAAAGCGGGAAGAAGATATTCGGCGACGAGATGAAATTATGTGGGTGCCTTTCTAAGATCGATTTTTCTCTGAGTTTCTGTCCGTACTGTTACTTAAACAAACAAATTGGCAGGGAGCAAAAGAAGTATGGGACAACGCCTTTGAAGAAAGCTGTGGATCTTCAGAAATTGAATCAATTGGTCTCCATTGGGTAAGCAAGCCAAGACAAGTTGTTCATCATTCTTTAATTTGAAGGGCGTGCTTGTTTCAAAATGATGGTTCAATGGCAGTCTGCCCAAGATAATTTATGTCCATAAACATGAGCCCCTGTCATTGGTCATTCTATGAGTTGCTTGACTTTGCAGGTTTGACAAGGAGCTTGCTGCTGAAGCGCTTAGAAGAAATGAGAATGACGCTGAGAAGGCATTGGATGATTTGACAAATCCAGAAACTAATTCCTCCATACAGGTCACCTGCGTATTTCTATATAATTATTATTTTAATTTAATTAGACATTTTCAACATTACTAACTTTGTCTGACCTGTAGGTATATATTGAGTCGAGGAAAAGGAAACGACAGAGCCAAGCAGTTAATACTTCAGTTGAAGCGCTTGTAGGCATGGGCTTCGAAAGATCAAGAGGTACTTGTCAAAGGCCTGTTAGCGGAACCCCATGTTTTTAGCATGTTTTACAGAGATTCCGTAGACACCCCGCTATCTCTCTGAGATACTGACTTTACCTGTTATTATTTAGAGCTAATATTGGCCAAATCACTCTCACAATTTCATTTTTATCAAAGTTTGTCCTAAACTGTTATCATCGTCAGAAAGTAATGTCCAATTCCTTACTATTCCACGAGGTTGAGAAGTAGCTAGGCTCTGATGTTAATCTTGGTATGCAGTGGTTGAAGCTTTTCAAGCTGCTGGGGGGACAATGGAGCAAGTATTGCATCAGTTGCTCTCAGAAAATGCAGGAAACCCCACAAATGCTGCTAGCAACAATATCCCGACTGGTTCTGCTACTGACATTGCAAATTCTCTTGTTTCAATGCTGAATAATAACGTTGATGAAAATGGTGAAGTTGGAGGTCCTTCAGCTGCTGGTGAAGTAGGAGAGCGTGATGCTGAGATGGAAGATGAACTTGCTGGAGAACTAGCAGAAGGAGACGCTTTATCAGACTATGACCTTGAAGTTACCAAAGAAGGTGAAGCCATAAACGAGTATTTGGCTCTGCTGGACTCGGCAGGCAAATAGTGAGAGAGCATCATCTTCCCAATGAGAAGAGCACAACTCTGATAATAAGCTAGGGAGATTCTATGTAAATTATATATAATGAATGGTATATATGAAAACAGTGTAGGCGTTACCATTGGCATTCCAGATGATTAATGCTGCTATATATCTGTCGTTTATCCCAACGACATCTAACACCGTTTTTTTCTTTTTCTTTTTCCCATTAATATCAATGACATGTCGTTTGAGTAGCCCAATCATCCTCAATGCAAATAGCTAGTTTTTATCTAACCATTTCTTAGAGTAAACTACGCATAATAATAAGAATTTGATTTCAGTTTTCAAATGTAAGATTGTACAAAATTGAAAGTTATCTTGAAATTGTAACCAAAAAAAATATTTTGAAATCGATTAAGTACCAAATTAGTATAACTAATAAAGCATTTTGTTGTGTTATGTCAATTCTAACTTGTTTTTTGACAACTTTTTTATTTGAGATGGCTTGCCAGCTGTGACATTAACATGTCCTTGCGTTGTAAGTTCTTTTCCATCTCTGATGTCGGAAAGCTGCTTATTTGGGGTAAAAGTGAGTTTCAGAATTGGTTTGCTTTCTAGGGCAAAAGGCATGTGTACGAATTTGAAAGGGCCAAATAATACACTGAACTTTAGGGTAAATAAATTTCAAGGCTTGTGGAATATATTTAATGTTTTTTATTTGGTCCCAACAGCTTCAACTTCTTCGAAATCCTGCAGAGTAAACGGAGAATAAAAAAACATCCTTTCTCCTAAAGGGGCAACAACGTTACAGAAGAACTGGGATTATGTTTCTATCTTGTGAGAAATGCAAAAGAAATCAGAAGATACAAGAATACATTGGGTTGACTATCACTGGTATTCACAAAGATTCTGCGAATCAATATATTGTTACTCATCCGAAACATCATTAGATGGAGATTCACTGTCTGTGTCTGCGACCAAAACTATCTGCTTAATATTAGATTCTTCCTCTGCTTTGGTTTCCTTGTAATCCTTGGGAAGCACATTACAGTTAATGGCCTGCCATACTGGTCTCTCTGCTAGGAATGCTCTGTTGGGTCAAAGCTAATCATTAGAGCTACTAGTAACATAACACCACAAAAAAGATGCGCACAAAACATAACAGAGTGGTGGAGGGAAGGGGAGGGGCGGAGACTCACGGGTGCTTGCAAAGTGTGGGGCACTGAATTGTAACTGCATACTTGCAAGTGGCTATCTCTGTAACTGAATTAATCATAGCTCTGCCCTCTGAGCACACAAATCTCACCTGCAAATGCATACAACGTAAGGGCGGGAAGAAGAGATGTGAAAGGAAATTAAAAACTACATTATATATATAAATTAATAACTTAATACCTCCGTCGCCCGTTGTTGGTCTGTAAGATCACATGTAGTCCCATTTGTATATTGGTGAGCATGATACCTATATGAACCGTGAAATTTGATGAACTGTACTCAATCTAACGCATTTTGATAAAGACAAAATCATACCTTTGGTATGCATCTTTTGACCGTGGATCTTTAAGTCTAGATATGTCAGAAAGATTCTGGTTGACAGCAGCAGTGGCCTCTGCATCATATATACCCAAAATAAATTCCTGAACCACCTGTAATAAGAGACGAAAATAGCCAATTACATGGTTAATATTATCGGGTTTCAATTGGTCTGAAAGTGTTCCAACAAGAAATGAGAATATCTAAAAAGACGACGATAATAATGCTAATGCAACTGGTTTTAATTCCTGAAAAATTGGAAAAGAAAACCAATGTAAGAAAATGACCGATGTCTGCACTACCTGCACCACAGCAACTACTACATATACCACTATAACCACTACAAGGATGGAGGAACAAACACCTTGAACAGGCAGGATTACCCACCCAGGACCAACCCTAAGACTTAAGTAGTTAATCACTTACGGGAATGCATCAAATACAGTGTGCCAACACTACATTAAAGCCCAAGACCATCTAGATAGATGTGGTACTTATTAACACACTTTGAGGCATATTAGTTCTCTTCCTCTCATTATATACAGTTATACTGCGGATAACATGTTTCAAAAGAGGCATCAGAAATAAGAACTAACAATAGAAGTATATTATATTTTAAAGTGAGCATTTGAGAGGGGCATGGGAGAATACCTTCTCATCTTCCAAATGAATTTGCCGTAATCTCTTCTGATAGCAAAACTCATATGACCACCAACCCTCTTGCTGCATAAAGGAGTTGGTTATGTTAGCATAATGTACAGTAAATACATAATCACCTGGTTACTAATGTAGTTTTATAGGTTACATGACTATGAGCAACAGTAAAGGGAATTTGCTCATAGGCACCCTCACCAGATTTGATCTAATTATAAAAACCAAAATAATAGATGTGTTGCTTTTTAAATTAATTGTAAGAGGAAAAATATTTATGTGCTACAAAACCATGGGACGAATTGAAGACAGTTTTAATGTCACAAATCTTACTCTGATAAAGCATTGGTCCTTGAGTACTTCAAGCAGCTCATCTGGTGTCTTCATTTTAACTCGTTTCTCAGTTTCCACAATCACGCTGCTTATATTATGCTGAAGGACTTGCTTCCCACTCTTGGCTTCCTCCACCTTAGGCAAGTAACATATAAAATTTTGTCCATTGTCATTTGGCATAACCACGGACTCTTGACCATCCTCCTGCAATATTTGTACCCAATTATTAGATCAACATGGTTTGTGGAGGATCAATGTTTATATGTACTTCTTTATTCTAAAGAAAAAAAACTTTTTTTTTTTTCCTTTTTGGGGTCGGGGAAGTTTCAAAGCATCAAAATATAACAACTACATACATATAGGAACAAACAATAAATACAAGTAAAACTAAATAAATAAAAATACAATCTTAGCTTACAGGATGAAAAGGTGAGTCTTCAGGATGGAATTCAATCTTGTATTTTGGTTCACGAGAGCTGCGACTAAATGTGCCACCTGCTCATCAATAGATGGAGAAAAAAAAAAGAAATTTATTTTGCAGTAAAAGATATCAAATTTAACAAACAAATCAGATAAATAAAATAGTTTCTAATTATACCTAAAAACAAAGCTAGAACAAGATGATTATCCTCATGTAAAGATCGTGATTGCATTACAAAAGGTCCTAAAATCACAGACACAGATTCCTACTCACGCTACAATCTACAGTCAGTTTCAACGCTGACATGACTACAGCTGAATCACTTCAGCATATGTAAGAACAATCCTTTTGGCAACTCAAACTTTTTTCCTTGATACTTTGTTTGCCAATAAAGTGCCTTCCACAAACTACCCGTTTTCAACCTGATTCCAGTCTCTACTAATTGATGACAACAAAGTTTGGCCCTTCAGACTAAAGGCTAAACAAGCTTACGACCCCTTCAACTGCTTTCAAACTAAACTAAGCTAGAAGCTGTAACTTAAATGACAAAGGCTTTTTACGTACAAATTTAAATAATTAAGCTTAACTTAAAGCAATTCAATGTGGTTTAATTTGAAGTATTGCCAAGCCAATAGAAATCTCTATGCAGTCCTATAGCAACACAAATTGATCATCCCGTTAATAATCACAGCTGAGCTGAAAATTCGTCAAATTTACGTTATCCCAAAAACCTATATATGAACCATTAAGCCTCTGAATCAAGGCTCAAGTGCAAACAACTTTCAAATTCCACCAATGTTTTCAAGCTCAGCATCTGATTAACAACGATTGATGTAACACTGAAAAACCAAATACACACACGCTTATATACGTACATGTAGTTGATAAACTTACTAAAAATTATGGGCTTCCGCCCCCTTGATACCCAAAAAAAATACACTATTTAAATTGGGTAAGCAAGACATGATTTTGTATCAAAGAAGGAACGGTGTCACTAAAACGAAGATGGGTTTTAGATAATTTCAGCAATGAAAAAAAATGAAATTATGCAAATATGAGAGGGAAATAGATGGATTTGAGAAGTGGGTAATTACCTAGGTGAGCTGGGAAGATCTGATCGGCCAAGACAAGGTGGCACAGAACGTACAGTTGAGTAATAAACACTACCAACTTCATATTTTTGTTCCTTTTGAGAAAAATAAAAGGGTCTCAAAACCCAAAGAGAAGTAAGAGAAGGGGAGGTATTAAACCTTGGCTATTGCTACGTCAATGAAGAAGACGAAGAACACGAAGAAGAAGAAGAAGAATAAGTGATGCAGCCACACTGCTGTGGTTGTTTTAACACCTCCACGCAGACTAGCCAATAAATGGACGCCGCGTAATGTGCTCACTTGTAATTTTGACACAGTGGACAGGGTTCTTGTCACATGACTGAGTTGACGTGGCAATTGAAGGGCTGCAAAGCCCGACCCCTTCTGTTAGAAGGTTGGATTGGGTTGGGCTTTAGCATTTATCCAAATTCAAGTTGGTTGGTTGGGCTTGGTGATTGTCAACAACTTTTACACGATATGGATTGATCATAATAAAATGATTTTCAATAACTTTTACATGATAATTTTGGATTTACAGCAAAAATTAAACGAAACACAACAAGGCAACCCACCGCATCCTCAAACATTGTAACAAACAAACATGGCTGGCGGTGGTGGGCGGTGGCTTGGAATACATGCCACGCATTGTAAAAGTCCACGAGTCCGCCTTTTTCCAGTTTTCAGAACAGGCTGTCTTTCTTACCCCCTGCAGTTTGCTTTGTGATTGGCAGTTGAAAGTTCTCTCGCCATACCTTTTTTTCACATGCTCAGATAGCCACGTGGCAAACAGTCATTGGTAGCTAGATGGCAATGGTCCCACACAACCACTTGATTGAATATATGCATTTTCTATGGGTTTCCAAAGTCCACTAAATATTTATCCCCTCTGTTTTTCAGTTTGTTTACGTTATCTTTTATATGCCCTCTGTTTCTCCAGTTGTTTACATTTTCTATTGGACATGACTATTGCCAGATTTTTCTTTTATGCTTACTTTTTCTTTAATCTTCTAGATTAATGTGTTTTATCTTCCTAAATACTGCTCAATATTTTTTATTTTTCTCTTAATTATTAGAAAATGGTACAGTCATTTTTGTTTTTGTTTTTTTCATGTTGAACTACATAAATTTAGAACATGGAAATCTGATGTTAAGGTGACTTTTTTGGTTTGTTGTAATTTATATATTTTAGCATAAAATCTATACTCCCAATCCAAATGCAAAAAAAAGGAGAAAAAAAAAGGAGGTAGAAGAAAACTAACAGACAAACAGAAGCCAACTGCAAACCCAAGCAGCTCAAAAACAGATGGGTCTTGAAGTAGCAAACGGATCAATGTCTAAACGAAAATCCCCAAGAAACTTGGAATTCACGGAAACGGGGGACCCACCATATTAAACATTAATTCTTTTTAGTTTTGATAATATATTAATGAACACAAAAAAAGAAATTAAAAATTATAAGAATCTTCTCTGCTTTTGTGGCGTTTACGTTAAGCGGTGAAAATCTTCTCTTCACATCACCAAGGAGCCAACGGACATTGGGCGGTTTTTTTCCTTCCATTCTTGACATCCCATTCAGCCACAGATTTTCTCTCATTTTCTCGTCTGAGCTTCTCCTGTGAAACCCGGAGCCTCTTCTCGAGAATTCATTTCCCAGATAAGTTTCTCTCCTTATCTCTCTATCTCTCTATCTCTCACCAAAATCTTGTTTTTCTGCTGAAAAAAGAACGACCATTTTGGTTTTGCAAAGCGTCAGTTGCTTCTCTCTGAATTGGGATTTGTTTATTATTGGATGGGCAGTAACAAATCCTGATTTAGAGGGAAGGGAATTCGTGTTCTGAGTTTGTGGTGTCTTGAAATTATGCTATAAAAAAATCCAGTTGAGCTTCAAGGGAGTAGCTCCAGATTTTGAACTTCTTTCATAGCAGTTCAGCCCACAATAGGAGGTCTTGGGTGGAATTCGTTTCTGGGAAAAGAGCTTTACTTCTGGTATGCTTGTCTTTTTCTGATTTGTTGTATTAATACACGATTGAATTGTGAGGATCTGTTTTCAAAGTATACTTACTGGAAACTAGAAGTTTAGAGTTCTTTGGAATTATTCTGGTCACCTTTTGAAGGTTTTGTATTGAATTGTCTTTTGGGCTTGGATTGCTTTTTCTCGTGTAAAGGACTTGGTTGCAATAAGTTGTTGGTTTTCTTGTTTACTTAATTGGATCAGCTACTTGGTTTTTGAGCATTCAGGCCTGTAGTTAGATTAGGTTTTAGTTTTCTTTCTGGCTCAAACATTTTTTATGAATTGTTGAGTGCATGATGGGAAAGCAAGGTGGAAAAAAGAAGAAGAGTGCAGGAGAAAAATCAGGTGATGCTTCAAATCAAAGCAAAACTGGGGATAATAGCCCAAAAGCCTATGATAAGGACACAGCAGTTTTCATTTCAATGTCTCAAGAACTGAAGGACGAGGGGAACAAGTTGTTTCAGAAGAGGGACCATGAAGGAGCTATGTTGAAATATGAGAAAGCCCTCAAGTTGCTTCCACGAAATCATATCGATGTATCCTATCTTAGGAGTAACATGGCGGCCTGCTATATGCAGATGGGGCTGAGTGAGTACCCCAAGGCTATCAATGAGTGTAATTTGGCTCTTGAAGTCACACCTAAGTACAGTAAGGCGCTGTTGAAGCGGGCCAAGTGTTATGAGGCTTTGAATAGGTTGGATTTGGCTCTGAGAGATGTTGGTACCGTTTTGAGCATGGAGCCAAACAATATCATGGCAACAGAGGTTGCAGAAAGAGTGAAAAGTGTACTTGAGAAGAAGGGATTGAGGGTGAATGACACAGTAATTGAGCTGCCTCCAGATTATGTTGAACCAACTCATGCTTTACTACCAGGGAAAGTAATGAAATTGAAGAATCGGAAAAAGAAGAAGGGCGACAAGGATGAAGAGAAGAAGGCTGACGACAATATTGAGGAGAAGACTGAGGACAAGATTGAGGAAAAGAAGGCTGTGGAAATAGCTGAAGAAAAGAAGGCTGTGGAAATAGCTGAGGAAAAGAAGGCAGAGGTCAAGGTAGTTGTGGAGGAGAAAATCGGTAGTCCAAAGGAAGAAGTGCCTAAAAGAAGTGTGAAATTGGTATTTGGAGAGGATATAAGATGGGCTCAGTTGCCAGTTAATTGCACCCTCCTGCAACTGAGAGAGGTAGTCCGTGATCGGTTTCCTAGCTCAAGGGCAGTTCTCATCAAATATAGAGACCAAGAAGGTGATTTGGTTACAATCACTAGTAATGAAGAGCTGAGGTGGGCAGAAGGATCAGCCGAATCAGAAGGCTCTGTCAGGCTTTATGTTGTGGAAGTTAACCCTGAGCAGGATCCATTCTTTGAGAAACTGGAAATTGAAGCACACAAGCTTGATGTACAGCAAAATAATGTAGCCGAGAATGGTAGCGTGGTAAAACAGAAGGATATGAAGGGGTCCCCTTGCGTTGAGGATTGGATAATCCATTTTGCTCAGCTGTTCAAGAACTATGCTGGGATTGAATCTGATGCATACTTGGATCTTCATGAACTTGGAGTGAAGCTTTATTCTGAGGCTATGGAGGAGACAGTTACAAGTGAAGAAGCCCAAGACCTTTTTGACATAGCAGGAGAGAAGTTTCAAGAAATGGGAGCTTTAGCATTGTTCAACTGGGGAAATGTTCACATGGCCAGGGCAAGGAAGAAGGTGTATTTCACAGAAGATTCTTCAAAAGAATCAATCATTTCAAATATCCAAAGTGCATATGATTGGGCACAAAAAGAATACATAGAAGCAGGAAGGAGATATGAAGAAGCGCTGCAGATAAAACCAGACTTCTACGAAGGCTATCTGGCCCTTGGGCAGCAGCAGTTTGAACAGGCAAAACTTTCTTGGTATTATGCAATTAGCAGCAATGCTGATTTGGAGACGTGGCCTTCGACAGAGGTTCTACGACTTTATAACTATGCCGAAGACAATATGGAAAAAGGCATGCAGCTGTGGGAGGAATTGGAAGAGCAGCGTCTCAGTGAAATCTCCAGTCCAAGTAGTGTTAAATCCCAGTTGCAGAAAATGGGTTTGGATGGAATTTTCAGAGACATATCAGAACATGAAGCTGCAGACCAGGCTACAAGCATGAGGTGTCAGATAAATCTCCTATGGGGCACCATGCTCTATGAGCGATCTATTGTGGAATTCAAATTAGGGCTACCTGTATGGCACGAATGTTTGGAAGTTGCAGTTGAAAAATTTGGACTTGCTGGGGCTTCTCCAACTGATATAGCTGTGATGGTTAAAAACCACTCTTCAAATGATAATGCATTGGAAGGTGACACAATTCAAAGTTTTGCACTCTGAAACTAATGATCTACTGCTGCCATTTCTTTAACTATCTTAGACGTTTAATTGCTCATTTTCTGTACAGGTATAGGATTCAAAATTGATGAGATAGTACAAGCATGGAATGAGATAAATGAAGCGAAAAAGTGGCAGAGTGGAATTCCATCATTCCGGTTGGAGCCATTACTTCGAAGACGAGCTTCCCGAATTTATTATGCCTTGGATCATGCTTGAAAATTAGCATTGGATAGACACACTTTTACTGCCCTGACGCCATGGATTGGAGCATAATCCTGCACATTGAGGTAGGCATGAGTTGAGTTTGTCCATTTCTCTTTCCATTTGCTTTTTGTGTCATGGTTAAAATTTCATGTACAAAGTCATTTTAGAATTAATCATCAAAAGGCTTGTTTCTTTTGCAGGTTTTCTTGCTACTGCCCTGTAAAGTACTTTTCAGGCTTTTAGCTATGGCCACTTAGTTTTACAAACAGTGGATAGTTGTGATTCAAAATTTTATTGTGAGTAGTAGCTGTTCAGAAAGCAAAATTTTTTCATTCTCTTTTGACGTAAGGGGATTGGAGGTGAAGTTGCAGGTCTTCATTTTAGTTAGTTTCTGCCTTCATCAACATCGCTTATAGTTTCTGCCAGAATAGATTGCACTTGTAATTGAAGCGTCTACGATCCAATTCTGAAGGCATGTTCTTGATTGATTGATTGATTTTGTTTTATTTTGATGTAGTTTGATGTGAGTTTGGGGTGTAATTTAAACGTCTTTTAGTTCGTTGGTGTTGTAGTGTGTTTTAGGGGAAAAACTTGTATTGGATTAACGAGAGACTGTTGTTATAAACCTCACTTCCTTATTTCTTTCTGTTATAAAAATTTCTCCTGGTTGCGATGCTTATTTGTATTAGAATGTGAAATGAAGAGGTGAAAGTCAATAATGCCCTTAAATATTTGGTCATCTAGTAGGGTACAAACGACATTGTCTATTTTACCTGATTTACAAACGACATTGTCATCAAGCAGACGCCTTTCCATTTCCCAGAATCCCAACGTAGCTTAGCTTCGTAACAGTGAGACGACTCGCACAATCTCTCACTATGAATTCTTCTTCAACCTCGATCAAATCTCAAACACTAACCCTAATTCACCGCTCTTGGATTAAAGCAAAGTGGTAGAGCTGCTCACAGCTTTCACATTGACGAAAATGGCGTCTCGGTTGCAGAAGATCGAAGGAGACGAGTCCGTACTGTTGCGCGTAACTCATTCGAACCTCAAGACCTTCTCTGCCGACATCCGCTTCTCCCTACAGAGCTCCGTGGAGTACGTCAAGGACAAGCTATGGCGTAAATGCGGCACTTCTGTAGATTCCATGTCGATCCACCTGTATGACGACGCCAACACCCAAGTCTCCGTTTTGAACGACAACTCCAAACCCCTCGGCTTCTATTCCCCGCATGACGGGTCAGTAAACGCACAAACACTCTCTCTCTCTTGTTATTTGTGATTTGGTTAAATTTGTGATTGTTGTTGGTTGTGTGTGTTTGAAATTGAAAGCTACCGGCTACATGTTATAGATCTTGACCCTTCATCGGTGACCTCCGGTGGGTGGCTTGAGGACACATCGTTGGTGGAGAAGTACACTATTTCCCAAGAAGCTTATGAGAAACGAGATGGTAAGTTACCCAATATATTGTTATGTGTATAATTCTTGTAAAGTGTATTTGGTTCAATCCAGATGTTTACAGTTTTGTTTGAGAGTTGGTTTAATTTCTGTTTGGATTATAATGGGCATAGTTATTATTTGTTCTTTATGTATTATTTTTGTAATCACATGTTTGTGGTTTTGTTTCAGGGACTTTTAGAAAATTTAAGGACAAATTGGCATCTCGGAACCCATCAGCTTTTGAGAATAAAGTAAGCATCACCTATGTTATTTATTCCTTTAAGATGCATATTGAGTGTCAAATCAAACTGAGATGTTCATAAGTTTGTTTAATGAAGTTTTGTTCGCAGATACCAGAGAACAATATGGAAGATCTCTGTGTAAATATCAAGGTGCTTCCTGTTTCCTTTTTCCTTTCTTTTTTGTTTAAGTATTAGTAGTCATTGGGTCATAAGCATGAACGGCAAGGCTCAGTTTGTCTTTTTAAATAGTTTAACAGTGTACTACTGACTAAGTTAGCTTTGTGGCACATCCACAGACTACAAAAATGAATAATTTTTTTGTTTTTTGGTCGAGAAATGACATAATTATTTGTCTATATTTTTAAGATCTGAACGATTTAAAGTCTGTATCATTTAAATTTCCATGAGGTAATGTTGTGTCATTAAGTGGTGATTGTTCTTTACCTTGTTGGTTTCAAGCATTCAGCTGGATTGTTTTCCAGTTGCAGTTGGCATTTTCTTCAGCATTCTAGATGGCACTTGAACTGTAATTTTATAGGAATATGTGTTGATATCATTTTTCTTTATTTGCTTGTATTTTGTGTGGGAGTTGAAAGCATTCTCGGTTCTCCAAAATCTTCCTCATATTTTATTATGTGTTAACTAGCATTTTCTTTTCTTGTTTATTGTGAAACAATATTCATGATTGTCTCAGTTCTCCTACTTTATATGCTGAAGGTTGGAGATAGATGTGAAGTTCTACCAGGGGATAAAAGAGGTGTTGTTAAATTTGTTGGTCGGGCAGAATCTCTGGCTCCTGGTTTCTGGATTGGAGTTCAATATGATGAACCATTGGGAAAGCATGATGGCTTGTAAGTGAGCTCCTGACTCATGCTATGTTTTGTTTTTGGTATCTCATGTGCCAATCATAAAAATGGTATGCTCTTGGTTCTGTTGTTCCTAACAATTTCTCATTTCCTTAGAATAATCATAGCAAGGTTAATATCATTTATTGTTGTGAGTGCATCTAGTGATAGACGTTGAGGACAGAAAGTTCATGTGAAGAAATTGTTTTGTTCAAATAAAAGAAACCTGCATAGAGTGATGTAAAAGACATACTCAAAATACATTTGAAATGGCATGACTTAAGAATGTTTTTTTTTTTTTTTTTTTTTTTTTTTGTGTGTGTGTGGTCAATGTATTAAATATCTAAAGAAATAAAAGCAGATTTTAAATCTTGATTCAAGGTCAACTAGTAGTAGAGTTCAGAGAGAGTAGTTTAGAACCAAAAAAAAAAAAAAAAAAAAAAAAAAAAAAAAAAAAAAAAAAAAAATAGTATCTATAAGCTAGACTATGAGCTCATATGTTACATCTGCTATGTTTTGATTGAGTACATCACACTTTTTCCATTCCCATGAGTAAATTTTGTTCAAGGAGAAAATTCCCATAGGAAATAATATATATAACTCTCATTTTACCTGGAGAAAGTAAATTCTTGGTTGATGCTTGGTTTTGTGTGTTAAATTGGTGGATGCTTCTCATCTGGTTTTGGCTGATAACATGTAATATTGTCTGGTAGTAAAGATGCACTTTTTTTTGCCTTCTACTTTATTATTTTTGTTCTTCCTTTTAGCTAGTAGTGTACATGTTTTGTTACAGCATGCTTTTCTTCATTCTTTCTTTCTTTTATCAGGTTTGGTAAATCATGTTTGTGTCATTCAGTGCAACATTATATTACAGTGCATTACGAGCAAAAAAGAAACACTAATTGTTATGTGTTACGAAGATAATGGAATCTAAACTCATATTATACAATTTTAAATGCTTTGGAAAATTTAGGGCTCACCATATATGTGTATGTATCCAATCAGTAGCCATTCTTGTCACTGAACTAGTTTCTAAGATTGGTGAATATTGAATAGTCTTCCCTCTGAAATTCTGCACATGCATACAACCTTATATTTCTTGAAATTGGTGTCTATTACAGTGTTGGTGATCTTTGGTATGTTTCTAAATCCGATAGAACCAAAATTCTTTCATGTTGTGATTTTGCTATACCATGAGTGGACATTTTTGAATTGCCTATTTTAATTTTGCATTCCTGTTTTCTGCATATTATTTGGTTGAGATTCCTCTTCTTCATATCTTAGGGTGAAAGGAACAAGATATTTCAATTGCCTCCCACTTCATGGTGGAATCGTTCGGCCAGACAAAGTAAAGGTTCGTATGCATTTGTATTCTAGAACGCTTCAAAATGATTTTTTTTTCCTGATTTTCCTATCAAGATGTGGAGTATATTATTATTTGGTTCGATTGGCTGTTTCACAAGGAACAGGAATGTGTCTGTTTTAAAGTTTAATATGACCTGTTAGCTCATAGGTTGTCACCCATCTGTGGTATTTCAACCGCTTCATGAGCAGAACAATAGTTTGGGGCCCACCTTTTAGCCCTGGGACTTTTACTGTTATACATTAGAAGAAGAACCCAAGGTTAAGGCGGGGAGTTAGGTTAGGAACTATTCCTCAATGATGATTTGGTTAATTGCAAATCGTGGAGTCAGCAATTACTGTTAAATGCAATTGGATTCCTCTGTATCTTAACAAATTATTATATACCATTCTGGTGCACATACCTTCTCCATCTGAAGTGTCTTATGTGAAATGAAATTGCTTTTAATGACCTAATTGAAAGGGTTTCTTTATATTCATTCACAGCGGATGGAGTGATAACATTGTAAAATTCTAACTTCAAACCTTTTTGCTAACAGTCTATTGAGTTCCCTTTGTGTATTTCCAGCATGACTTGTTCATGGAGTTGACTAATGTGACTAATGCAATTTCAGGTTGGTGACTACCCTGAACGAGATCCATTCGAGGAGGATGAAATCTAAGCAGGTCTTAGAGAGAGTACTTATGTATTTCATGTTTCTACATAACCTTTTCGGGGCAATCGCCTTGAAGTTTCCTTATATTGTTCAAGTTGTAATATTATTGGGAGGGAGTTAAAGAGGCTTCTAGAATGAGGAGTTTAGAGTGTGAAACTTATTTGAGGGGCTCAATCCCACCATCAAACCATTGTTTAAGTCCATTGATTTTCTCACATTTGTTGATGACGGGATTGAATCCCTCCGAGCTCCTCACTCTAAGCTCCTGCTTTATGAGTAAAAGAAACAATGATGTTGGGTTGACTTAACAAATTAAGGCGTATTGGGCCGCTATTTTTTTAAATTTCTGACGCCCCTATTGGGTCACCATTTTTAAATTTGTTCCTTGTGTTAGGCTGCATTCTTTAATTCTGTGCTTTTGAAAATCGGAAATGCTGTAATGAGGAGCTTAGAGTGAGGGGGTTGTTTAAGGAGTTCAGTCCCATCATCAACAAATGTCAAAAAATCAATGGATTTATACATGGGCAGAACATTATGCTTTTAGTTCTGTAGTTCGGCTGTTGTTTTAGCTATCAATCACAAAATTTCATTGTATTACTGAAAAACAGTAATTAAAGTCTTGAGAATCCAATCTAGAACTTTGAGCTAAGAGGTTAATACTCTTAATCAATTGGCTACAAGTCCCTTGCAAAATTTAATTATATTATAGACCCTGCATTACTTAGATTTAATGGGTCTAATCAGTGAACAAAACGGGCTCATGTTCTAGAATTTTTTTTACAAAAAATTCCTAGTCAAGCATAAGAAAACAAAAGAAAATTGTTTTTTTTAGTACAACCATTGGCGAATGAGTGTTTACATAAATATTCATTGAGTAGTTTGGATTTCGAACCTCTGCTCGCATAGACGGTTGGGTTTCGAACCTCTGTTGTCTTAAGGTACAAAATTCGTCATGTTTTCACTAACTAGATGATTCTAGCAGCCCAATGTCCATATGTAAACTTGGCCTCCACTTGTGGCTCCTGCTAGCATCCCAACATTGAAAGGGTGAACATCAAATCTACATGGAATTGCGGACATGTGTGGGCTCTGTAAAGTGAAAACTGTTCTTCTTTCAACTGGGGAGATAACATCTACGCCTCTTTTCATATTGCCAATGAAGACATATTCATCGTCCCAGCCCCATATTGCCCTGTTTCCAGTGTTAATAGCAGCTGTCAGAAACCGACCCCTTTTTTCATGCTAGCAAAATTTAGTATTTGGTATTTTACTACCAACAAAAAAGAAATTTGTTAGTGTACATAATTCAATCCACAATCACTACAACTTTCTTTTCAGAAGGTGAATATACTCTTGGCATCACTACCATTGTATGGAATAAGGCTAAACACTAGCCAAAGTCAGAAAAATTGAATTGAAAGACTTCTCAGAAATTCTTTTTTAAATGGAAAACTGAGAAAACGTTATAATTGAAAAACAGATTATGATAGAAATCAGGCAGAAGAATTAAGCGAAGGCAAGTCACATCAGCATTTCAAAATCTGGTAAAAATCATACCTGAACGAAGAAATCCATCTACCAGTACGATTATCATGGTATATCATTGATATGTCCTCAAAATTAACTCCACTTGATATACCAACTGTGTTGTCAATACTGCATGAAGAGGTTAGACAATTAGTCCCACCACAAGTGAGATCAACTTAAACTCATTTCATTAATCACCGTATGCACATTACGTGAGATACATTAGACCCTTGAGAAACATTACTAGTACAGCATAGTAAAAAGAACCACATACACCAACCCGACCGATTTATCCCATGAAAAATATTCAGCAAGAAAATCAATGTTTGCACTCTCAAATAACTGTTTAGCTTATATTAACAAACAGTATTTGTTAAGCAAATGAATGAAACCAAAGCTAGCATACATGTTCCAGACAGGAACTAAAATATTCCACTGAAGTTTAAAAAAACACAATATAGTCACCTTGTCGTCACTAGAGACCTTCCAGACGGTGAGAAGTAAGCAGAATGCACAGCCCTTTTGTGGCCAACTGTTCTTAAAGTTTTGAGTTTATTTGCATTAATACTTCTCAAATCCCAGATGCAGGCTGTTCCATCTGTGGAACTAGTAGTCATGACGTTAGAGTTTTCTGAGTTAAAGTTTATGGAATTAATTCTGTCTTCATGCAAAGACCACTGGTTTGAGAAGTTTCCTGTTCTCTCATCCCAGACACTTAAACCTCCATGACCCTCAGCAAAATATAAGCATTTTGGATCCTTTGATTGTTGGCAGATGGAGTATATAGTCTCTTCACTGGAATATACTAGATCAAACACCTCTTTCTCAGCATCCATCAACCGGATAAATCCATCATAACAACTAGTAAAGATCTGCATTTTAACTCAACAATCATATGTTAGCTTTAACATCAAAACTTGAGACATATCTCAATAACAAGATTTAAATGAGCATATGTTAGCCATTACATGCAGTAGATCATCATAACAAAATCTTCCCATGTAGAAAGCATACATCCTCAAAGGAAACTAAAAAAAAGGGCCCATTATCATTGAGATAAAGTGCTATTCACAAAGGAGTTGCAACCGCATCATTTCCAAACTCCATTTCTTATGTTACAACTCAGAAGTTCAGCATGGTAAACAATATTAATGTGTGAACAGACATAACTGAGAAAATAACAGAACTTTAACGTACATTTTTATAGCATATATAAGTGGATCGCTTTATAACCTTAACAATTGGACTTGGAAACATATAGATTCGTCTCTCTTAACATTCAAACCAAGCTATGAAGAGAATTTTGGGTAATCAACTACAAACCAAAGGACTAATCAAATTAGAAATATCCATCTTTTACAACCATACACGAAACATTCAGATAAAACTTACCTTTGACATGCAATGTTGTTGAATCAAAATCCCTGAAATGGGACCTGTATGTGGACGATACAAGTAGACCCCACTTTCTTCCTCTTCCTTAGAATCAATATGCCAAAATCCAACATTCCCAAACTTATTCCCAACCACAACCATACTTGAACTAGTACAAGGAAAAAAACTCACGTTCGTAATTCTCCCTGGCACAACCCGCGCTATATTCTCCGAATTCAGAGTCAAAGACTCCAACTTTAAACCACTATCAACTTCACTCTCTTCCTTCTTAATCAAACCGCAAGTTATCCCATCTATGCCCTCAGTCAAAGGCTCCAACTTCAAACCATCCTCAATTTCATTCTCTTCCTTCTTAATCAAACCATAAGTAAGCCCGTCTATTCCCTCACGGGCACCGCTCGAATTCTCAACTTTGGAAACCTCAAATCTCCCAATTTCACCTTTTACTGAAGCACTCAGTTGGGGTTTGTTCGCAATACCCAAAAGGGCTTCAATTAGAGCTCGATCCGACGCTCCACTATACGCCTCTCTCATACTAAGAGGACCCAAGTCGCGAGGCGATGCTTTCGATGGGCTCGGAGATTTTGAGGTCCTGGCCATGGATTCGATAGCATCATCGCTAAGGCCCTTGGCATCGGGGGGTAAACCTCTTGTACGTAAAGAACGCCTTATAACAATTGGGGTCTGGGTTTTGGGTTGCTTCTTCGGACATACTTTGTACGATTTGGTCTCAGCCCTACCATTAAAACCAGAAATTAGCAATGGGTTTTACGGAAAATCGTGATTTTCATGTACATACAGAAAATAGATTGAGAAAGCGAACCTTGGGCGTTTGGTTGAGGCAGAGACTTGGGCAGCGATGGAATGGAGCTTGAGGGAAGCCATCATTTGGTCATTTCGGCGAATGTTCTCGAGCCTCTTCCGCTCATAGTCTGTGAGTTCCGGAGACGCCATTAGAGAGAGTAATGCAAAGATTAAATGCAGAGAGAGTGACTGATGGGAGTCTCAGAGAGGAAAGTGAGGGAGACAGACAGAAAGAGGGCTTGGAAGTTGGGGGGACTGATGTAGGCGGTTGTGGGGCTATCGATTTGGGGAATCCTACATGTCGTGACTATTGGCGGGAAAAAACTGGCGGGAATGAACATTTTCACTCTCATGCCATGGACCAATCGCCTTCTAACACGTCTCTCTTTTTATTTTTCTTTAAGCTCTAAAAGCTTCTTTAAAAAACAAAAAAGAGAGAAAAGCCCCCAAAGGCTTAAAACGTTGATTGGTGTGTGGAATGTGATGTATGGTTTGCCTTTGCAATTGCAAGGGTGAATTTTGCAATTATCAATTTGACAAGAAGGGGATTTGGGGGGTCTGAATTGATTTGATTATTGCTGGACAATAACTCTCCCCAGTTTATTTTATTATTTGTCAGTTTATGTTTAGGTTTTTAAATACTTTAAATAATTCTGTAAGTTTTTATTATTATTTTGTTGTCCACATGGAGTCCACATCAGCAAAAAAGTCTAGTCATTCAAAGCCACGTAGGCAGTTAACGCCTAAGTTGACAATCTGATTGTTGGAGGGGGTAAAATGTAGATTTTCCGAGAGTTGAGTATGGAGTTGTAAATGCCTTACAAAATAAGTATGAACTTAAAATGACCCTCATAGTTTGGGGGGATTTATGTAGTTTGTCCTATCATAAAAGTAAACGCTTTTTTGCTCCCCATTTCCATTCAAATAAGACTATTTGCTTTATTGATACATACCGACCTGTTGAAATTCCAAGACAACAAATTTCCTCATTTTGAAAAGAACTGAGAGGAAAATTTGCCTTAATGAAACGAAGTTTTTTTTGGGAAGAAATAAGACAATGGAGTCCTGCCATACAGTCTATGCTATGGATTACATAAATATATATATACATATACGTATATATGCATATATGTCTACGTGTGTGTGGACACAATCTGTCTACGATACACTGATACAAATCCATTCATTCCGACAACAACAAAAAAAACAAATCCATTCATCTGGTTATTCCAGCATTTACCTTCTCTACTCTCATAAAATAAAAAAGAAGATGCAAAAGAATAAAATAAAATATACATGTAATATATAAGTTGTAGCTTATTCTCCCTGAGCACTCCATGTCTATCTCTTCCTTGGCACCCTATACATATGATACATACAGCCTTGGTCCAGGTCCATTTTCTATACAGTGTAGTGTTGTTGGATGGTGTCAATGTCCAGTCCCTTCAGCTGAACCACTGACTCAACGTGCCCCTTTAATGTATGGAGTTCCCTCAGCCTGCATATATAATCAATGCAAGTTTAAATATATGTACAAATCAGTAATTGGATACATCAAAGGAAGGGGACCTTGAACGAACAGTGTTAACGACACAAGGAAGGAAGCATCATGTTGATTACTCAAGTCACTTTCTGATATCATGAAATTTTTGTAATCACAATGAAAATGGATTCATTTAAAAGTTTTGGATGTTGGTGGCCTTTAGAAGTTTCGGATACCCTTTTTCAAATTCTTACCTTGCGACTTCTGCACGCCTCTTGGCCTGCTCAGCTAGCTCAGACTGCTCCCCGTGGTTTCCAGGAAACAACGCTTCTGGAGGCTGGAGTCCGTGAAGTGAACGTTGAGCTGAGGCCCATTGTGCTTCCCTCTCAGCCTTGCCATAATCATTTTTTGATGTGAACGCAGTCTTGATAGATAGTCAAAACATGCACAAACAAGATTAAGTCATGAAGGGAAGGAAAATAGTATAATGGATAACACTTCTAGATAGAGCTAAAAAGAAATCAGAGGGTCAAGAAGTTGTATAGAAACCTTGTTCCGGACAATATTATCCCAGGCCCTGCCAGTCAATGCATAGCGGATTATGAACTTGAAGATATCAAGAGGGAAGTAGGTGATAATGCTATAGACCCAGATGACACCTGCCCATCGCCATCCAATGCCTTCAATTCTGGCAAAGCCCCAACTACAGTACACAGCAATGAGAGTGGCCACCTACGGAACAAAGTACCAAATTTTTCTTAGGCAAGTTATGGCAGCAAAAGATATACTCTTGCTTAGGCAAATTATGGTGATCACAGGCAGCAAAAGATATACTAAAACTAAGTACTTTTCAATACATGTAAGTGAAAAGAGAAAGGTACTAACCAACTGTGCCGCAAGGAAGGCACCGACAAGCATGAGACCAGGGCGTTCAAGAAAGGACCAGCTCCTTGATCGAGTCACAAAGATGAGCGCTTGACTGATGATGCTCACTTGTAGGTAGATAGCTGAGTTAAGTTGTTTTGGGTTTTCCCCAATGTGGTGCACGCCAAAGGTTTTCTGTAAATAGTTGAAATTGTTAGCATTTGTCTTAGATTTTAATCATCAATTCAGTGCTGGCATTTTGATCTCTTAGTGGGCTTCACTTACTGCGAAAAAGTCGGTGCTATATGCAAGCCAGAAGAAGACCACAGTCATGATTGCCATGTAGGTACCAAGGACAACTCCAGTGGCAAAGATCTCCTTGAGCTTCCATGAGTCGGGGAGAGGGGATGGCCTCACTCTGTCCTTAGAGATGGTCATGATAGTCCCGTCATTCAATACAGCAATGACCAAGACCATGAAAGGTGAGAAATCAAACTTCCAGATGAGATTAACGAGCATGAATCCCAGCACAATTCGGATTGTGATGGAAACAGCATAGATTGTATAGTTCTTCATCCTCTGGAAGATGGCCCTGCTTGTCAAGACTGCACTCACAATCACACTCAGTCCTGGCTCTGTCAGAACAATGTCCGAGGCACTCCTAGCTGCATCAGTTGCATCAGCCACTGCAATGCCAATGTCTGCCCTCTTCAGCGCTGGGGCATCATTCACACCATCTCCAGTCATCCCACAGATGTGCTTCCTCTCTTGAAGCTTCTTTACAATCTCATACTTATGCTCTGTATGCCCAAACATATATGCATTAGTTGAAAGTCTAAAACCAGTGAATTGGAATATATTTGTTTCCTTTTTAATTCTTGTAGCGACGATTTAATTACCAGGAAAGACTCCAGCGAATCCATCGGCCTTTTCAATGAGCTCATCCACAGGAATGGAGGCAATGGACTCGTCCTTGCTCTCGCCAAGAAGGGTAGATGAAGGATACATGTTAGTGCCCATGCCAAGCCTGCGACCAGTCTCTTTCCCAATGGCAAGTTGGTCACCGGTGATCATCTTAACATTGACACCAAGTTCCAGAGCCCGGCGGATAGTCTCAGCACTGTCATGCCTTGGAGGGTCAAAGAGAGGCAATAGTCCCACAAACTCCCATGCATCGCCAGCGCTCTCCTTGGTCTTCTCTGAAACTGTCTGTAAATGGATAGAGCACATGATCCAACTTGTGTCAGGAAATTCATATCTCTGGAGATACAAGAAACACCAGATTCATATTGTCATGCTTATAAGTTATTCACCTGCCGAGCAACTCCTAATGACCGAAGACCACGGTCAGCATAGTTATCAATGACAGCATGGGCCTTCTTCTTCATTTCGCCCTTGAGATCGCAAAGGTCAATAATCTGGCAGATGAGCGAAATAGTTAGATGTCAATGTTGAAAAGCTAAAAAAGTGAGCTAGGGGGGATATATACTTATGTCAGAAATTATATGCGCTCTATATTGGTACAAGAAGACTATCTTACTTGCTCAGGAGCACCCTTGCTGCACCGGTGCCAGTCGCCATTGCTATCAACGTAGGTGATTGCTGTGCGCTTGTCCACAGGATTGAAGGGCAGGAAATGCAACTCAGTGATTCCTGCTCTTGCCTACAAAAACGCCATTAAAGCATAATAAAGCTAAGTTGCTTCGATGACCACATGTTGGAAGATGAGGAATAGACAAGGATTGAATTGTGTACCTCCTTGGGGTCGCCCAACATCCCAACAATTGAAGCATCAATGGCATCCTGATTTTCAACCCTGGAAGCCCTGGCAGAGAGCAAGATCACGGTGTCCTTATCCATGTCCTTGGGAAACACCTGCAATTGTAATCACACCCAGAATAAGTACTAATCACAAAAAGAGGACCATAAGCAAATAATCAATATATATTATCTTAAATCTCTGACCTCAATCAGACTCTTGTCAACTGAAAGCTTGTTGAGTGTAAGGGTACCGGTCTTATCACTGCAAAGGACATCCATCCCTGCCATCTCTTCAATGGCTGTCATCCTCTTGGTGATGGCACCTTGCTGTGACAGGCGGTGAGACCCAATAGCCATGGTCACGGACAAGACTGTTGGCATGGCAATGGGGATACCTCCTATCAGAAGCACCAACAGATTGTCAATACCATCTCTGTATGCCCTGTGCTGAATTGGGTACATCACCACGATCTCAATCGCCATTCCCACAGCAATGGAGCATATACAGAAGTTACCAATGGATGTCAACACCTGTCAAGACCACCAAAGTAGTAAATGTCTTGAACTGAAGGACTCAAAACTGAATCAAACAATACTTTACATAAATTCGGTGACTGCCGACAAAGAATGCGAACCTTTTGGAAGTGTCCAACTTGGTTGGTGCTATCCACAAGGTGGGCAGCCTTGCCAAAGAAGGTATGGACACCAGTTGCGATAACAACAGCTTCGATCTCACCCTGTTTGCAAGTAGAGCCAGAGAATACCTCATCTCCTGGGTTCTTGGTAACGGGCAGGGACTCACCGGTGAGGGCAGCCTGATCAATCTTGAGAGGATCTCCTTCCAGCAGACGAGCATCAGCTGGGACGATATCTCCCAACTTGATGCTGATCACATCTCCTGGTACCAGGATTTCTGCCTCTTGTTCTCCCCACTTTCCATCCCTCAAGACCTACATGCAGTTATCATTAAGCACTTCACTTATCTATATAGATATCTTTGGTAGCTATAGTATTAATAAATAAAATGGAGCTGCTAGAATGAATACGGATGAGGAAATTAATATTAATTGCACCTTAGTCTTGGGGGCTAGACTAGCCATCAGAGCTGCTGCGGCATTACCAGCATTGTTTTCTTCGATGAAGCTGATGGTTGAGTTGATGATCAACAACACCATAATACCGACGAAGTCCGGCCAGTCCGTTGGCTTGCCCTGCATTGTTCAGAATATTCTTGTTAATAAGTACATGATCATGAGAGATGGGTGAGGGTGTGTTTAATTGAATGAATTTGTGAATTTGTGTTATGAATCTTATAATATCATGGAATTAATGATGATATTACCCCTCCATTAGCCAAAACCAGGGCCATGATAGCAGCACACTCCATGACCCACGATAGAGGATTCCACATAAATCCCAGGAACTTGAGGATCTTGTTTTCTTTTTTCTCCTCAAGCTTGTTTGGGCCAAAGATCTGCAGCCGCTTCTGGCCCTCCTCTGATGTCAAACCCCCTTCCGTGCATTTCAGCTGTTCGAACACTTCCTCGACGGGGATTCGCTCCTACATAAACACACACACACACACACACATCAATCACATTTGCTTCATACCATCAAAAGAAAACTCAACACATGCAGACTCAAATCTCAACATCCTGGACTTACAAGGTCAACGTTCTCATTCTTGACATCTTCTAATGAGATGTTGGCCATGATGTAGCTAGATGACAGCAACACCGTCCTAGGCTCTTAAGTCTCTTGGTGTCTTAAAGCTTTGTCTTCTAGCCTTGTCTGTTTCTGTACCGCCACAAGGAGTGCTCAGCCTCTAGGCCTCCTCGTCGGCCATAGGCTTCCGAAGAGACAGAGAGGATGAGGAGAAACTTAGTAAAAGAAAGTAGAATAAGATTTGTCGACAGCCTAACTCTGCGTTTTCCTGTTGGCCTAGTTCTGCCCCTTGAACCGACCCTGCTTTTATAGCAAGGGCGAGAGGGAGACAATGGAGGGTAGCCCGTGGATTGCTGTGCTGTTGTTGCATGTTGTTTTGCCACTTCGGCATCCTGGGATATGTTTGTTAGAGTCTTTTGTGGCTGTCCAAACTACGCGGGGCAGCCATATTTTGCTTTGAGACATTGCATGCATATTTCATATTTGGAATGGAGGCTTGTCTTTTCACTAGAATAATATGCCCATCAATATTGTCCACTCAATTGGGGTGACTGACTCCTGTGTTCTGCGCATGTAACGGATTTGTTTAGTTCTGTTTATTACGAAAGATGGAGAATGAAACTAACAAAAATTCTCCTACGTGGACATTTGGACATTTACAATATCTTTCATCCATTTCTCCCAATATATCTTTCCTCTTTCAAAGGAGCACGTCTCATTCTCATTGCCTAGCTTTTCTCTATTAGACTCTATCAATTAATTCGAAGAGGATCTGGATGCGCTGTATTTTCTCATTTCATATTAGCCTCCCAATAAACATGCCTTATAAACACTAGGATCAAGTAAACTACATGTATAGGATCACCTCGGTTATAAGAAAAAAGTAAAAAGTCACTTTTGGTCCCTATGGTTTGTCACTTTTACCACTAAGGTCTATGTAGTTTTAATTTGAACATTTCCGTCCATGTGGTTTCAATTTGAAGCAATTTAAGTACAATCCTCAGTTTTTGTCAAATTCTTTTAACTTCTGTTACTTGTGGAGGGGTAATTTAGTCAACAAGTTATTAAAAATTTAATTCTTTTAAAAATAAACAATACAAAATGGAAAAATTAATAAATAAAAAATATATCTTCTTCTCCCCTCCCTAGAAGCCTTCGTCACCCTCTGCTGCATCTCTCCCTCTTCATTTCTCCACCACCTGATAGCACCCTATCCCCAGCCCCACCCCTACCCCTAGCCGTGACACAACCCCAACCCCATCCCTACCGACAACCCAACACCAGCGCACCGACCCCCTTCATCCCTCTATCTCTCTTCGATTTGGCCCTGCACCTCACCCCACCACTGCCTGCTAATCATCCCTCCACCTCCACCATAACTAAAACTAGATATTCTCCAATATATAGCTTTGTTCATCAATCGAATTTTAATAACTTGGAGATAGCTATAGATTTTACCCTTCCCAATTTCAAGTTCTGTTTCTCAAAAACACCATCAAATAAGCCATAATAAGTGAAAATAAAGTTGAAATAGGAGTAGTTCTTGGTGGGTGGGTTGGGTTGGAGCAAATTTTTAATTTTTAATTTTTTGTAGATCTATTGGCCATATTGTAATAAATTATGAGCAATGTGGTCTTTTGCTTGCACTCAATTTTTTGGACTGGACTTGAGACAAAGAGACAGAGAGACAGAGATATAGGTGGGTCTTGAGAAATTTTGTGGTGGGAGGGTGGTAAGAGTTGGTAGTTGGCTGGGTTATATTGGGCAGTGGCTTGTTAGATGGCGGTTATGGTAGGAGGGGGAGGGCACGGGAGTTGAAAAGGAATGAATTTTTGTTATTTATTATTATAAAAAAAAATTCATTTTGTATTTGTTATTTTAAAAAGGAATGAATTTTTTAATAATTTGACAGAATTGCCCATTCACTAGTAACGGAAGTTAAAAAAATTGACAGAAATTGAGAGTTGTCCTTGAGTTGCTTGAAATTGAAATCGCAAGGACGAAAATGTTCAAATTGAAACCACAAGGACCTTAATAGTAAAAGTGATAAACCACAAGAACCAAAAGTGACTTTTTGCTTAAGAAAAATGCATACATCGATCCCAATCTAGAGTTGCAATCATCAACTTAAAGTCAATGCCTATTTTCCTTGGATCATCTTCAACTGGGCATGATTTTATTCAGAACATAAAAACCTAATTAAAAAAAACTTGAAATCGGAACTCCAGTAGCTCGCCTCATCACTAAAAGTAAACCAAGACCGACCACAAAATTAAGACCACGCTCTTCCTCCAAAAGCATTCTAAGGCCAGCAGCAGCAGCACTTCAACTATCTATCCCACTCCCATAAGCTCTCCAAGACACTTCTACCAACTATCTATCCCACTCCCATAAGCTCTCCAAGACACTTCTACCCCCATCCCTCTCTTTACCGATCATAGCCTATGTATTTTACTCACTTACTTAAGCAAGCATTAAGACCTAAAGTCATGTTTAACACGAGTACTACGTCAATCTCACCTGCTCTCACCTTAAAATCCCAACAAAACCATCCAGATGTTTCCTCTAACGTATGCCTTACATTTTCATATGTAAAGTGAAATACAAGGTACACGAAACAAAAGGAACATCCTTCTCATGTTTATTCCCCTGGTTCCACATAACAATCTATGCAATGTGTCTTGATACCTATGTAACCATCGACATACTTAGACCCCTAGTTAAACATAACAATCTGTGCAATGTGTCAAAACACGTACATAACCATCTACACAATTAAGCCCCTGGTTCCACATAAAAATCTACGCAATGTGTCCAAATAACTACATAAACTAACCAGAAGACCCTAACAGCATACTCATCAGCATAACCAGCATCATAAATTGCAAAATCAAGGCTGAAGCAGTTGCTAAAAGGTTCCGCATCAATCACAATGATTAGGAAACGAAACGTCTAGCACCTCATACGAAAAGTGAGGCAATACATTAGACCAAATCACAGTCATCCAAACAAATACAATACGCTTTTCATTAGATAGGTAATAGTAATATGTTACGACTTAAGCATGTCAATCACAAAAAAATAAAAGGGCAAAAAGAAGCCATTGAGAAACATGATAAACTCGTCTAAATTCAAAAATTGGTCCAACCCATTACTTGAAATACAAATAAACTACAAACCGAATATCAATCTCTGCTAAGGGACCCCATATAGGTTCGCAATTGATTATAACATAAAAGTTTCCAACTGTTTTTTGCCAAATAAAATCTTAAACAAAGTGCCAAGTTAAGAGTCTCATCCACCTCAAAACCCGAGCTTGGTACGGCGCCAGTGCCTGCGCTTAGCATTGTACCTGAGGAAACACGACGCCGTATTAGAGCAACCAAATCCATTTTGATTATCAGAAAGATATATAGAAATGTGAAAGAAAAAATGTTTCTCACCTGATGGTGTTGTCGGTCCTCATGCGGATCCAGTGAGGAATGGGTCGGTTCTGCCTCATCTTCTTCGCCAGCTTCTTCTTGATCCTGAAGGTCTTGTGCGACGGCTGCAAATTCAATCCTTGAGATGAGAACAAGAATAGAGTCTAAAATTTGCACGTTCAGTGTCAAAGAAAGCTTACCATTTTCGCTGTGGGAGCTTCGGCTGGAGGAGCGACTTGCAGACAAAAACCCTAGCGATAGGAAACCCTATTGCTGAGTCTTGCAATTTATAGTTTATATCGATGGGTTTTATGGACTGTTGGGCCCTTACGAGATTATGAGTCTCAATGGAGGCTGATCATATTTGAGGAAGCGTCCAATTTCGAAGTAAAGGCCCATTTCTCAAATTGCACACAAGCGCATAAGACCTTGTTTTAGGGCTTGCCATGAACTGGACTAGGTCTATTAAATTCGATTATGTTTTAACCGCTTATCGTGAATTTATAAATAGTGAAATTTGCATTGGAGGTCTTAAATTCGATTTTTCCTTCTTTTGATATTGCTTGTATTAAAAATAAATAAATAAATTGTGAAACCTTACTTACTAAACAATTATTAACGTATTTTCTTTAAAAATCTAATATTGCAGTGGTTTTATTTGGGGAAAAAAAACATGGGAATTGTTGGGTTTTAGGATTAAGGGAGTGTTGAGCAAATTATAAGGTGTAAAGTAAACTGTAAAACGACATTGTCATACAGTACTCGTGCCGTAACGGGACAGTGCAAAACCGCCCAAACCCGCGCACGGAAATCCAAGTGTGAAATTCCGAAAGTAGCCCCAAACCCCTAAGGCCCATTCCACGCTCCAATCACCGCGTGACCTCACTCTCCTTCCCCCATCGGGATTCTGCAACCTCCTCTCTCCCACAGCCTCACTATCTTCCACATTCCAAACACTATAAAAGAGCCCCCCCTTCTCTCTCTATCGCCGTCTTTTCCCGAATTCGAACCTTCAAGCTTCGTTTTCTAGTGAGTTCCAGTGCTGGATTGGTTTGATAACATAGAATCGACGGTTCTGATTGATTCTTACAATTCAAACAATGCCTCGCGCTTCTAAAAGAAAAGCAGCTCCATCAACTTCGACTTCCGTCACATCCTGCGACGTCGTTCCACCGCGTGCCGGTATCTTGCTTTCCTCAGATTCTGATTGGTTCCCGATAAAAACTATAAGAAAAAAAAGAAGAAAAATTAAAAGCCACATATTTGTTTTATTTTCTTAGAGCGCAGAAGTTATGTGAATATTGCAGGCAGTTATGAGCTGGGTTAAGCTAGCAGAGCAGCAAAAACTACTCCTTTCTTCTTTTTTGTGATTATATTCTATTGGGCATGCATTAACTATTCGATTTCAAAGTTTTGGATTGTATTATAATTTGGCCTTGTTCATGCTGTTTAATCCAATTGCATCGCTTTGTTTTGATTTAGACTTTTAAAAATTTCAGTAGTTTTGTGTATTTGAATTTTGAGAAGCGGAACTATGATCTTCAAGCTATCTGGAAATTTTGTGATTTTGAAGTTTGAGTTGTCAAAATTACTTTATCACCCTTAACTTGTTGATTTAAGACGAAAGACAATTTTGAAGAAGAACTTTTGCGTGGCTTCTGGAATTTGGTATACTGTTTCGAAGATTTTATGATACCAATTGCCCTAAATAAACATAGAAGATTCCGTAGGTGTGATTTCTTTTTTGATTTATTTATGAGGAATAATATACTCACATGTTGGTGATGGATTAATAATATTCAAATTAATCTTACAATTTCTTTCTTCAACCATTTTTCCTATGATTTTATATGGTTCAAGTAATTACAAAATAATGCCATTGTACTGTAGGTGGAAATTTTCTATATAAAAGATAAAAAATTGTTTTTGCTTTTTAAGATATTGAACTAGCCCTGTAGAAAGGCTGCACATATTGGTCGTTATATTTGAATATGTTATGTCAGCTGTTGATCCTGCTTGTATCTGTTGTGCTTCTTCTTTTTTTTTCCTTGCTTGACAAGTTTAAGATATATTTTTGGTTTTTACTATGCAGTATTTGGTGTTCTAATGTTATTCAGTCTCAGGTAAATGTAAATCAAGAAAGGTGGTAGACCGGATAGGAAGCCTTTTTGAATTGTATGCAAACCAGTCATTAAACATGATTGAGTAAGTGTACAGTGCTTTGATAAGCATGCATTTATGAAGTGGTGATGTCAATTCCATATAGTAAGTATGCAGTGCTAAAATTCTGTTAACCTTCCTATACTCTTATGTTTGATTGAATAGCCCAGAAGGAATTGAGGCTCTTTGTTCGGATTTGGGAGTGGACCATACTAATGTTAGAATACTGATGCTTGCTTGGTAAGTTGGTATATTAGTTTTTGCTTACACGTTGTTGTGTGCATACTTCAATTAGTTATCTTATAACCTGATTGAAGTTCCTGAATACATGATTCAGGAAAATGAAAGCTGAAAAGCAGGGCTACTTTTCCAGGGTAAGACAGAACTGTATGGTTTAAGCAGATTTTCTTGTTTTCTTGTTTCCCAATTGGTGTTCTTATTTCTAATAGATTTAATGTTTTTGTTTCTGCAATATGCCCTCGTACATTGGATGTGATATATATGTAATATATATGCATGTAACTGATGAGTTACACAAAACAATGGTATTACAAAGAAGATAGTTGATTAACACAAAAGGAGGCGGCTACCCATAGTACGAGAATTTTAATTTTGGGACTCCAAGTGAAGGGCAAAGGAGTTACGTAAAAAGTACTAGGTTTGTAGGGTTTAAGCCTTTATACTAAGTTGCTAACTGTGAGAAAGATCATCTTATGACTCAGAAAACTATTTTGACACTTCAACTTGATAGAAAAGTACTGATCAGAAGTTGCAGTTTGGCAATAATAGGCACTTAATACAACAGTTAGGAAACAGGATACACTTTTCCATTGAGCTGGTCTGTAGAATTTTGTCCAGTATGTGGCTTTCCTGTGAAGAAAGTGAACTGGACAGGGACTAACTTCAAAAACTTAACAAAGATTCTTCAGTGTGTGTAGAGTTTGCTCTAATTGTTCAAGGTCCCTGGAATATTTGTTTTATCGGGAATAGGATCCTACTTCAAGGTTACTGTAATGAGGATAGCATGTGGCTGGCCCACTCAATGTGGCTGGCCCACTCAATGCTACCCAAGGCACTTGGAAATCCCCAAGACTAACTTTACCTGTGTTCCTAGCCTCTAAATAAATACGGTATGAGACCTCAATGTTCACTTCTAATTCTCATTTCTTTTTCTTTTTCTGTTTCTCTTTCCTGTCTTCTAATTAGGATGAGTGGCAAAGAGGCTTGAAAGAGCTACATGCCGACACTATTTCTAAATTAAAGAAAGCACTCCCAGGTTTGGAGAAAGAGGTATTCACATCTTCCTTTCTTTTCCTTTTGGATACTATTGGAGTCGTGATGGAATTGTAATTGAGGTGATTTGGTACATAATACTGGATGTTGCTTGAATTGAAAGGAAGAAATATTTGTTGGTACTGATCTTGCTTTTTGTGTTTTTGGATAGTTGATGACCCCACCCAAATTTGAAGATTTTTATGCATATGCATTTCGATACTGCTTGACAGGTGAGCTTAGTCTTGTGAGGCATTTTTTTTTCTTATATTAAGTGAAAACCTTTTTTTTCATGGAAATCTCTGTGTCAAATTGGTTAAATTTTCAGAAGAAAGGCAAAAGAGTGTAGACATTGAGACTGTATGTGAATTACTGAATCTCGTGTTGGGTCCCCTATACCGTCTCCAGGTTGATTTATTAATTAAGTATTTAAAGGTATGTAGCTGTGGCAGCTGTTCATGTTCCATTTCACTTTTCTTTTAAGTAATTGGCTCCTCAACACATTTGTTTTCTGAAATAGGTTCCACAATTGTTCTCTGATGCTTGGTTTTAATTTTGGCAGGTCCAAAGTGAGTACAGAGCATTAAATATGGATCAGTGGTTACATTTTTACCGTTTTTGCAAGGAGGTAAGCCTATTATTTTAGCTTTTATTTTGTCCAGAAATTCTAGTTCATATGTTTCTTTGTACCTTTTAACGTTTTGTTGTTGAGTTGCAGGGCCCGGAAAGTGGCCCTGGTTTTAAGATTATGCAATTAGATGAGTTTCTTGTTTGGCTTGAAATCCTAACCATGATTTTGGAAGGCTAAACATGTGTCAAAAAGGTACAAGATTATGATAAGACTATCCATTCGTGTAAAATAATTGGTAAGTGTGAGTTGTGTGATGAATCAGAATGCACTCAGGAATAATCTGAAGTCTAATTGACCTATTTGGTAGTTTAAACTCTTAAACACCAAACAATTGCCCAGAAGTGAAAACCTCCATTCGAGGGATATTAGCTCTTCCTGTACCTGGATCTAACTTTCTGACTTCTATACACCCCCCCCCCCCCCCCTCTCTCTCTCTCTCTCTCTCTCTCTCTCTCTCTCTCTCTCTCTCTCTCTCTCTGTGACTGAGTTGTTTTAATTCAATGAATCTTTACTTTTGGCAGATAAGTTTTCCGGACCTTCAAAACTATGATTCGGATCAAGCATGGCCTGTGATTATTGATAATTTTGTTGAATGGATGAGAGACAAGCAAAGCTAATTTTGGCATCCTCCTGTTAGAATACACTGCTGACCTATAAGAAGGTATAAGAATTCTCCTATTTTTATATCTTTCTTTTCTTCCCATTTATTGGGGGTGGATGTTGTAATTTATATTGCATCGTTGATTTTCAAACTAGAAGAATGGTTTAGATCCACATTTGTGACTTGACTTTGGTCTGTTTGATCGAATTGCAGGGGTTGGCAAGAATTCCAGCTATGGTTTTAACTAACAAACGATTTGTGCTTGCGTTTTTCTTCGAGGGGGTGGTTTGGAGAGCTGGCTCTCATGAGAAATGCTGCAGTTTTTGTGATGAGAAAATTTTGCAAGTGTCTAATTATGTAAAAAAGTTTTGCACTCTGTTTATTTTCCACTGCCCGTATTATTTAATTTGTGGTTTTCTTCTCTGAGCTGCTGTGAATTGCAGCTTCAATTGATAAAATTGTTGCATAGAATTTTTATTATAAAAAGAATGATAATAGTGTAACCAATTGCGATGAGCATACTATGATTGATGCATTCTAAAATCTTTGGATAGGAAAGGGAAAAAAGAAGAAGGAAAGACTATCATGGATGGATGGAGTATTTAAACATTCGTGATTCTTTGAATTGATTGAGATGAACTAATCCGTAATCCAAATCAAAATAAGGAGTTGAATCTGGCTACCCATCAAGTTCAATAACAATGACTTCAAAATTTGATAACACGGGCACGTACATGCAGGCCGCGCATTTGTAACTTGTCAGCCTAGTTATTATTGTACACAAACAATCGTACATTTATTTTCCTTTCATAATGTAAAATGGAAATCTCCAACCGACTCAAATTAATCCTCTACTACACATAAAATAAATTGGGTTCAATTCAATAATGACTAGTCACTCAATGAATCGATGCTTTATATATATTAAACACAAAATAGCGGTGAGTTTCTATATGATCATCAATTGAGAATTTTATCTTAGACGGCTGAAATCTCTTGCAAAATCGAACGAAACCCATGTAACACTCTTCTCATTCGTCGAGAATCCATGAATTTGAAGCTGTAGTTTAAGAAAATGTACATATTAAGAATGAATTATTTTGGAAACTAAGTTTAAGATTAATGAAAAGAATCTTAATTATCATCAAGAAAAAGTTGGTGAATTTACCATGCGCCGAAATCTTCCAGTCGCTATCATATGTGAGGGCCCAAAAGAAGTATCCCCGTAGCCCAAGGGCTTGAGCGTACCCTATCTTGGAGATTGTAGTAAACGCATCATCAAACGAAACCCATGAAGACCCGTTAAAAGAATATACTGTCATAGTGTCCACGTCATACACTACGGTTGCGCCCGATTGGTTCAGCAGAGTCTCCACCTGGTGGAACAACAGCTGCCCACCTCCTGGGCCTGGCCCAACAGCAGTAGCTCCAATACTATGATTATTTGGGTCTTTGAGCTCCCATGTCCTGCCGTAGAGTGGCAAGCCCATAACTAGCTTATTTGGGGGTATCCCGGCCTTGATCCACGACCTAAGCCCGTGTATGGAGTTTACGTTACTCTTCGGGTCAAGCAATGCTGCATTGGGCCCTGTGGTATTGCTCCAAGCCCCGTTATAGTCGAAACACATTGCATTAATCCAGTCCAAGTATTTATTCATGTGCGGCATGGGGTAGGTGCGGCGGACATTGGCCAAGAAGAAGTCGGCCGAGAAGTAGACGGCGGCGGTGAGTAGGAGAGGAGGGCGGGCTGTGGATTTGGCCTCTTTCTTGAGTGCGTGGCGCCATTCTTTGAGCAAGTTGCCCAAGTCCTTCATTTCTTTTGGGCTTTGAGGGAATTCCCAATCAAGATCCAGCCCATCAAACCCAAACTTACGTGCAACCTCTATGGCAGAGTGTATGAAATGTGAACGTGAGGAGGGCTCCGAGGCCATGCGAGCAAAGATTTTAGGTAGTTTTGGGTCATCTCCGCCACCACCTAAGGACAAGAGGGTCTTCACTGGTGGCTGTTTGTGATGGAGGGTGGTGGTGAAATTGGAGAGAAGCAAAACTGTTGAATTTGACAAGTCAAATTTGAAAGTGACATCGTTTGGCACAAGAAAGGCATAGAAGATGTGAGTGAAGAATGATGTGTTTATAGCTGAAGGTGGGAAATCATCTGACAACCATGAAGGATAATAGGCCGACTTCACAGGGGGAGGAGGGTGCGAAAGCGAGTCTGCCATACAGCCAGTGTTGAAGATCATCAAGGAACATGAAAGCAAAAGAATATGCACCAAGTCATTGAGGCTTGCCATTTCTAGGCTGTGAGAAAAGTAGACTGACTACCCAGTGGTAACTAGGAAGGGCTGTATGCTATATATTATTCGAAGCTTGAAACGTATTTGGTGTATAGTTTTTGTATTTATCCACCACAGCGTGCATTAAAGAAATAAGAATGCATGCATATAAAAATGATGGCTTGCCTATATAATCCAGAACGTGGTTGTAAGTAATTTAAGTAATTTCGAGTTAAGAATTGTCGTTGTTTTTGACTGCTACTAGTACTATCTATTCTATTCTAGAAATTAAGCCGTCCGTTATAACTTATTCAGAGCAGTGTTGTGTTGTAGAACTAAAAACAAGAGAGTAGCATTCAACTTATATGTATATATATATACATTCTATTTAGTTAATTCTAAAATTAAATAGTCATTTATTTACAACAGTGAGAATATTATATTATCAAGTGTCCAAAGTTTGATTTTGTGGATTTTGTGGTCGTCTCTACATTTGATGTATGCTTGTGGAGATGATCAACGCTTGGACAGGGAAGTCACGAGTAAGCAGAAGATCCAATCATAACAACACAGGCTTCACAAGCAAATGGTTTTTAAAACCAACCTTAGAACGACAACATACCATATAATGTTACTTTAAACCACTTGTCTTAACTTAATTGCCGTCACTAATTTTTATAACGGTCGAAATCAATGATGAAGGTGGTTGTTAGGAGAGGCCATTGTTTACCCCTCTAACTTCTGACAGAAATGCTAATACTTCTCATTTGGTGGTGGTTTTCGTTTGGAACAGGGCACTGAGTGGACATGTTATTCTGTTGTTTTTCATGTTCAGTTGTGTTTGTCTGGGAATAGTGCAGGCTGGATTTGAATTTTTTTTCTTGCAGTTTTTGTTTTTGTTGTATAAAAGAATTTCGTACAAACAAAACAAAAAATTTGGCATATCCTCTCCTTGGTCTAAGCCTATAACCACTAGTTCAATGTTCAAATGACTTGCCTCATCAGTTCCCTCCCTTCTCTCGGCACAGGAATTGCAAATTTTTAATTCAACCAAATATTGTAATGTTTAGAACATGTAGGCCTCCAGATGAAGAATACAAAGTTGCTAAAATCTTGTATACTTCATAGAGTATATGACCACCCACATTCTTGAGCCTATGAACTCAAAACACTGAAAATGAAAAACTAATGTCTCCTATTCTGAGCCTGCATTTTCATCGGGGTTGCAATTCGGAAATTTCTGCATCATTAATTGAACAACTTCCTTTCTGCGATGTAGATATGTTTTCCATACTTCTATTTCCTGAGAAAGCCATCTTTGTAGGAGTGGGAATGGGTTCGGTATCAGTTTTGAGCATGGAACAAACTTCCAACATTGTAGGCCTATCCTCCGGATTTTCCTGGACACATAATAGAGCTACTTGCAAGCATCTCGATAATTTACAAGAAGAAGAAGAATCATCCAGTAATGGATCAATAAATTCTCTTCCTTTGTCCTCTTTCCATGATTGATATGCCTGAAATAGTTTGAATGTTACTTCAAATATAGTTTAGATCTAAGTAATAGTTTACATTAGTGGTGATAGAGACAGCTATGGAACTTACATATTGCAAGAGGTGCAAGTTTTCGTCCGGACCATAGTAACATGTGCTCCTCCTTCCACTAATCATTTGTAAAAGTAGAACCCCAAAGCTGTAGACGTCGTACTTCGTAGAGTATATACCTTTTCTTACATATTCAGGAGGAACATAGCCACTGCATTGCATACCACAACAAGTATTAAAGGATATGAGCATGTGTGTCTGTGAATAACCAAAAAGAGGCAGTTTACTTACTATGTTCCAACAATCCGGCTTGTGTTCGCTTCAAGTTCATCTTTTCTGAAAAGTTTAGCCATTCCAAAATCTGATATCTTAGCATTCATTTCGTGGTCAAGTAAAATGTTGCTACCTTTCAGATCTCGGTGAATAATTGTAAAATTGGAGTATTCTTGAAGATATAGGAGTCCTTGGGTAACCCCTTCAATGATGTGCACACGCTTTGTCCAGTCTAGAAGATACCGTCTGATAGGATCTGCAAGATATCAAATTCAGGACCAATGAGGTAGGCAAAGGAGCAAGAGACAGACAAATTAAAAGTCACAGGTTTCTGCACCATAAGCTTAGATGGCTTAACAAGTGATTTTTGTTTGCTTAATATACAGTAGTGTGGGCTCAGTCCTCAAGAATATGCTTGTCTAACTATTTGGAGAGTTTCAATGAGTTTAACACCCCCATCTTTACCTCTTAGAGGAGATGTTAAGACCCACTGAAACTTACAGAATGCAAAAGTGTTGTGTTATGCTAGCCTGCACTCTCAACCATAACAGGACGAATGAAAAATTGCAGACCAAAAAGGTAGAAGTCCAAGCTTTTGTTGGGCATGTACTCGTAGATCAGCATTTTTTCTTCCTTCTCAGTGCAAAATCCAAGAACTCGAACTAGATTTACATGTTGTAGTCTTGCAGTAAGTGTAACCTCATTTCTAAATTCCTCAAGTCCTTGAGTTGACGTTTTTGAAAGTCTTTTCACTGCGATTTCCCGTCCTCCTCGCAATTTACCCTTGAAAAATTGAAGAAAACCATGGTTAGTTAAGTTAGCATGGTTTAGTAAAAAGAAAATCCAGATTTATATCTGATCAAAAGATGAATCTAAAAATGGTATCACTCTCACTGTTCACCAGAATGTACCACTTAATTAACACAAGGTGAAGGTGACTCTGCTTTCAGTTGTTGATAAGCTTTTGGTTCAGCATGAGGGGAATTAGTAGCCAATGATCATAGAAACAGCTTTAAGCCTGAAGTTTTTTTTTGTTCCCTTTTCTTGGTAGCAGGAAATAGTTCAGGTAAAGAGTTTTTTATTGATATGTACATCTCGTTGTTTTAAAAGTAGCAGCAGATTACACACAAGGGCACACATACAACCACAAGTATTAAATCCCAGTTCCCACAGTGTAAACTTATGTTAGATAAGGTAGCAAATATTACCATGTAAACAGGACCAAACCCTCCCTCTCCAAGCTTGTTTTCACTTGAGAAGTTATTTGTTGCCGCTTTGATATTGGAAAAGCTGAATGCTTGCAGAGTTGGAGGATCACTGTTAAGATCTGATGTATTAGTAGACCTTGAATTCCCAAGAATAATCATCCCTGAAACCAGAAGGAAAAAATATAAAAAGTGAAAATGCAAATGCAAAACTCTTGATGTAAATTCGAAAAGTGGATTTATCTTTGTCTAATTGCTATTCGAAACAAACAATAACAGTGAGAAAAATAACCTTTTGTCTTCAACAATTTTCTTTGTAAGTAACACACCACGAAGGCTATGAGGATTATGATCAAAGTAATTGGAAGCAAAACTATAAGCAATAACCGCCGCTTGTTTTCTTGATCATTTTCTTCCTCTTGAACTGTCATTTACTAAACCAGTTAGAAGTAGAATAAATGGATCTCCATTAGAAAATAAGTTGATTTATGCAGATAGCCTGCTGTCAAAATTAAACTTCCTTCAGGATATAAAATTGAGTTTTATGCCATGTCAAAAACAGAGCATAAAAAATCACTTCGGCCAACCTGCCCGAGAAAGCGCCCAATCGTCATCATTGGTGACTTGAAACACATTGGTACCAAGTAGCTGCTTCTCCTTGACATATGCAATCTTAGTTCTGATAGCTTCCACATCATCAAAACCAATCCAACTCGACCCTATGATGCAATAGTTCACAACATAAGTAGCATTGTACACTATGGGAGCTCCGTAGCTTCGAATGAACCGCTTGATGTACGTATAGCTCATGGATCCGTCTTTCGTCTCAGCTATGCCGGCTGCAGGTGCCCCAACTCCATTATTGTCTTTGGGGTGCACAAGTGTCCACGCATAGCCATGGTAAGGCAAACCCAAAACCAGTTTGCTAGCAGGAAACGAGTTGTTTAGCCATTGCTTTATACCATAGTGGGTGTTAACATGGCTTGACGGGTCATATAAAGCAGCATGAGCACCAGTGACATTCTCCTTAGAAGGCAGATGATAGTCATATGCCATAACATGTGCCCAATCCAAGTTCCTCTTCATAGATTCAATCGGATAACTCAACGATTCGAAAGCAGGCAAATAACGAATGGCCATTGTTAATATCAACCGTGACTGGTCACTGGAGTTTCTTGACTCAGAATTCACAGCAGCTCGCCACTCATCCAATAATTTTGCCATGTTGATCATATCAGAGGCTGTGTTAGGCCAAAGCCAAAGCAAGTCTATACCTTGGAAGCCATAAAGCCTTGCTGTTTTGATTGAAGACTCAATGAAAGACTTTCTGTTAGAAGATTCGTTGACCATTGAGGAGAAGACTGAATAGTTAACTTTCTGACCCAAAATTGATTGAGCTGTTGCAGCTTGTCCATTCCAGATGGATAGGAGTGTTATGACTGATGGGTTTTTGCGCTTGACGACACTGGTGAAGATGGAGAAGGATGACTCTTGAGAGAAAGGGATGGAGAGCTGGTAGGTGGAGGAATTCAGATCAGCAGAAGCACAAATAAGATGAGTGAACAAGGCAGAGTTGATGTCAGGTATGGGAGACTCGCTACCGGCGTACCAGTAACCAGCTCTGATCCAAGTTCGTGCGGAGGAACAAGAATAAAATTGAGATGAAATAAGGAAGATGATGAAGAGGATAAGGAGAGTGATATTTTTTGATCCCATGGACATGGACATAAAAAGCTAGTTTGATTTTTCCTCGTACAAGATGACTAGTTTCTACTACTACGTAATAATACATATATATATATATACATGGCATCATCATCATATGGGCAGATATTTCGGTGTGACTTGCAACATGTCTTGTGGACAGTGGAAACAAAATCTTCAGTGCCATTTTAGAAAACCTCAATAATGAATGAGAGTGAGAGTGAGAGTGAGAGACCACTTACACACCGTTCCTTATACGTAATTGTGCAAGGGGCTTTGATCTAAGCAGGTTCAGCCTAACCTCTGCATTAAGTTCTTGTGAAGTGAACGATGAGCACCCACCATGGACCATGATACATACTGGACAAATTAATGTCGTAATATTTGGATTGAGCGAGCGCACCATCCACCAGCCAAACCAGTCACTCAAACTGAAGCCAACCATAAATCAGCATGCCGCAAGCTACACCTACTAAAACATCATCGCCAGCCCAACATATTAACCAAGCCCAAGGTAAATAGATGCCCAGCTCATTGAAATGATATTTGTTCATTTGGAGAAATCTAGAAAGGTGGAGAAGTCTTCACCGCCTATGCAAAGTCAGCAACACTTGGATCAATTTGCAAGATAATTCTAGAAAAGTAGAAAGTGAGAAAGAGCGCTTATAAGAGTTGGTCTTTCCTTTGAGAGTTGTCAAAGCAAATTGCATTACGGTTAAGGAACCTAATATTCTGACTATCATACAAAACTTTGCCTCACGAAAGATATGCGCCCAATATTTCTGAGTGTGACGGTGAAATGTTGATTTCCTGGACCTAATATTCTATATCCCGTTTTTAATCATAGAAATTGAACATACTATTTATTAAAGGTTTAAATAATTCAAAATACAACTATGATTAAAAACGGCAAATAGAAAATGTGAGCACAAACACTTGTTTGATCACGTCATTATAAGATGACAGGTATTTAGTACAATCATTCTACCTAAAAATTTATCCAAGGCTAACCACTAAAGCTCAAATGTGATTCTTAGCTTAGGCTTCTTGATTCGTGTTATTCAACACTGTACAATTTTCATGTAGGTATTTTTCAGATGATTACATGTAAACATTTATACAGTAATTGCGCCCATTAGAACACCAATGAATATAGCCGGCTCACCGTGGCTTGTTGTGCCCATTTTTCTGGTAGTGTCACTAATTAATTATGGTTACTTAAAAGCGGCCTCTAAATACATTCTTGGCGGTTGGCAGTCATTATATTAATTCCATGTTGCTAATATAAAAAGCTTGTTTCCTGTTAAATTATCATTCTAATGTAAAGTCTAAAGCGAGAAGCGACCCATTCAAATTAATTCCTGATTCAAAAAGAAATCCTAATGCTGCTGCAGTGCTGCTGCTGAGACTCAGTTAGAATATTGGTCAAGAGAATGTATGCTTGTGGAGATGATCAATGCTTGGACAGGGAAGTCACGAGTAAGCAGTAGCTCCAATCATAACAACACAGGCTTCACAAGCAAATGGTTTTTAAAACCAACCTTAGAACGACAACATAACATATAATGTTACTTTAAACCACTTGTCTTAACTTAATTGCTGTCACTAATTTTTATAACGGTCGAAATCAATGAATCAATGATGAAGGTTGTTGTTAGAAGAGGCCATTGTTTACCCCTTTAACTTCTGACAAAAATGCTAACACTTCTCATTTGGTGGTGGTTTTCTTTTGGAACGGGGCTCTGAGTGGACATGTTATTCTGTTGTTTTTCATGTTCAGTTGTGTTTGTCTGGGAATAATGCAGGCTGGATTTGAATTTTTTTCCCTGCAGTTTTTGTTATTGTTGTATACAAGAATTTCGTACAAACAAAACAAAAAATTTGGCATATCCCCTCCTTGGTCTAAGCCTAACCACTAGTTCAATGTTCAAATGACTTGCCTCAGCAGTTCCCTCCCTTCTCTCTGCACAGGAATTGCAAATTTTTATTTCAACCAAATATTGTAATGTTTAGAATATGTAGGCCTCCAGATGAAGAATCCAAAGTTGCTAAAATCTTGTATAATTCATAGAGTATATGACCACCCTCATTCTTGAGCCTAAGAACTCAACCATTGAAAATGAAAAACTAATGTCTCCTATTCTGAGCCTGCAATTTCATCGGGGTTGCAATTCGGAAATTTGTGCATCATTAACTGAACAACTTCCTTGCTGCGGTGTAGATGCGTTTTCCACACTTCCATGTCCTGAGAAAGCCATCTTCGTAGGAGTGGGAACGGGTTCAATGTCAGTTTTGAGCATGGAATAAACTTCCAACATTGTAGGCCTATCCTCCGGATTTTCCTGGACACATAATAGAGCTACTTGCAAGCATCTCGATAATTTACAAGAAGAAGAAGAATCATCCAGTGATGGATCAATAAATTCCCTTCCTTTGTCCTCTTTCCATGATAGATATGCCTGAAATAGTTTGAATGTTACTTCATATATAGTTTAGATCTAAGTAATAGTTTCCAGTAGTGGTGATAGAATCATAGACAGCTATGGAACTTACAAATTGCAAGAGGTGCAAGCTTTCGTTTGGACCATAGTAACATGTGCTCCTCCTTCCACTAATCATTTGCAAAAGTAGAACCCCAAAGCTGTAGACATCGTACTTTGTAGAGTATATACCTTTTTTTACATATTCAGGAGGAACATAGCCACTGCATTGCATACCACAACAAGTATTAAAGGATATGATCATGTGTGTGTGAATAACCAAAAAGAGGCAGTTTACTTACTATGTTCCAACAATCCGCTTTGTGTTTGCTACAAGTCCATCTTTTCTGAAAAGTTTAGCCATTCCAAAGTCTGATATCTTAGCATTCATTTCATGGTCAAGTAAAATGTTGCTACCTTTCAGATCTCGGTGAATAATTGTAAAATTGGAGTATTCTTGAAGATATAGGAGTCCTTGGGTAACCCCTTCAATGATGTGCACACGCTTTGTCCAGTCTAGAAGATACCGTCTGATAGGATCTGCAAGATATCAAATTCAGGACCAATGAGGTAGGCAAAGGAGCAAGAGAGACAAATTAAAAGTCACAGGTTTCTGCACCATAAGCTTAGATGGCTTAACAAGTGATTTTTGTTTGCTTAATATACACTAGTGTTCCTCAAGAATACGCTTGTCTAACTATTTGGAGAGTTTCAATGAGTTTAACCCCCCCATCTTTACCTCTTAGAGGAGATGTTAAGACACACTGAAACTTACAGAATGCAAAAGTATTGTGTTATGCTAGCCTGCACTCTCAACCATAAAAGGAAGCATGAAAAATTGCAGACCAAAAAGGTAGAAGTCCAAGCTTTTGTTGGGCATGTGCTCGTAGATCAGCATTTTTTCTTCCTTCTCAGTGCAAAATCCAAGAACTCGAACTAGATTTACATGTTGTAGTCTTGCAGTAAGTGTAACCTCATTTCTAAATTCCTCAAGTCCTTGAGTTGACGTTTTTGAAAGTCTTTTCACTGCGATTTCCTGTCCTCCTCGCAATTTACCCTTGAAAAAATTGAAGAAAACCATGGTTAGTTAAGTTAGTATGGTTTAGTTAAAAGAAAATCCAGATTTATATCTGATCAAAAGATGAATCTACAAATGGTATCACTCTCACTGTTCACCAGAATGTACCACTTAATTAACACAAGGTGAAGGTGACTCTGCTTTCAGTTGTTGATAAGCTTTTGGTTCAGCATGAGGGGAATTAGTAGCCAATGATCATAGAAAAAGCTTTAAGCCTAAATTTTTTTTTGTTCCCTTTTCTTTGTAGCAGGAAAGTAGGAATGGGGTAGTTCAGGGAAAGAGTTTTTTATTCATATACATCTCATTGTTTTAAAAGTAGCAGCAGATTATACACAAGGGCACACATACAACCACAAGTTTTAAATCCCAGTTCCCACAGTGTAAACTTATGTTAGATAAGGTAGCAAATATTACCATGTAAACAGGACCAAACCCTCCCTCTCCAAGCTTGTTTTCACTTGAGAAGTTATTTGTTGCTGCTTTGATATTGGAAAAGCTGAATGCTTGCAGAGTTGGAGGATCACTGTTAAGATCTGATGTATTAGTAGACCTTGAATTCCCAAGAATAATCATCCCTGAAACCAGAAGGAAAAAATATAAAAAGTGAAAATGCAAATGCAAAACTCTTGTTGTAAATTCGAAAAGAGGATTTATCTCTGTCTAATTGCTATTCGAAACAAACAATAACAGTGAGAAAAATAACCTTTTGTCTTCAACAATTTTCTTTGTAAGTAACACACCACGAAGGCTATGAGGATTATGATCAAAGTAATTGGAAGCAAAACTATAAGCAATAACCGCCGCTTGTTTTCTTGATCATTTTCTTCCTCTTGAACTGTCATTTACTAAACCAGTTAGAAGTAGAATAAATGGATCTCCATTAGAAAATAAGTTGATTTATGCAGATAGCCTGCTGTCAAAATTAAACTCCCTTCAGTATATAAAATTGAGTTTTATGACATGTCAAAAACATAGCATCAAAAATCACTTTGGCCAACCTGCCCGAGAAAGCGCCCAATCGTCATCATTGTTGACTTGAAACACAATGGTACCAAGTAGCTTCTTCTCCTTGACATATGCAATCTTAGTTCTGACAGCTTCCAAATCATCAAAACCAATCCAATTCGATCCTATGATACAATAATTCACAACATAAGTAGCATTATACAATATGGGAACTCCGTAGCTTCTAATGTACCACTTGATGTATTTATAGCTCATGGATCCATCTTTCGTCTCAGCTTTTCCGGCTGCAGGTGCCCCAATTCCATTATTTTCTTTGGGGTTCACAAGTGTCCACGCATAGCCATGGTAAGGCAAACCCAAAACCAGTTTGCTAGCAGGAAATGAGTTGTTTAGCCATTGCTTTATACCATTGTTGGTGTTAACATGGCTTGACGGGTCATATAAAGCAGCATGAGCACCAGTAATATTCTCCTTAGCAGGTAGATGATAGTCATATGCCACAACATGTGCCCAATCCAAATTCCTCTTCATAGATTCAATCGGGTAACTCAATGATTCGAAAGCAGGCAGATAACGAACCGCCATTGTCAATATCAAGCGTGACTGATCACTAGAGTTTCTTGACTCAGAATTCACAGCAGCCCCCCACTCATCCAATAGCTTTCCCATGTTGATCATATCAGAGGTTGTCCTAGGCCAAAGCCAAAGCAAGTCTATACCTTGAAAGCCATAAAGCCTTGCTGTTTTGATTGAAGACTCAATGAAAGACTTTCTGTTGGAAGGTTTGCTGGCCATTGAGGACAAGACTGAATAGTTAGCTTTCTCACCCAAAATTGATTGATTTGTTGCAGCTAGTCCATTCCAGATGGACAGGAGTGTTATGACTGATGGGTTTTTGCGCTTAACGATACCGGTGAAGCTGGAGAAGGATGGCTCCTGAGAGGAAGGGATGGAGAGCTGGTAGGTGGAGGAATTTAGATCAGCATAGGCACAAATAAGATGAGTGAACAAGGCAGAATTTATGTCAGGTATCGGGGACTCGCTATCGACATACCAGTAACCAGCTCTGATCCAAGTTTGTGCAGAGAAACAACAATAAAACTGAGATGAAATAAGGAAGATGACGAGGAAAAGGTGGGTGACATTTTTTGATCCCATGGATATAAAGCAAGTTAATTAAAAAGGGAGAAGAAAACTAAGACATTGAAGATAATTGAAGATCATAATTGGTACTTAATAGGAAATTACAATCTTCGTGGAAACAACACTTCACTTATTTCTATATTTTAGATGGACGGACCCTTTGACCTACTACTAGCAACATCGATATTGTCCCTAATTTCACCACCTATTTAGAAGGTGTGGGAGGTCTCGATGTTATTAGGAGTGGAGCCATTTATTATATGGGACTTTATATTTTGTTAAGTATCCGATGTGGGACTGTGTGTATTCTTTAACATACTTTATACGAGACCACTTACCTTCCGTACGTGATCTAAGCAGATATTTTATAGTGGCGGCCCTAGTTTGGCCGTAACTCTGCATGGCTGCCTTGTTTGCATTTGCAGGAAAATCATGATATTGGACTGGACAGATTAATGGAGATTGCATTGCAGCCAAACCAATCAATCAAGCCCTTGTTTTTTTTTATTCTAAATATAAATAAATCAGCAGGATGAGGAGGGTGTGTGTGAAATGGAGTAATCATGCCACAAGCAAGTCTCTGGATTTAGTTGAAGAAGACGCACGTGGCATGGAATGGAACACTTTTGCCACCAAAGTTTTTGTGAAATGTAAATTCTTTGAAAAGTTTGTCTGGCCACGAAAGCGATGGCAAGCCAAGAGACAATTTCCTGGAGCCCTTCTTCTGCCAACTCTAGACTTCATACATGGTTCAGATTAAAACACATCGTGTATGCCATTCATTTCCACTTTCTTTCTTCTCTTTCTTAAAATTCTTTGAAAAGTTTGTCTGGCCACGAAAGCGATGGCAAGCCAAGAGACAATTTCCTGGAGCCCTTCTTCTGCCAACCCTAGACTTCATACAGGGTTCAGATTAAAACACATGGTGTATGCCATTCATTTCCACTTTGTTTCTTTCTGTTTCTATAAAGAAAGAGAAGAAAGAAATAAGCTCACAAATGAAAAGTGAAAACCCAATAATACCCTCGATGTTTTTGCCAGTTCGTACTTTTGCAGATCAGGACATACTTGGGTTAAGTGTCACTAATTAATTATGGTTACTTAACCGCGGCCTCTAAAGTCTTTTTTGTTTTGTTTTCTGGGCTCCAAAATACATTCTTGGCGGTTGGCAGTCATTATATTAATCCCATGTTGCTAATATATAAAGCTTGTTTCCTGTTAAATTATCATTCTAATGTAAAGTCTAACGCGACCTATTCAAATTAATCCCTGGTTCAAAACGAAATCCTAATGCTGCTGCTGCTGAGACTCGGTTAGAATATTGGTCAAGAGAATGTAAACTTTTCTTCTTCATTAATCAGTTCTGTGCAGACGTTGCAAAGCTTCAAACTGTATGCAGGCAATTTTGCGAATGTCCGCGCGCAGGCAGGCCACACAAATACTTTTGTGTTAAACCAAAGGCCGGCAGCTTGATAGATGAGATATTAGTGGCATATATGTTTTAAATTCAACGCCTATAGTTTAGTTTGTATATCAACCGTCTAGTTTAATAGAACTAGTGGGTTCATTTCTTCCGACTATCAACTTAATTTCAAGTTCAAACTTATGAGCCTAGCCATTAGAATACAAGAGCAATCCAGCGATAAAAGGATGCCAGGCTGCTGCAGCAAATCATTCTACAACTCAATCTCAATGGATTCTAAAACCCAAAACCATTACTTTTTTGCTTCTGGCCCTCCTTGTTTTAACTTGTCCACATTATTTCTGCAACTGCAGCTGGCAGCGGCATAAATGTTGTTAAAGCAGGTTACTGGTACAGTCATCCGGCTTCTGCCGTAGACTCCACCTTATACACTCACTTGTTTCTTGCTCTTGCTGATGTTGATCCCAAAACTAACCAAGTCATCATTTCCCCTCAAGACCAACCCCAATTCTCCAACTTCACACGCACAAGTCCAACAAAGAAACCCTTTTGTCAAAACCCTTTTATCAATAGGTGGAGCATCAGCTTCCAGTAGGGCAGCTTTTGCCTCAATGGCTAGCCAACCAAGCTCCCACAAAACATTCATCGATTCCTCCATAAACATTTCCAGGTCTTATAACTTCCATGGCCTTGACATTGACTGGGAGTTCCCAGCCACGGCCACTGACATGGCCACTTTTGGCACCCTCCTCGCAGAGTGGTGAGCCGCGGTGACCAATGACCAAGACATTTGGCAAGCCCCTACTGCCTCTAGTGGCAGCGGTCTACTACTCTGCAACTTACTACTCATTGTTGCACCCCATTCAGTCCATAAAAAACAACTTGGACTGGATCAATGTGATGTCATATAGCTTTTTTGCCCCTGGTTGGTCTCCCAATGTAACAGGACCCCCTGCTTCCTTGTACAACCCAATCAGTCCTATCAGTGGGGATTCTGGGATCACTGCTTGGCTTCAGGCAGGTATGCCTCCGAAAAAAATTGCATTTGGCCTTCCGTTTTATGGCTATGCATGGAACCTAACAGACCCAAATCAGCATAGTATTTTTGCACCAGCCGAAGGAATGGCAGTGCCGCCAGACGGGTCAGCCAGTTACAACCTGATCAAGGCATATATAGCTGAGAATGGTGCACCAACTGTGTTTAATTCCACACTTGTTATGGATAATGGATTATTCCTATACTAGGAAGACTTGGATTGGTTATGAACTTATGATGATACGCAGAGTATCACTACCGAAGTTTCATATGCTAAGGGAAAGGGACTAGTTGGCTACTTTGCATGGAATGTTGGCATCGATGTGAATTGGACTCTTTCACAAGCAGGTATATATGACATTGACAACAACCCTCTTTCATGTTCTTGTATTTGTATATATAGTTGATCATTAATTAATTGTACTTTACTGATGCCTAATGTGAATGTCAAATTTGTTTGCAGCTTCATGCGCATGGGGAGCATATTAGGGACACTACACTAGCTACTTTTCCTATCAATAAGAAGATCAAGATGTAGTGCCATTTGTATTTAGCCTAATCAGAGGCGATTTGTATTCTTTAATAAGATGTAATTCTTCATCATGCATTCATATAGTACAGATAATAGAAAAATCAAAATTTCTTTTTTAAGAGGTGAAACGTGTAAAGCTCAGTAAGCTGTGAGAATATAATATGCATAGAGATGCCATAGAGATGTTGGAAGTTGTCAACTCATTGTACTGCTAGCCTGGAGCTCTCACTTTGTAAAGTTTGTAGTAAGATGTTTGTCTCTGTGTGTTTTCTTTTGTTAATAATTATAAAGTTGTGTGAGTGAGCTCATTGTTTTCTAGTATTGACATTGAGCTGCCAACCTTCTACTGCAGGGGAAATATAAATGAATTTTCCACACAAAAGTCCAAGTTTTCGTATTGGATTGTGACGGGTTTTTTGGGTATCTTATTCTTCATAATCAGATTACATTTACAGTAAACAATTACATTGGTAGATAAAGAAACATCGGTAAAACTTGCCGCACATAATAAACTTCCATTGTTAGACTCATAGATGAACCGAACAGAACCACCCCAAACTCATAATTGGTTCACTTCATGCCTAAACTAAAGAAACCTATAATTCCAAATTCTGCAACATTGTAGTGTGACCCCTGAGGGACCTCTTCCCCTTACCAACTTTGTAGTAAGTAGACTGCATTAATGTAATATACACCTAATAACTTACTAGGAAATACATGACTAATAAATTCTAAGAATAGTTTGACTAGTGGCAGAGCGGTTATGCCTAAGAGTAAAAGGAAAAAGAATTGAAAATCTGATTGAACTTTGTTTTACAAAGCACTGAGCATGTACCACCACTCATCGGCCTACAACCTCTGAGATTGTTGAATCATCAATGGAACACACTTCTAGCCGCAGTGCAGGATTATTTTCTTTGTCTTCATTTCTTTTTGAAAAAGCTGGCATTTTCGGTATTTCCATTACAGCACTTTCACTCTGTAGCATCGAAGAAATTTCCAACATGGAAGGCCTATCATTTGCATTTTCTTGAACACATAGGAGAGCAATCTGCAAGCATCTCATCAATTTACATAATGAATGTGTATCATCAAGTGAAGGATCCATAAACTCCATCCCTTTGCCTTCTTTCCAAAGTTCATATGCCTGAAATTATTGAATGTAATTGAAACGTGAAGATTTAATTCTTAGCAAAGCAGAAGCAAATATTAATTCTGATGTAACTGTGCTTATTGAAGTAACTTACATATTCTAGAAGGTTTAAGTCTTCATTTGGACCATAGAAAGCGGCATTCTTCTTGCCACTTATGATCTGTACAAGGAGAACTCCAAAGCTATAAACATCTGATTTCGTGGAGTATAGACCGTTTTTAACATATTCAGGAGGTACATAGCCACTGCACAAAATGATTTAGAAGATTACTTACCAAAGTATCCAATAATAGAAAGCTCAATTAAAAAAGTAGCTTTATTAGGAAATAGAGTTACTATGTTCCAACGATCCGGCTTGTGTTTGCCTCTTGTTCATCTTTTGTGAAAATTCTAGCCATACCAAAATCTGAGATCTTAGGCCTCATCTCCTCGTCAAGTAAAATGTTGCTAGCTTTCAGATCTCGATGGATTATTGTCAATCTTGAGTATTCTTGGAGATAAAGAAGTCCCTGAGTAACCCCTTCAATAATGCTAACACGCTTTCTCCAATCTAGTTGATACCTTCTGATAGGATCTACATTGAAACAGATGCTGTCCAATCAGTTCTGCATTGAAATATACTGAAAAATGCATGGAATAGTAGAGACACCATAGGACATCCCTTACAAGCTTACACTATGTTCAGCTTAAAGCTGTGTGGCACAAGGAAGTGAAACCACCAGGAACTAGTGGATTGTCATCTTTTGCATGAAAGCAGCGAAATCTCATATCGACTTACCAAAGAGGTAGAGGTCCAAGCTTTTCTTTGGCATGTACTCATAAATCAGCATTTGTTCATGGTGTTCGATGCAGAATCCCAAAACCCTGACAAGATTAACGTGTTGTAGTTTTGCTGTAAGCATGACCTCGTTCTTGAATTCCTCAAATCCTTGAGTTGAAGCTTTCGAAAGTTTTTTCACAGCTATTTCTTGTCCATTTGGCAGTACACCCTAGCAAGTTATGTAGACACTCATGGTTAGCACGTTTAAAGGGGACAACCTGGTGCCATGATATGCCCCATTATAAAAGTTTACCTTATAAACTGGACCATAACCACCCTCTCCAAGCTTATTTTCAATTGAAAATCCTTCTGTTGCTGCCTCAATGACAGCAATGCCAAAGACTTGCAGATTAGGTACATTGCTATTAAAAGTTCCAGCTGTGTCTGCTATATAATTTGCCCTGTATTCTGATTCTTTAGCTGCATTTGCCAAAGAATTGGCTGAAGAGCTTTAAGATCCAATTCTTCCTCCATAGTTATAGATAGTACGTTCGTTCAAAAAAAGAGTTATAGATAATACATAAATCCAAAATACATATTCGAAGAGGTGAATAGTTAATGCTTCAATACTTTCAGGCCGAACAAAAATAAGAATAAAGATATATACCTTTTGACTTGAGCATTCTCATGCGGAAGTAACACTTGACGGAGCCTAATATGAGAATAACTGAAGCTGTTGTAGTCAAAATGATTATAAGAAGTCGCCACTTTTTTTGTCCACTGCTTGCACGCTCTTGAGCTGTAGCTGTGATCAGCATATATAATTCAATGTAACAGTTAGGGAAGAATGCATTAAAGATCTTGGAAGTTGTCAGCTGACTGTAGTATGGGACTTTCTATGGCAGCAACAATAAGATATAAATAAGTTGTGAGCTAACCTTCATTACAGGGGAAATATAAATAAGGCGATGGTTGAATTTTCCAATGTAAAACTCCAAGTCTTTTATTGGACGGTAACTTATATGGGTATCTTGTTCATTAGTTTGCAGTAAAGAATTATAGTGGTCATCTTCATTTCATTTTCAACAGAAACCAATTATTTTATTCTCCTGTCTTGACTGCTAAATGGCTGAGAGCGCAATGCAATTTTGACAGCGAATCATATTTTCTGTTTTCAATATCAGCTCATACTTTTAATTTCTGACTTCTATTTACAACAAACTTCAATAGACACTAAAGTATTGCATTAGCAGACTTTCTCTTTTGTAAAGTGACCAATCAACAATAACCAATCTGATTTCTTTAGATGGGATGGGAGTAATGAAATTAACTTTTCATGGTGGAATATGCAGAGAAAATGAGTTCATCAAATAGAGTACTATGCATAATTATTGAGCTTCAATTCCTACCTGCAGCTGCAAGAGAAAGCACCCAATTGTCATCATAGGAAACCTGCCAGACAAAGTATCCAAGCAAACTCTGCTCCTTAGCATAAGAAACTTTTATTTTGACAACTTGAGCATCATCAAAACCAATCCAAGATGATCCAATTATGCAGTACTTAACTACATACGTAGCATTGTAGATTATGTCAGCCCCATATCTCTGAATGTAACCCTTGATATCCTTGTAGCTCATGGATCCATCCCCTGTAATGGCTGGACCTGTTGCTGGTGCACCAATACCATTGTCCCTAGGATTCACAAGTTTCCAAGCATAGCCATAGAAAGGCAAGCCCAAAACCAATTTGGAAGCAGATAATCCCTTACCAATCCATGCCTTGATACCATAATCTGTGCTAGCATCACTTGATGGATCATACAAAGCTGCATGAGCGCCGGTGAAATTAGTCCACTGAGGCCCATAATAGTCATAGGCCATTACATGTACCCAATTCAAGTTGTTCCGAATGGATTCAACCGGAAAAGAAAAGGACTCCAAATCTGGTTTGTATTGAACGGCTGCTGTCAAAATCAGCTGCGCCTGGCTAGAGTTTACGGCGTCAGATTTGACAGCAGCTCGCCACTCTTGAAACAAATTTCCCATGTTGGTCATGTCCGAGCTTGTGTTAGCTGAAACCCAGCAAAGGTCTAGGCCTTGGAAGCCATAAAGCCTTGCAATCTTTATTGAAGAATCAATGAAGGTCTTTCTGTGAGAAGAATTACTGACAAGTGTTGAAAAGACTGAGTAGTCTGCGTTTCCACCCCCAATGGAGATGAGGGTGATGACTGATGGGTTCCTTTGCTTGACCGTGGATGAGAAGGTGGAGTAGTGCTGCACCTGATCCTGCTCCTCAGAGTCAGAGGAGAGGGAGAGCTCATAGGATGATGAATTAAGACCGGCAAATGCGTAAATAAGGTGAGTAAAAAGCGCAGAGTTTATGTCAGCAATGGGGAATTCACTGCCAGAATACCAGTATGCCGCTTTGATCCAAGACTGTGCCTCTGAGGCTTGCAGTCTAGAAGCAACAAGAAAATGGAAGAAAAGGAGGACTAGTAGTACACTTGAAAATTTGAATACCATGGAGTACGGATAGGAAGCTGATGCTTGAGAGCAGATGGATGATGGCTGATGGCTGAACTTAGAAAGAAATGCATTAAGACTTCACTTCTTCTTCTTTGGATGAAGAGATTAGATTCTTGTTACACATGACATGACGTACCACTGAATTATAAAGTGTAGACAGTGACATTGAAAAACTAGCAGTCAACAGGCGCAAATTAAGGGTGTTGAGCAATCAAGACGACTTTTTGCATATCCAACCAACAGAAGAATTGTAAAGTAGTAAACTCCACATAACTGAACACCAAACTTGCTGGCATCATAAACGACATTACGGTCAATGGTGAAATTGTCTCCATAAAATGAAAATATTGGGTCTCTCTCACCGAGTTATAGCTTGTCAGCAGATATTGACATAGCAATATCACAAGTTGAAAAGTCTTCCTCCAATTAGTATGTTGTGTACCTGGTTTTGACGGTTCCACACAAAGGGCAAAGTAATCTCAGGCCTAGATTGAGTTACTCTAATAACCAGATGTGAACAGGAGAGAAGTTGCTAATCACAGCATATACTGTTGGATGGCTTCTAGAGATAAAAATTTTAGGGGGCGTTTGGTATCCTATTCAAATAAGAAATTCAAAAACTTTGATTTTTCTTAAAAACAAGGAGTTCTTAAATCTATTTTTAAGATTCAAAAACTTGTTTAGTATGCAACTTGAAAACTATTTTCAAATCTTAAAATTTTGAGAACTTGTGGATTGTTAGAAAAAAGAAAGAAGGAAAAAACAGATATTTTTTGTTTTTAATAATTGGGGTGTTTTTTAGTTGTTTTTTAGTTTTAGTTTTTAAAAATAGGGTTACCAAACAGGTTTTCTTTGTTTTGAACTCAAATTCTGTTTTTGAGTCTAAAAGTTGGATTCAAGTTGAATACTAAACAGGCCTTTATCTGTCTTATAAGATCCACGTAAGTGATGTACCTCCTTAACTTTTGGATAATTTCAAGCTGACATTTTAGACCACAATCAGTTTCTGCAAAACTTGGGTAACTGACCTTCAATATATCTAAACTTTCAAGCTACATATGTCATCACCAAGACATAAATCAGCAAAAGTCTCCAATGGAAGTCTCTTTCAAAGTTTAGATCTTCAATATTCGACTATTTATATGTATGTATAGCTCGCAGAAGCTGATCTTCATATCAATCATAGCTAGCAAACAAAGATTATTCCTCCTTAATTTGTTTCAATGTCTTCGAAAACCAAAACCCTTCAAATATTTCTCCTTTCCACCCTCCTTTTCCTTATCCAACTCAATGTCTCTTCCGGCCAAACTGTGGTTAAAGGCGCTTATTGGTATTGGGACAGCGGATTTCCAGCATCCAGCATAGAGTCCAGCCTTTTCACTCATCTTTTCTGTGCATTTGCTGATCTTGATCCCAATACTTACCAAGTCACCGTTACTTCCTCAAACTCAGCCCAATTCTCGAGCTTCACACAAACAGTCCAACAAAAAAACCCTTCTGTGAAAACCCTCTTGTCCATTGGTGGAGGAGGCAATGATACTATTGCAGACACCTTTGCTTCAATGGCAAGCCAACCCAGCAGGCGAAAATCATTCATTGACTCCTCCATTAACTTAGCCAGGTCCTACAACTTCCATGGTATTGACCTTGATTGGGAGTACCCGAACACCACCACTCACATGACCAACTTTGGCACCCTTCTCACTGAGCTGCGAGCTGCTGTGGCCAATGAGTCCCAGACATCTGGCAACACCGAATTGTTTTTAGCCGCTGCAGTATTTCACTCTGCAGATTACTATACCATAAATTACCCCATTGAGTCCATATCAAACAGTTTGGACTGGATCAATGTAATGGCTTATGACTTCTATGGCTCTGCTTGGAACTCAAGCAGAGCCAGAACTGGACCACCGGCTGCATTGTACAACGTCACCGCTAGCCAGGTTAATGGGGATGCTGGCATCACATCTTGGATTGAGGCAGGTTTGGGTGCGGATAAGATAGTGCTGGGCCTTCCATTTTATGGGTATGCTTGGCGTTTGCTGAATGCTGATGAGCATGGCCTTTTTGCTCCGGCTGATGGACCGGCTGATGGACCGGCTATTAGGACAGATGGGAGCATAAACTACAAGGATATACGGGACTTCATAAGCCAGAATGGGACACAGACAGTGTACAATGCGACGGTTGTTACAAACTACTGCTACTCTGGGACAACATGGATTGGCTATGACGACACACAGAGTATCTCTGCCAAGGTTTCATATGCGAAGCAAAAGGGGCTTCTTGGTTACTTCTCATGGCAAGTCAGTGGTGACGACAATAACTGGGCTCTCTCTCAAACAGGTTGGTAAATCCTAGGTTGAAATATATTTAACTCTATTGGAATTATTGTATATTAACAAATGGATGTTCTGATGTATTAACTACATATGTTTTTACTATTGTTCTTGCAGCTTCAACTACTTGGGGATGAGAAAATGAGGATTAGATCTATATATGCAAATGTAATACCTTACTTCCAATAAGGCTAATGAGGCCAAATAAACAATAACATGTTGCCGTGAGTTCTTATTTTCTTAATCGGTTCATTCTTTGTATGGATGAGCGAATGATTTTGGGAAATTTTGTGTGGATGAGAAAAAAAAATAATGTGCGAAATTGGGCTACAAAGCTTTAGCGCGCCTTGTTGAATCCCAAGCTGCACCAAGTCAAGCCCATTTTTTACTTCCTTGGACAAGGAAACAAAATATAAAAAAGAGCCAACAAGTTCTTCAAGTAAGAAGGAACATGTTCTTAAAGCCCAAGCCTACCTGAAAATACACTCTTGGCAGTTATATTTTGTCCAAGAAGAACAAGGTACACTACATTTGGTCAAAATGCATATATATATATATATAGTTTTTATATCTGAGCCGGTCCTTTTTTGACCTCAAGTATGTAAGCCGTTCGTTGGCTTATTTGGACAGATCTTAGACAAACATATTACTTACACTGCTCCCCCTCAAGCTGAAGGGAGTGGAAGCGAAAAAAGCACCGAGCCTTGACTCAGGGGCGGAGGCAACTGGGGACCAGTGCAGTCACTGGCCCCCACTGAAATTTTATTTTTTATAAAAAATAGTACTAGTATTAGGAGTCTGAAGCAATATCAATTTGTTATCGGTTCAAATTAGACTGACTTTCCTTTCGAAAAGCTAGAATTGTTGTAGGCAAAGGCTGCAGACGGGAGTCTTAATTTCACTGTTTTTCAGATTTTTTAAAAATAGTATAGCCGCCCGGCTATACGTGTTTTGACACGTGGGCCCTCATCTCGGGGCGGGTCAGTTTTTATATATGTATATAAATAGTATGGCCGGGCGGCTATACTCGGGTTTATTTGCTTTTTAAAAAATAGTATAGCCGCCCGGCTATACGATTTTGAAACGTGGTGACCAGCCGCGATAAGGGTCATTTTTTACATTATAAATAGTATAGCCGCCGGGCTATACTGATTTTTCCTTTTTTTTAAAATAAATAGTATAGCCGCGCGGCTAAAATTAGTACACGTTGTGCCAAATTTTTTTCAACAATCCAAACCATCAATTTTTCACATCTTCATTCAAAGATCATCCTTGCAAAAAATCATTAAGGCATCTAATTGAGACCAACAAAATCAATGAACATTAGTGTTTCAAGAAAGTACTTAGATTTCAATAATTTAATTGAGTGGTCAAATGATATCGGATTCAAGTAATTTTTTGTAAAGATAATCTTTGAATGAATATCTATAAAATAAATTGTTTGGATTAGTGAAATACAATATGAAGTGAGCCCTACAAGAGTGTTCCTTAATAGAAGCTCTTTCTATATATGTGTGTGTGTGTATATATTTCCTTTTTGAAATATCTGAGCCGGATGTTGACTTAATGGGACAGAATGCAGATGAATTTCTGGAAGAAACATGTCAATTTTTATATTGATTCCCAAACCAACCAAGTCATCATTTCCACTCAAGACAAACCCCAATTTGCCAATTTCACAACCATCGTTCAACTAAGAAACCCATCAGTCAAAACCATTTTATCAATAGGCGCAAGTAAGACCGCTTTTGCTTCCATGGCTAGCCAACCAAGCTCCCGCAAAGCATTCATTGACTCCTCCATAAACATTTCTAGGTCTTATAACTTCCATGTCCTTGACATTAACTGGGAGTTCCCCGGCCCGCCCACTGACGTATCTAACTTTGGCATCCTCCTCGCAGAATTGCGAGCCTTGGTGCCCAATGAGTCCGAGACAAGTGGGAGGCCCCCATTGCTTCTAGTGGCAGCTTCTACTACTCGGCAATTTATCACTCATTGTTGCACCCGATTCAGTCGATATCAGACAACTTGGACTGGATCGATGTGATGGCATATGACTTATTCGCACACGGTTGGTCACCCAATGTAACAGGGCCCCCTGCTTCACTATACAACCCAATCAGTCATATAAGTGGAGATTCTGGGCTCAGTGCTTGGCTTCAGACAGGTGTGCCTACATCAAAGATTGCATTTGGCCTCCCATTTTATGGGTACGCATGGAATCTTATTTTATTTTATTTTTATTTAAAAGGCCTATTTTACACCAAAAATGTCAGCTAATGTCTATCATGATGAACAAAAATTAATTAAGAGAAAAGAAATTTCAAAAATGAAAATTTATAATCACAAATATAGAGTCAGATAGACACACAACAACTAGAGGTAACACTACAATTATCCAATTAGTTCAAATTAATATTTCTGCTATAAATGGGATTAACATTAAAACTAACTATAAGAAATAAATAAAAAAACTCACCTGGGCTATAGCCCAGGTTGTACAAGTCATAGGACCGTCCATGGCCATTTGTATTCCTGAAAATCCTCCTCTCCATATCCCTCCAAGACTCTTTCGTTATCGGACTGAAACTGAACATCCTCTCCATATCCCTCCACAGGTCGCGGCCAGGTGGTGGTCTTCGTGGGTGGAGGCCTGGTGGTGGTGGTGGTCTGTCGTGAGAGAGAGAGAGAGAGCGAAGGAGGCGATGGCTCACAGGAGAGAGAGAGACAATAAACTAAAACTCGGGTTTTTGGTATATAAATAGTATAGCCGGTCTGTCGTGAGAGAGAGAGATGCTCTGCGTATCATCATAACCAATCCATGTTGTTCCTGAGTAGCAATAGTTTGTAACAACCGTGGCATTGTACACTGTTTGTGCCCCATTCTGGCTTATGAAATTTCTTATTTGGTTGTAGCCTTGATCCCCGTATTGCCCTATAGCCGATCCATTAGCAGGAGCATAAAGGTCGTGGTTATTCGCGTTCAATAAACGCCATGCATAGCCATAAAAGGGAAGGCCTAGCACTATCTTTTTGGCAGCCAAACCTGCTTGAATCCAGGATGTAATACCAGCATTCCCGCTAACCTGACTGTTGTACAATGCAGCAGGTGGTCCGGTGTTGTTTGGGGACCAACCAGGGCCGTAGAAGTCATAAGCCATGACATTGATCCAGTCTAAACTGTTTGATATGGCCTGGAAGGGGTAATTTATGGTGTAGTAATCTGCAGAGCGAAAGACAGCGGCGGCTAAAAGCAAAGCAGTCTTGCCAGAGGCCTTGGACTCATTGGCCACTGCAGCTCGCCACTCGGTGAGAAGGCTGCCCAAGTTGGTCATCTCAGTGGTGGAGGATGGATATTCCCAGTCGAGGTCTAGGCCGTGGAAGTTGTAAGACCTTGCTAACGTGATGGAGGAGTTAATGAATGATTTGCGCCGGCTAGCTTGGCTGGCCATTGCGGCAAAGGTTGCTGGATTAGCATTTCCTCCGCCAATGGATAAGAGGGTTTTCACTGCAGGGTTGTTTTTTTGGACTGTTTGTGTGAAGCTTGAGAAAGGGGCTGAGTTTGAGGAAGAAACGGTGACTTGGTAATTGGCGGAATTAAGATCAGCAAATGCGCAAAATAGATGAGTGAAAAGGCTGGAATTTATGCTGGAGGCTGGGAAGCCACTGTCAGGAAACCAGTAAGCGCCTTTAACCACAGTTTGGCCGGTTGAGAAGCTGAGTTGGGCAAGGAAAACGAAACCCGAAAGAAGGATCAATGGAAGGGTTAACTTGGAAGACATTGCAGCAAATGGATGATAGAGGAAATAGTTCTTGCTTGCTGATTGTTATGACGATCTTTTTTGTGTATATATACACACACAACACAAGATGAATGCAAAGTTGCGTGTAAAATTATATATTGGACTTTGGACTTTGAAGAAAGAAAGTTGCATTAAGAGACTTTTGTGCGGTGTCTATTGGCGTAGATTGAGCGGACCATACCAAACATATCATGTTCTTGAGTTTTGACTTATTTTTGCCGATTGGTAATGACGTATGTAGTGTATAAACATCAAATACATTGGTAAGAAACTTGCAGAAACTGATTCTTATCCACAATGTGAACATCTTTATTCATCCAAAAGTAGGAGTTAGAGGGATCTTATCTTATAAGATATAGTTGACATCTCGTAAGTTGCTATTTATAACCCTATAAATTATAATGGCCTACTTGAAAGATTGGACTTTAGATGAACAACTGGCATCCCTTCTGGTTAGGGAGGTCCAAAACCCAAACGTTGTAGCCCATGGTGGTCCTACGCGTGAGTTGGGTAAGGAAACTTTAATGGGTCTGAATTTAGAATGAGATACTTATTAGAACAAGAGATACCAACATGGATTTATAATTCTAATGGTAGAGTGCCTACCTTATAGTACTTAGAACAAGGATTTAACTCTCACATGGATTTGATGAAGACAGTTTTGTCTGATTGAGAGATAGTATACAGAAATTGGGGAATACAATAAATCAGTGACATCACAAGAAATCAGAAGAACAAAGCAAGTGATTTTAAGAGATATGATGAACTAAACCTACGCGACTGCAATCAATTTGTTTAAACACATGGTAATTTATGACTTTTCAAAAACGAAAAACTCTATCGTAACACTTATGACATTACAAACTTGGTATATCACTGAAATTATAATTCAGTGATGGGGAATGTGCACATTTGCTTGTTCTTGCAAAGGTTTATAATTCAAGTGATAAGGTGTACCCCTTCTCCATTCAAGGTTCTAGGTTCCTTCTTCAATATTACTTGCATAAAAAATAAAAATAAAAATAATTAATAAAATTAAATAATTGCTTGTTCTTTTGTTTTTCTTTAAACATGTGAACGTCCACCCCAAAAAAAAAAGCACGTGAAGTACATGATAACGTGCACGTGCAGTATATGCTCTTAATCGGTTGGACCCACAAATAAATCCAACGGTTTCAAAAGACGTTGCCGTTGCCACGTGAACGATCAGATCTCACGAATTCAACAATTAAGTTGACGTTGGTACACGCCGGAGAGATAGCAAGACTAGACTCTAGAGAGGTAATGCTAAGCACGTTGGTACACGCTCCCACCGTGTGTTCTCCCTCCGGTTC